GAGAATGCACTTTGCCCATAGTTGAGCTTGCATCCAGGGTGAGTGGTACGAAAATGTTGGCCCCATGGCTTGTCGAGTTCCTGTCGTCTTGCCTCACCATTATGTTCTTCCAGGCGAGTTTCCAGAAAGCGGCCAGTCTCACCAACATATTGTTCCGGACATTCTTTGCACTTCAGCTGATATACAACATTCTTCTGCATACATACATCCTGTCCCCCGGATATACACGAGATACACGGCCCCTTTGGGCAACGTCTCTTTTTCGGTTGTAGCGGATTTGCAGCCTTGACACATAGAGGAGGAACGAGGGCGGAGCGACACAATGTGCGCCTCAGGCTACCAGTGTGCTCATATACGACTCTAACCGGAATTTTATACTTTCTGATTGCATGATGGTGAGGCAAGACGACAGGAACTCGACAAGCCATGGGGCCAACATTTTCGTACCACTCACCCTGGATGCAAGCTTAACTATGGGCAAAGTGCATCCTCTGCAGTTGAAGTAATAGGAAGAGAGCATGATCGAGCCCATCGCAAACTGTGCGAGGCGATTGAGATTCGTGATGCCAAGCCCCATGTGAACATAAGCACCGGATGGGGTTTGTTGTGAATTTTCTCAGCTTCCCCTGCTGCTACTTCAATATCACTGAATAATTATAATATGAGGCGGGTCACTCAAATCCATTCTGTTCCTGATGCCTTGTCGCGTCCCTGGTGGTAACAGTTTGGCATGGAAGTTTAACCTCATAGTGCATTGACGCATGGGCCTCCGTGCTCCCCTCCTGTAATGTGCTAGAATTAACACCATCATTATTTGGCATGTACCCTCACTTCGTAGAGCACAACAGCGCGCTCTTCTTCTCCATGATGTGCACAGTTGAACCTTCTCTCCCCCCTCTGTATAGAGGTGACATAACTCGCATCATTTTATTTTTTGGTGCTACACTCTGCGTAACGCCATTCACAGAGCACAATGCGCGCTACCTTCTGCTGCTTCTCCTCCGTGACGTGCTAATTGCGCCTTTTCTCTCTCACTGCCCCCCCCCCCTTCTGCATACTAGGTGACATAATTCGCATCTTTTTTGGCGCTACACTCTGCGTATATACTGCTCTTGTGTGGCTTCCACGGTATTCATTGTTATTGCCTGACGATGGCCAAGTGCCGAAACGTTGTAAAAATAACGGAACTGGTTCGGATGTGATGTGCAGCGCTATGGGAATGGGTGTGTCCACCCGAATTCTTTTCATAATTGCATTTTTGTCTCCGAAAAAGCTATAAACTGATTTTCTTTAGATTTTTACATCAGTCTTTCAACACATACCATGCATTGTGATACTAGTACGTTTGTTCGTAAAAGAGGCTTCGTCAGATGATAATAATAATAATAACAAGGACCAAGGAACTACAAGTTACACTATAATAGGGAGGTTTAGTCCCACGTAATCCGTGGGTACTTTACGTGTGTGTACCACGTGATACTCAGTGACCCACGTACAGACGTTTTCTGATTCACGACATACCGTGTATGGAGGCTCACCCACGTTCCGCCAGAATATGGGTGAAAATCAGAATGGAGCGCATTTTGCGAGCTGTGAGGGTGCTCAGCTGAAGAAATTTCTGAAGCACGAAATCAAAATATTCTATGAGCTTCTTAGGCCCGGGTAGCTTCGTCTTTGACCAGGTTTGGGCCTTTCGCTTCATGCTTTTGTTTGTTCCGTGTGACTAAACACAACATTGCAACGTGGATGCTCTTCATCCACTTTACGTGGATCACCCACGTACGCGTTTCCGTTACGTGGGAACTAAACCTCCCTAATGTCCACTAACACCACCAGTTACTAAACAATCAGCTCATGCGATAACATTGCACGACACTGATGTACTGACCTTCTACAACTAACTGGCTGGCTAACAGCTGTTATCGCATGAGCTGATTGTTTAGTAACTGGTGGTGTTAGTGGACATTATAGTGTACTTGTAGTTCCTTGGTCCTTTTTACGTTTTACAAATAATCCTTGGCTCTCCATCCGAGTTAATAATAATAACAATAATAATTTCTGTACCTGCTTGTGTTAAGTCTCTTTCTAGCAGATTAGTTGTATAAGAGATTGTACATGCATCATTGTGGATTTGCTGTTCACAGCGTTTCTCTCTCTTTTTCTTTGTACTCCCCATGGTCTTAAGTGACCCGGGATGCTGCATAATCCAGACACAAAACCAATAAAGCTGCCTCTCTAATAATAATAATATACTGGTATGATGAAGTGTATACAGTTTTACCTCAAGCCAGTACCAATAACTGGCAATAAGCATAGCTAGCCAGTCGCTGAGGCTGAGTTTAACACAATGTACATGACAATTTTTACCTAGGCTAAGGGCGAGGTTTCATCCCATGATCAGCTTGGGGCGAACATACAGGAGAGCACCGATTATCCGTACCCTTTAGGGCTCAGCGCTGTCCCCAGGGAGTTCGGATGAGGAGTATGCTCGGGGACAAGGGAGCGGTCCCACATCCATCTAAAACATGCACGCTCCCTCATAGTTTCAGCATGTCTTATTCTCTTCAGCAGTATGACAGGAGCTAGACACACCCCAACTCCTCAAAATGGCACTATGAAATAAATATTTACTCCAACCTGTTGCCATACATCCAGTGCACCAATTGAACGGTCGAATAGCCAAATTTCAGATGATCGGCATCCTACTGTGACACGTTCACATCAGGGAAAAGCAAGATACCTGCGAGCCGTTCTGCAATCCGAAAACAGACCGAATATTAGAAAAGTAGTTTTTGACTTCTTTGGTTGAACGTTCAAACGACCCACGTGCCCTTTGCTATAGGTTACGACCAATCAGCAGCCTCGGAGAGCGGGCTTTGATATTCCATCAAAGCCCGCTGTCATTGACAACCTGTACGAGAAAACCATCAAAGCTCGCTGCCATTGGCAACTGTACGACAAAACCATCAAAGCCCTGATCATGCCCAATCACAGTCTTTTCAAGGTGATCTGGCTATAAGAACAAGAAACCGATAGGGGTGGTGGTCGGGGATGCGGTGGCTCTCAACTTGTGGAGTTGGAAATCTAGCTCCAGCACCGCAGAACTCTCAGCAGTATGCAGCGTGAGCAAGGCGTGTATGGTCGAAGTGAAAATACTTCCGTGACTCTTCAGCCACGTCTGGCTCTTGACACGTAGTCCTGAGAAATTTCTCACGAAACAGGTTTTCGTCCACTCACATTACTTTCCCTTTGCTGTAATCTCTGTGTGAAACTTACGAACGGGACGAAAACGACATGCACTTTAGACTTGTGGAGTTGGAAATCTAGCTCCAGCACCGCAGAACTCTCAGCAGTATGCAGCGTGAGCAAGGCGTGTATGGTCGAAGTGAAAATACTTCCGTGACTCTTCAGCCACGTCTGGCTCTTGACACGTAGTCCTGAGAAATTTCTCACGAAACAGGTTTTCGTCCACTCACATTACTTTCCCTTTGCTGTAATCTCTGTGTGAAACTTACGAACGGGACGAAAACGACATGCACTTTAGACTTCAGGCTGCTCTGAAATCCCAAACGAAAGGCCGACATTGTCCACACTCGAGATCACCCAAAGAATGAAGCGAGTTTGATTCAAAATCAAAAAAAATGTTGGGGATCGTCTGAAGCATATTCAAGCGAGGTACAGTCGGGCTTGATGACTGATCAAAGTCCTCGGGCCCAGCCCTTGGGCCTACGGCCCTCGGGCTGGACCCTTGGGCTTTGATCAGCCATCAAGCCCTCTGTACCTCGCTTGATTATCTACTTCCTGCCTACATTGTAGGGTTGGTTCACATACGCCAAATCAGTGCTGGGGAGTAATAGAAAGGTGTTAGAAATAACAACAAGATACAAGTGCAATAAAACCACTAGAGGAAACGCAAAAAGGTAACAAGATTACGTAACCAAAGGCGAGAAGGCACTGAACGAAGTGTCAACCTACGAATACAACTTCAGTGGAATAACGTGCTCCTTCTGCTTACACAAAACTTACACAGCTTACACAGTACTTAAAGGGGAAGTTAAGGCAAAAATTAAAATTTCACCAGTTGTAGTCTTCGGGGTGCTGAGTCGAATGGTCGTGGTCCGAGGAAGCTGAGACGCTCCCTTCCTACTTGAATCCCAATCGAACTCGCGCACTTCCACCGAAACTGGGTGACTGCGCCCTACTAGATGGGGATTTGTATGCAAAATGTCACTAAAAGCGCCATTTCGTTCTTATAAAAGCATGGATGACCGCGATTGGCCCATATGTTGTAGTCTTTTGGACGCTCAGTCGAATGGTTTTGGTCCGAAAATGCTGCGATGCAGCGTTCCTCCTTTATTCCCAATCGAACATGGTTGAATAAGCGGTCACGTGCTCCTGCGTACGCCAGTCACCTGGTCACCGTGCCTGCAGGGTACAACTTACTAGCCTGTTTGACCTTTTTTGGGTGCAGTCCTGTCACTCGAGTTGAACCTAGGTGTGAAAGTTGTCGCCTGCTGGCGTGGTGACCAGGTGATTTGGGCACCCAGGAGCACGTGACCGCTTGTTCAACCATGTTCGATTGGGAATAAAGGAGGAACGCTGCATCGCAGCCTTTTCGGACCAAAACCAGTCGACTCAGCGTCCAAAAGACTACAACATATGGGCCAATGGCGGTCATCCGTGCTTTTATAAGAACGAAATGGCGCTTTTAGTGACATTTTGCATACAAATCCCCATCTAGTAGGGCGCAGTCACCCAGTTTCGGTGGAAGTGCGCGAGTTCGATTGGGATTCAAGTAGGAAGGGAGCGTCTCAGCTTCCTCGGACCAAGACCATTCGACTCAGCACCCCGAAGACTACAACTGGTGAAATTTTGATTTTTGCCGTAACTTCCCCTTTTAAATAATAACTTCAGTTTCTTTGGTTGTATCCTTAGTTCCGTATTTTTTCCCACTGATGATAGGAACAAGAAAATCGATTCTGGGTTTTCAATAATATTTTTTGTTATAAAATACACAGTAAATACATGTCAAACAAGTAACGTAGTTGCGTGATGTCTGCGGCCTTCATCCTATTCATAGCTATATTAAAATTATTATCTCCACGTAGATTATTTGTAATTCGATCTGTCGTTATTTTCGAGGTCGTTATACCCGATCTATAATGTACAGAAAGAACTTGCTAAACAACTTGGGCAACAGAATTGTGTCGCTAAACTCGATTTGTCGTTATACCCAAGGTCGTTATATCCAATCTCCACTGTAGTTGTAGATATCGTGAAAGCAACAGTCAGTACATCCTGCATTGTGTGACCCGTGCCACATTTGAGGCCAGAAACGTCCAAGAACAGGGCAATAGAAATTCAGCCAGGTTTTACAAAATTGGGACAGGTATGCCATGGCAAAATGTATGGACAAGCAGATTCCAAACCCAGATTTTTGAGATTCAAAGTGGGTTTTTGATCCTCAATTCGGCCCAAATCGGACTTTCAAAAGCCAGCGGGACTGTTTCCGATAAATGGACCAGGACTGTAGTGGTTTTCAGCCATGTACTTATCACTTCCTTGGTACTTTTCAATAGCACAATTTTGGTGTCGGCATATAAGCCCATGCCCGCGTACCATATATGCCCGTGTTCTTGTATTATATTAGCCCACCGAAATGTCCTTGTGAAACAGATACGCCCATGGGCTTATCCGTATCCGCAGGATTCTACGGTACTTTTTCGACTCCTGCCACAAGATTCCGAAAATACCGAAATTCGGAATTCAAAAACTCTCTACTTTTGTAGCTAGACTTTCTCTCTTTTAATTTTTATTCCCTCAAACTGATGAACAACAATATCACACTACACATGTACAATTCAAATCATACCTGTGGCCCAGGCCAAATATGACAGAGCGTCGAGGCGAAGAGCACCTACATCCACCGATTCCTACTTAGGTAAGTAATAGTTAGGAAGTGATTCGAGAGCATTTGACAACTCAGTCCATCATGTTTAGCCTGATTGCTGTTCTACTACCGTAATTACGTAACCATGGTAACGTCTTTGCTGGCTCGAATTTTCGTCTCCAGCTAGGGAGAAGAAAAAACTAACCCGTGTTACTTTGCTGGCCAAGCCTACTCTGCTGATCCCGTGCCGCATGCCCCGGCTAGCCTCGCCGCCTTACCTATCTTCGAGAGACGGTTCGCGGTTGTACTGCACTGCACCCTGCTACTGCTGCTGTACTTGTCTTTTGTTTTCAAGACTGATCCAAAAAAGGAAGTGTGTACAAGGGCTAGGGCCATTAGGGGGGGACGTGTAAAAACGCAAGCGGCAAGGTCATGCCATGGCCAGCGCAGGTGCATGACGGCGACATGCATACTTTGCACTCCGATCTGATCAACGCGCCACGCGCAGCACAAAGATCGGTACGATAGAAAAGGTCCCCACATCTATCAAGCACGACCGTCTTCTTTTGGCAACCGGCTTTTCCCTGGCGGAGATCGAGGTTGGACCCCTTCTTGCGCGGTGCAAACCCAAGACAGACGATCACTCTACATGCAGTGCAGTGGTCGACGAAACTCATGTCGCGGAGGACGTGAGTTAGGGTCTGGTGTTTTTGAAGAGAGAATAACCTCTCTGTTTGTGACCCTTTCGTTGAAATACTACTTACTGTAAGTACCATGGAGGACGATAGTTCAGCTCGTGTGAAGGAGCTCGAGCAGCTGCTCCGGGATGAAAAAGTTATTACTTCCCACTTGTCAGAGCGAGTGGAAAGACTGGAGGCGGAACTGGATGCAATGGTTGCCTCCACTGTGGTCTCTGCTCCGTCAGGGAACAGGAGCTTTCTCTCGAAGATCAAATCTTCGAAATCTGTGGAGAAGAAACCTATGCCACACAAGAAGATCGGAGTCATCGCTCGCCGTCCGTCTGAAAACACTGCGGCTGGTTTTAAAGTCAATCTGGTTGCCAAGGAAGAAAGTGAAAAGAAACTCATTCGTGAAGCCCTGAAAGTCAATCGCCTCCTATGTTCTCTTGAGCCTTCTCAAATCCAAGATATCGTGGATAGTATGTCCTTGAAGACACTTTCCGCCGGTGATAACGTCATTGAGGAGGGCACTGAGGGCGAAGAGTTCTATATCAGTGCCTCAGGCAAGTACGAAGTGTTTCTGAATGGATCTTCCATCAAGACCTTTGGCACCGGGGTAGTGTTTGGTGAGCTCGCTATTCTGTATGGTTGTCAGCGCACAGCCACCGTCAAGGCTCTAGCTAACACTACTGGGAGCTCAGAGCCGCATTCAGTGTGGTGCTTGGATCGTGCCGCGTTCCAGATGATCACAATGCGTGTGGGTGTGCTACGTCACCGCCAGTACTTGAGATTTGTCAAGCCCGTTTTCAGCCACATGAAGGAAGAGCAACTGGTTTGCTTAGTGGATGCACTGGTCGAGGAGCGCTATGCTGCTGGAGAGTTTATCATCAACCAGGGTGCGTTGGGTGAGACTTTCTACATCGTGCAAGAAGGAACGCTCAATGTAACACAACGTGAAAACAAGAACAAGGAGAAGGTGCTGCGATCACTGAAGGTAGGTGATACGTTCGGCGAGAAAGCCTTGGAAACTGATGATGTGCGCACAGCTAGTGTTGTTGCTGTCAGTGACTCTACAGTCCTAGCTCTTGACCGGGCAACATATTTCAGACTCTTTGGACGTGACGGTAAGCAAGAGTCCACAGCTGCAACAAGTATTTATGAAGCTGACCAGCCTTCGCCTGTATCGTCATCGCAATCAACCGATGCAGAGCTCAGCAATTCAAGTATCACAGACTTCAGTGTACTGGGAAGACTGGGAGCAGGTTAGTACGGCATGTGTGTTTGTATGTGTGCCAATCTCTTTCTCTCTCTCTCTCTCTCTCTCTCTCTCTCTCTCTCTCTCTCTCTCTCTCTCTCTCTCTCTCCCCTCCCCCTCTTCTCTTTCCACCCACGAGCTTTGCCACCATCCATTGTATTCTCTCTCCAGCAGGGATGCAGATGTTGATAACTAAACTGCAGAGTGCGACCACTTTGTGAATGGTCTCAGCAGTTTATCGCCATATGCTAAAGTTGGGCATTTATATATCTAGCGGTTTTATATCCATATTTAGCATATTCAGCATATTTAGCGTATGTGCTGCGCGATCACTTTGGGGGGGGGGGGGGTCCAGGGAGCCTGTGCATGCCCATAGTGCCTGTATATGGAAGCAATATGGGATGGGGAATATACTCTTGACTCTTGTGGCGTGCATCTCAAATCACCTAAACAGGACCATTTCTTCCTCCGCAAAAGGGGGCAAGAAGTAAAACCAGGAACATGACTGTGTGCTTGAAAAGTCGTTGTCCAGCCCTCCCGATACACCGTTATTATGCTACATAAGCCATGTGCTCAATCGCCACGCAAAGTGGTCATTGGCTGCCCCAGCCATGTATTGCTTGGAATAAAACTAAAACTAAACTCTGCGTGTCTGCCTACTCAGGTGGCTTTGGACGTGTGGATCTCGTCAAACTCCAGAACACGGATCGTACCTTTGCTCTGAAATGCCTGGCAAAGAAGGAGATTGTAGCCCGCAAGCAGCAGGCACATGTGTTCTCTGAGCGTGACTTGCAGGCATCAATTACGCATCCGCTGATCGTTCGTCTCTACCGCACATTCCGCGATGCACGCTATCTCTACATGCTCTTGGAACCTTGTCTTGGTGGAGAGATGTGGTGTGTTCTTCGCCAATGCGGACGTCTCACCGAATGCGAAGCACGGTTTGTTGTCGCTTGTGTTGTGGAGGCCATCGCTTACCTCCATCGGCGCCACATTGTTTTTAGGTAGGTGTTAGAGAGGTACTAGTACATGTACTGTGTTGTCCGGAGTATAAGCCGCACTTTTATAAATATATACACTCAAAGTTCACCCCAAAAAAGGGGGTGCGGCTTGTACTCCGATGATCAAATTATTAAACAGTGATAAATAGGATGGATGTCTGTATTTTGTGGCAAAAATGGTAGGTGCGGCTTATGCTCCGGAAATATGGTAGTGCTAGCAAGAGTACAATAACCTCCAAGAGTGTGCAACTACAGTCTATGGGTTCCGCGATGACAGAATTTCACATTACATGGCAAATCCGTATACACTGTCTGCACCCTGTGCATTTATCTGAGGTGACTTTTGTAACACTGCTTTGGGTACAGCTCTCTGGTCACTTTGCACTGTTTGCTTGCCTAACCTACTGAGCCATGCCATGTAATATGAATGCAGCACTAGATAGAGGAAGTGCAGGTAGTTTCACTACAAATAATTATAAGTGGGGAAAAATCACAGTTCGCATGAGGCTCGGCTAGAAGCCGAGTTTTCCACCCTCTAGGATCAAAGCACAGATGCAGCTCCTAAGCGGTGGGAGGTGAGTAGATCACACCCACCACAAAGTGGTCAAAGACCGAAATCCCATTCACTTCATCCATGTTTCCCTCGTACCAGCTACGAGTTCCCAATCAACTGTGGAAATAATGCTCGAATCTCTCGCAGAAAAGTTGTTCTGCTGATATATGTGGAAGTCTGGTGCAGTCGAGGTCCATTTCCTGCAAATGACTGTATGAGAAGGCTCAGTTTGTGTCACATGCCTGCTTTACATTCAGTGCTGCGAAACACGAGTTTCGTGCTTTCAGAAAGTACACAACGGTTTCCGAACATTTTCACTTCAGGTCTGTATCTTAGGGTGCGTTCCTAAAATCTCATTGAGAAGTTTGAGACTCTGCGAAAGTTGGAGATGTGTTCTAATACCCTATTTTCTCTGAGCCCGGAGTTCTTATTTTTTCAGTGACAGCTCTACCCGTGCTACTATTAGAGACTGCTATTGTTGGAGAAATTGCTTTTATTTTTTCAATGCTCCACTATCAAGCCAACTCCAGTCTATATAGGCATAAACTGACCATATCAAGACTGATTTTCTCAACCCTAAACTGAGGAATGTTGTTAAAACTGATGTTTCACCATAGCATGGGCGCCAGGAAGGAAGTACATGTAGTAGACGAAGACCTCCTTACTACGTTCTTGGCATGCTGTACTGCTGTGTTATATGCAGTCAATATACGTGCTGCATACTCCAATTGTGGCCCGCACTACTATTGGAGACTGTGCTCTTATTATTTCATCCAGCCCTTACACCGGGTCATTATTGGAGACCTGGGCTTTTATTAGAGAAAACGCGGCATCCCCTCAGGATATTAGGAGATTCTCTCAATCTTGCAGAGCTCTCCGAACTCCGGCGGTGCTTGACATTTGATTGAGATTCCTTCATTTTTGGATCTACGCATAAGGTGCTGAGAAGTAGTGCATACCGTAATTCCGCGCATATAAGCCCATGGGCTTATATGTGAAATAATGCAGTTTGGGGAGAAAATATCCAGTAAAACATGTTCCTTTTTTAGCCCATGGGCCAATATTCGAATTTTGAGGGTTCACGAAAAAGTACAAGTCCGTGCTCATAGTGGGCCTACCATACTCTACTGGTAAACTGCACTGAACTGCTGTACCATGGTAGGAAGAGTCCATTTTGTGAAAAATTCTACTTGACACGTGAGGTGCATTTGTGTCTGTTTATTAGCCCATGGGCTTATAAACGGAGGTGGGCTTATATCCGGATATAGGCCCGTGGGCTTATATGCGCAGAATTACGGTACATTTCTAAAGAAGATTACCAATACTGCATGAGGCTGTTATTGGTGAATCATGTAGCATACAGTTGGAAGCTTAGTTGAATGCTGTGTGCTTTGGTTTTGTGTCAGTGGGGTGTTTCGGTTAACAGTTGTTGGTTTTCCAGACCGACCTATGAGGATGATGTAGATTGTGATCTGGAAATATGTGTTTTTCTATGTTATTTTCTGGCTTGCAGAGACCTCAAGCCAGGTAATTTGATGTTGGATGGCACTGGCTATTGTAAGCTTGTGGACTTTGGTTTCGCCAAGTACCTACCACCGTCTGTCCACAAGACGTGGACATTCTGTGGCACACCGGAGTACATGACGCCTGAGGTGATTCTGAACCGCGGCCACAACTTCAGCGTTGACTACTGGGCCATTGGTATTCTCATCTTTGAGCTGCTAAGTGGATGGCCACCGTTCTCCTCCTCTGACCCTCTATTCACCTACAACCAAGTGCTAAGTGGATTTGAGCAGGGCAAGCGATTCCCTGCTGTTGACTTCCCTGCCAAGGCCAAGGATCTGGTACTAGCCCTCTGCCAACATCGACCAACTGAGCGGCTTGGTGTTGGCACTGAAGGAGTGGATGCAATACGCCGCCACAAGTGGTTTGGTGCATTCAGTTGGATTGGTCTGCGAGAGCACACACTAGACCCACCTATCATGCCAGAGCTGAAGGGCAATGATGATCTGACGAACTTCGACCAGAATGCCGCATCCAGGAATCAGAAGAAGACGCCTCCAGAGGACTTTTCTGGTTGGGACGAAGGGTTCTAATTTGAGCTGTGTCCGCAACACGACCTAGTGACACTGCTGGGTTGCTATGAATAGCCATGGCATACCATTGTCCTGTTCTATCTGTTCGGTCGCTAGGTCCTATTAGTTCTGTTCATATGCTGCAATCCAAGCCCCTCTTGGTCCTCTTTTGTAATTAGTCAGAGTCTCTCATCATGTAGCTGGCTGCAAATTGTCCGTAACTTCTGCACCCCTGGCCGGTATTGGCATGATTGTTAGCTCAAGAAGCGCCCACTCCTCACACTCTTGATGGTCTGGTACTGCACTTGTGTACCGCACACCCGATTTCATACACACTCATTACAATACCTGATTCCCACATATGGCATATGGCATGACCTTGTACATGTAGATCCAAAAGATGAATAATAATTATTATTACTAATAGTCTTTATCATGAATGAAAGCAGGCACAGAATCATTACACACTTGACTCGCTTGTTTCTTCCAGATGACTTTGCTTGTATTTCCTTGCTGCATCTAATCATTATCCTTTTATCGTGATTTTGGTCTTGGGTGCACGTTCAATTACGGACATCATCCTCCTCATTATGCATGTGTAACTTATCCCTGTTGTCAAACTATCGATGGTGCCAAGACTCAAGAGTACAGTACTGCACAGAAAGAACTTTCCAGTGAACATCTTTTTTAGGATGCAATGTGAGGTGTACACGTACTTTCAGTCGTGCCCTGTATAGACCACTCGCCAGTGGTGGACATGTAACATGTAAGTCATGTACCAGCAAACACATTTGGCTGGCTGACAGAGTTGTGCAAACGTTGGAAATCGCGCCTGCAAGGAGCCTCACCATCATGAGAATGTCAAGTTGAATTTCTGTCGGGACATACATGCAGGAGAAAGCACACTCTGGGAGTTGTGTGTTCCTGATAGGCCAGGGTATTTTTCTTGTTGCGGCATCTCACAATATTCCCTAAAACAAGGGTGCATGAAACCAAAGCTGTGCTTGATGTCATGAACTTGCAGCTAGCAAGAAGACATGCACAGACGTGGCTTGTAGGCTTGGGTGTGATTCCCTGCTGTTATGTGCAGTGCACAGAAGAATCAGTGACTGCCTCAGTGTGGCTAAATTGATTTTCTGCACTACTTTTCCATGCATTGTGCTACCTAAAATTCTTGCCATAATCATCATCTGATTTATAGATCAACAAATCACTCATACCAGCACCACAGTCAACTTCAATGTACATATTTACATGGGCTTTGAAGAAAAAGAACAATAGCTGGTGAAGATCGTCGGTTAGGAAAGGCAAGATCAGTAGCCATGACCATACGGGAGAAGAGTGCCTCTGCCAAGTTCCTTTTCTATAATAGATGATATTAAATTGTGATCAGATCACAACTCATGTAAATTGATTCGGTTGTCAAATGTTGATACAGTTTGCAGAATCTGCCCTGTAGCAGAAGCCCAACTGGAGTTCCCCCTGGGCTAAATGGAGCTGCCCGCTGTTATTGCGATAAGCAACATTCAAAACAACACTGGAAGTCCTCTGCTCAAGCTTTGGTCATTTGCAGATAGTGACAATGCATGCCTCAGTAGATGACGGCTTGGAGGAAGAAGAGCTTGTAGGCAACAGGGTGGTGTACAAACCAGTTGTACACATCTCTCTGGTAAACAGTCGTGCTTCATCGACTGGCAATGTGGAAAGGACAAGCAGTCTTCATCGACTGGCAATGTGGAAAGGACAAGCAGTCTGTCAAATTCTTCATCGACTGGCAATGTGGAAAGGACAAGCAGTCTGTCAGACTCTTCTGTAGCTTGATCACTCCAGCACGCTGCGCACACTGTGTAGGTCACCTACAGACCATAGGCACGCCGGCGGCTGCAGAAACATGTGTTTCATATTTCAATGCGACTGCGAGGCTGCGTATTCTCCGGCGATGTCTTACCGACCACACTGTCTATTAGACCAAATGCCCGTGCCTCCTCAGCAGACATGAAGCGGTCTCGTTCTGTCACCTCATCTGCAGGACGAGAAGAAACAAGAAGACAGTCACATGAATTAGTGAATCTTTCCAGATGAAATTAGCACACTGTTGTCCAGTGGAAGGTTCCTGCAGTAATCATAGGAGCTGGGGATGCAATGGCAGCACTCCAAAGTATGCTGTGCCTATGCTACAGATATCGGGTGGAACAAAGCCTAAAGAAAGGGGTGTATAACAAACAATCTGTGCTTGTGAATGGCACTGGAGGCTCAAAGTAGGAAAATTCCATACAACTTACTAAAACTTCACTCATCCGCACACCCCAGATCTGTGCACCCCTGTCTACCGAGCACCATTCTGACCCCTCGTGAGCCACAAGAGATGACTTTTCAACGAAAAACAGCACGTAAAAATACTGCAGATTTAATAGTATAAAAGCTTGTGATTACTTGCATGCAAATAGCATGTATGTTCTGAGTTGCGGGCAGTTCCTAGTTACGGGCAGCCCTTTCCCAACATGTCCGGATAAGGAGAGTTCTATTGAACGTCTGGAAGGGCAGTAGTTCCAAGTACTAGTACCCACCAATGTGCTGCTCTGATTGACCAGTGTGGAAGGCAAGAATCTCGTTCATCTTTGCACGTGTCTTGGCCATTTCCTCGGCTTGAATGCGAATGTCGGTGGCTTGACCCTGCAGGTAATGAAATACACACCATCACAATGTAAAGAGCAGTTGCGCAACATGATCAATATCTCTTCCTGCAACAAGGGCATTGCGAGCAGTAACCATACGGGAAGATGAGAACTGGACGAAGGATTGCATCATCTAGCCAAATCACTAATTACACACACAATTTACAAAAGCAAGAGCGGACAGACTGACATGGCATACAGCGCAGATAAACAAAGCAGACGTGGCTAGGATCAGTACCTGAGCTCCACCAATAGGCTGATGAATCATGATTCTGGAGTTGGGCAGGGAGTGCCGCTGGCCAGGCTCTCCTGCCGCAAGGAGCACAGCGCCCATACTAGCTGCTTGGCCGACACACCATGTCGACACTGGCGGCTGGATGTAGCGCATTGTGTCATAGATAGCAAGTCCGGACGTGATGACACCACCGGGAGAGTTGATGTACATGTTGATAGGTTTACTACCACTCTCCTTCTGAAGAAAGAGCAACTGTGCCACTACTCGATTGGCCACATGATCGTTGATCGATTCCATTACGCACACAATTCGTTCCTTCATCAAGCGGGAAAATATGTCGTAAACCCTCTCATCGCCTCGCTCCTGAATCACACACAGCATGGAAAGGAAAAGACGAGTTGAAAAACTCCGCAACCTATGGTACCGTGTACACAGACTACAAGCAATGGGCACTAGTATGTTAGTGTGTGCCACGGATGGGCAAGTGTGAGTCCTATGTTTCATCCTATTTCACTACACTATGTCTCAGTAGCCACTAACCAGGCCTGAGGGCCGCATCAGCTACGTAAGAGCAAAAGCAAAAGTAGTTGCCAAGGACTGTAACTATTGTCCGGGGATCATATCTGCACTGTTTTCACTTAACATTCTGACAAAATTAACCCTACAGATTATACTAGTGATGTAACGAATAGTCGATTATTCGAATTTCCTCGATCTCTTGGACCTCAACGAATAATCGATCGGATAAAATCTAGGTCGAAGGTTCGAAAATTCGAATACTCGCGGGCGGGCCATACCACACGCGCGACCCTAGATCTCTTGACTTGAATGCATAAACTTACTCTGTACTGTGTTGCAGACAACGACTAGACTACACCCGGTAGACCATGGTATACTCTACTCTGACTCGAGTCGGAGCGCTTGTCTTGTGTCTTGTTCTTGATAATTGTCAATAATGAATTTTCTTGTCAAATAGTAGAATAATCGTTCGTTCGCTTGGGTGGTATTCGCTAGATTATTCGTTCGTAAAAAAATCATGGTCCGTTACATCACTAGATTATACCCTGAATATTAAAACAACTAAAAACTGGAATGTGACATTTTGAGGAGAGGATTCACTGGTGTGGCTCTGACCCCGGCAAATACGGTATACATATATTACCACCGCAGATATCCCCCTCCTCTTACATCATATGGGCAGCTTGGGACCAAAGGGTTTGCGGACACTTGCCCAGCTCTCAGAACCTACCCAAGCACGTGTGCCCAATCACCGCCAAAGGACTAGGCGGACGATAGACAGCTGCGCCCGGATCTGGAGAGCTCACTTATATTGGCTAGGTAATGTCTTGTGATTGCTCTTAAGAGCAAACTGCAGTCGGAAAACCCAGTTTCAACCGTTTGCTTGGGTTTCTCTATGCCAACCAGCTGAGTCACACTACTGCACCTGAAGAATTCTGGACTTAGCTTAAACAAAGGGGAGGGGTGGTACGTAGAAGAGCGTCCCCGATAGCAACTTGTGCTTTTGTTGTTGCATGTCATTTTACTGTGATGGAACACCACTGCAGCATAGCACCAAGCCCATCCAACAAGGTTACCTCTCTGAGTCACTGAACGTGTGAATTGTAACGTGGATTGTGAAGTGATGAATAGTACGGTCTGTGTGCTACAAAATCAATATTCTTTATATAAAGAGTTTTAAATCTTGAAACACAGTAGAATGAACTGTGGTGGGTGGAATATAATGATCATGCAGGTGGTATAAAATCAACATTTCAGGTGCAATTCCATCTACGAAATACTGTAGGTATGCATGGGTCTTACCGATTGCTCAATGACATATGGCACGTAAGTCCTGACTGACGCCAACGGCTTGGGAGAAAGTAGCCTGCGACAGCCTAGTGACAAAAGAGCCATGGCTCACTAATAACTATGAGAAAGACAAAGAAAGGAGACTGCACAACCAGAAGAGACTACAATCACTTTCAAAATTTCTTATTTTCTCTTTTCGAATGGTGTACACTGGTACGTGCATGCGATTACGTCATTGATCTTTGTCCTTACAGAAAAGCTTTTTCATGTTTGATTTGTTTGTTGTGCATGTGGTGAATGTTGGACAATGACTATGTGGTTTGTTGATGCCCATTTTCATTGTCCTGTAATCGTGTTGTTTTGACGTGCAGAATCGCACTACAGAGCATTCCTATTATTTTTGAAAATACATGTAGGTCGTTTATGCCGATATTATATATACAGCTGTCTCTCGGATTCGCTGCACGAAACAGTTGAACATTTTCTTTTCATACCCATCATGAACTGAAACTTGACTTGAGAGTGCAGACGGAAAATAAGCAGGACTTCATCGAATTTTGTTTGCAAAGCATGTGATCATGGGTCTCGTCCTCTCCAGTCCAAGAGCTCAGCTCAGTGAAGACGACATTCAAGAGATGAAAGCACTCACTGGATGTAAGTGCTGACATGCAGCAAATTTAATGTGTAAGATTGCTTCTTTTGAGTCCAAGCATTTGCAACATATAACGTAAAGTTCGCACATCCGCGTTAACACCGACTACACAATTGTGTTGAGAAACACACCCATTGCAACACTATAACGTGACGATGATAATAAGTTATTAATAATTGTCTAAATAAGTAAGAAGTCGACGTGGAGACAACAATCAAAGTTATACTCATAGTCATACTGCTTATAGCTTTTTCTAAATACTAGTACAGTACTGTCGGGCGCCGAAGAACGGTCAGGCTAGAATTTTATCAATTTTTAAGAACGGTCTAGGCAGCACAAGCAGAATCGCTTAATGTTTTCCACCGGAAGCAGCTCCGACGGCTCATTGGCATAGTCTACCCAGCCAGGATATCAAATACTGAGCTGTATGAGAGGTGCAACACGGAACCACTATCTGACATCGTGGACAGGAGAAGATGGCAGCTAACCGGCCATATTCTCCGTATGGACAGGGATGCGCCGCCATGGATCGCGCTGACGGGCTATTTTGCGGGAGATGCCAAGGCTGGGCGTGGACGTCCAAGGACATCCATTGCGACGCGCATCACAAGCGACTTACAGAGGAGGAACATCGACTTGAAGCGCAGCAGTCAGCTGGGGAATGTGAGGGCCATCGCTCTGGACAAGCCTACATGGAGAAATCTGGCCGACAATCCATGATCTGGCGTCACAGGTCATCAGTGCGCCGTGTTAATAATTACCTTGATAATGGAATTTGATCATAGGAGATAGGACAAAAGCGGAACGTATAATTATACCCACATAATTATATTATTACGCGTGCTGTGGTATTATTATTATTATTATTATTAAGAACGGTCTAGGCTGGATGTTTTGCAGATAAGAACGGAAACCGTAATGTACACAGTGAAGTACACTCGGACGTATAGCTCTGCATAAATGTACCGTAAAATCCCGCCAGAGCGCCCGTCTCTCCTATCCGCCCCTCCCTGACTTCTTGTCAGGGACGTGATTGGTTGTATCCTCGTATGACTCTGTCACAGTCTGTGATGCCGTACTGTACTGCAGACGCGTGCTCGACTCCGTTGGAAATGTACGCAACAGTGCCCACCCTCTTGACCAGGGATCGCACAAACCCTGAGTTTTGACGGGTCTGTAAAACTCCTGGCTTGACCTTTGGTCGGTGTACGAGATGCACGAACAGTTTTCGTAGGGTGAGTACTTTTTCATGTACAGTACTGAATGCGGCAAGTAGGACTTGCCCATCCGCCCCTCCCCACCTGAAGCGTCGAGGAGGTAGGGGCGCTCTGGCGGGATTTTACGGTACATGTAAGACTGTACCATCCAATAAGAACGAAACTGCTGTGTTCGCTAAAATTAAGAACGGGCTAGGCTAGAACCCTGACCCCCCCCCCCCCCCTCCAGTTCTTCGGCGCCCGACAGTACTGTACTGTAGAACCAAACTTTCCGGCACATACATGTTACAGGACCGCCGGAAGCAGTTTTTGATTGGTCCGGTAGTATCATGGCCGTTCATACTTTGTGTATGATATGGTGGGTACACGTGCCCTCTACAGTAGGAAACAAGTGCTGGTGACCATGTTACATGCATGAGCATGTCCAGAAAAAAGACCGAAAATATCGATACCATGTACCATTTGTATGTGTTCGTTTCTCAGGGAGGGGGAGGGGGTTGAAGAGAAACTACTAGTTTTCGTTTCTATATAAATATCGGTATTTACGGAAGGCCCCTAATGCGAAATCTACAAAATGCTTAAGGATTGCATTAAACAAAATCAGCTGAAGCGTCATTTTACGAAGGTTTTATTGAGATGTCACGCACAAATTCTACAAAATGTGTTAGGACAGAGTGTGTAGAGAACACATGGCAAGTCAGTGGAGCAGGAAAAAGTCTTAACGAAGCTAGTCAGAGATATGCATGGACAGTAACATGGCAACGCTGGTCAAATACTGTATTTCTAGCACTGATATTTTTTGATCTTCAAACCTGTGTCGCAAACACATAGCACTGTCAATTTGATGTTTTTCTTGAGCAGCCATTCGTGCTGCCACTTTGGTTGCTGAAATTGTATTCCTGGGATGAATTCTACTTCAAAAGAATACTAGTACAAGATCTGTTTACTTGAAGCCTTTTCTAAAGGCCGAATATGGGCGACTGGCCTGTATTTAAAGCTGGGCATGGGTATGGGTCCTACTATTGGAAGCACAGGTTGTGGGTATTGGAAGCACAACGTGTGTGATATATCGGCATTGTTTGTGTGTGCATGTTATACGAGCATAGTCCAGCTGCTGGAAATTGGCGTACTAGTACAGACACGTAGCTTCTTTGTGAAACTTCAAGTTTACTTGTTCTCCGGTGTTTTGTACTTTGCAGTTACTGGAAGGCAGATTGTTCGCCTGTACCACCGCTTCAGTCACCTTGATAAAGGAGATAACTATTTACTAAGGTATGTGTGTGTGTGTGTCATGGTCTTGGTCATGGTAGTGTTGCATCTTAGGCTCATCCTGTCAACAAGGCACTTCCAGGGTCCTAGCCAAAGGGGGAGGGGGGGGGGGGGGGGCAGCGCTCTCCTACTCTGATTGAGTAACCCCTTGGAGAAAGTGCCCCCCCCCCCCCCCTTCCTCATTTGTCGATTTTTGTGATTTTCATGCCATTTAACGAAAATGCAGTAGATAGCCACTGCTAGAGGGTTCATAAAGGCACATTTGCCTGGGGTGAAATCGGGGGGCTGACCCTGTACGTTGCATTTGGCATGGTAAGACAATTTTGGAAAATGGGTTGCTGTCTCCCCCTCCCCCCCACTATTTTGACCTGGCTAGAACCCTGCACTTCTCATCCACATGTCCAGTAAAGCCTGTAATGGCGACCACTCGGATATGGCGACCACTCGACCATGGCGACCACAGATGTACATGGTGCATGCACGACATTTGACAGGTCTGAGGCCCCCGGGCACGCCGGCACATGAGTAATAGTATAACATACTAGTAGGTCATTAGGTGTGTGCAGTGTAATGCACGGATCGAAATGATATAATTATCGCATGTACATGTGAATATGTCAGAGCTTGCGTTGGGTGAAGCATTACCCTCGCTCGGCCCAGCCCTATGGCTCCGCTCCCTGCCATACTGGCAATCCAGGACTTGCGTCCCGCAGCAAAGGATTGGAACTCCATCTCCTTGTAAGTTATTGGGGCATGAAATTTTGAGCTGTCCTGACTCCAGGAAAATGCTTGAATGCGAGGCAGCGCATCGCGCAGTACTCGTCAGAACTTAGGTTGGGTGAAGCATCACCCTCGTTCGATCTAGCCCCATGGCTCCGCTCCCTGCCATACTGGCAAACCAGGACTTGCGTCCCGCAGCAAAGGAATGGAACTTCATCTCCTTGTATTGGGGCATGAAACTTTGAGCTGTCCTGACTCCAGGAAAATGCTCCCAATGCTCGTCAGCGCATTGCGCAGTGCTCGTCAGAGCTTGTGTTGGGTGAAGCATTACCTCGCTCGACCCAGCTCCATGGCTCCGCTCCCTGCCATGCTGGCAACCCAGGACTTGCGTCCCGCAGCAAAGGAATGGAACTCCATCTCCTTGTATTGGGGCATGAAGCTTTGAGCTGTCCTGACTCCAGGAAAATGCTCAAATGCGAGGCAGCGCATCGCGCAGTAATCGTCAGAACTTAGGTTGGGTTAAGCATCACCCTCGTTTGAACTAGCCCCATGGCTCCGCTCCTTACCATGCTGGCAAACCAGAACTTGCGTCCCGCAGCAAAGGAATGGAACTTCATCTCCTTGTATTGGGGCATGGAACTTTGAGCTGTCCTGACTCCAGGAAAATGCTCCAATGCGAGGCAGCGCATTGCGCAGTGTTCGAGCTTGTGTGGGGTGAAGTATTACCTCGCTCGACCCAGCTCCATGGCTCCGCTCCCTGCCATACTGGCAATCCAGGACTTGCGTCCCGCAGCAAAGGAATGGAACTCCATCTCCTTGTATTGGGACATGAAGCTTCGAACTGTCCTGACTCCAGGAAAATGCTTGAATGCGAGGCAGCACATCGCGTAGTGCTCGTCAGTAGTATGTGTCGAGCTGGTTTTGTAGTAGGTACATGTCCCCGTTTGAAAAATCGGGTACTAGTGAGGGTACTATTGATAGTACCACCATTTTTGGGGTAAAAAAACCGGGTGCCCTGTTTTTGCGTAAAAATGATTTTTCGGGTGGTGGAGGGGGTATGACATCATGATTTCATCAAGCTGGTATCAGATGAGAGACTACAAAGTTTACTCTTCGAATACGTGTGAGGATGGATTAGCCCATGACCTCTTCCGTGACACGCAGTACGAGGTGGAGTTATCGGACGCTCTGATGTGCACTAATGGTTCCACCCAGTCAGCAATCAAACTGTCGGTCGACGACCTCCTTTGCACCTCCATCGTGTCAACAGTCGACTCGGGTAATTTTGAGATGAATCCATCCTCACTGGTGTCTATTGCACCAACTTGCACGAATCCTCGTTACTCGTGTTGCAACGGCACGGAGTTGAACGACCTTGGTGAGCTTCAGGAGTGCGTCCCAGGCAAGTCCAGGCAGTGTAAGGTAGTTTGCAGGATCCAATCCATAAGTGTCGTACGCTGTTTTACAGAAGTTCTCGAATACATCGGCCAACAGGAGAGCTTCGGTTGGGTGAAGTATTGCCTTCTCAGTCTCTGGACCCAGCCCCATGGCTCTGCTCCCTGCCATACTGGCAAACCAGGACTTGCGTCCCGCAGCAAAGGATTGGAACTCCATCTCCTTGTATTGGTGCATGAAACTTTGAGCTGTCCTGACTCCAGTAAAATGCTCGAATGCGAGGCAGCGAATCATGCAGAACTTGCTCAATACTGCAAACAAACAAGGACAAATTTACAGGAAGAAGGTTACCGGTACTTTTTTTACAAGTGCTCTCACCAGCGCCTCTACCACTGGACATAATATTATTGTATGTGTATTGTGTACACAGTTGGCAAATGCACCCTCCAGGTCGTATGCAGAATCGCAGCGAGGATCCACCACTGCTGCACCGGTTCCAGTATCGACCTTAGAGCTTTCTATAATGCTTCCTGACCTTCGCTTTGAGATTGTCAATTTTGTTATGGATGACAGTTTGCGGAAAGTCCTCCGAATCCGGTCCGCACCATTCTCGAGCGTACTGACTTATGGTGGCAGTCATCTCCTTCTCCTTGACCTGTTCTCTTCTTCATTTTTCCGGTCTCGTCTCTCTGGTACTCTGCCCATATTAAACTCTCAATTATTTTTTTCTCTCTAAATCATCACTAAGTACAACTCAAGGCATGCTGATCGACGACGCGAAATGCACAAGCGGCACAGCTACTGTACAAGGCACTGCTACTGTACACGGAAACACTGAAACTCTGAGGAGTAAGAAAAGACTACTCTCAACCCTATATCACTAAAGAGGACAAAGGCCAAGACCAGTAAAATGAGTTCAAACAGAAGGCTGATGCTGTACTACGACCAGCGAGCTGCAACCAGGACACGGAGCGCGAAGATGAGGCTTTCTACATGGGTGCACCGGTTGCTGAAAACCTACGAAGTGCGCATTGCATTTCCCGTGCACTGCCTTGACGAATTCTACTGTAGTGCGGCTTTTTTATTATCATATTTTCCGGAGTATAAGCCGCACTTTGAACACCAGTAATTCACCCAAGAATGTCGATGCGGCTTATTCTACGATGGTGAAATTAACGGTGATAAATGTGATGTAAAGGAATATCCGCATATTCGGAATATTCTAGAATACCGTCATCGGAAAGAATATTCGAATGGAGGCAGTACCATTCGAATGTTCCATTACTCGAAAATCCGTGCTGCGTTACTGTACTATGCAGCTCCGACCATGATCTTCTTAGGCTGCGTTTACACGACAACGCTGGGGTGAAAACGCAACAACATCCTTTCGGATGCATGGTTCATTAACACGTTACGAGGAGCAAAACGTAAAAGTTGTACACCAAAACGGAACAAAACCAAAACGCTGGCCAAGGTGGAAGAAATTGAAAACGGAAATGTTCTGCCGGATAAATTTGGGTGTGTAAATAGTCGAAACGGTATGCTGGCCTCGTTTGCCGTCACGTGTGTTTCGTTTTCGGCCGTTTACACGGATCCGACAATCAAAAAAAAAGTTTTTACAATTTTCGTCATGTGACGAGTGTTGTTTTGTGGCCTGCTTTCAACTATTGCTTGAGTGTGATTGGTGCTTCCACGACAACACTTGGCACATGACAAACTTTTGCGGATCCTTTGCTCCCGTGTAGACGCGCGAAAACGATACAAACGGAGACCACCTCGGGTCTGCATTGATCGTGTAAACGCACGAAAACGAAAAAGAAATGCGGGACTGAAACCGGAAAACTGGCTGTGCGTTGTCGTGTAAACGCAGCCTAAGTAGTGTTGAGGATGAGAGTGTAGATTATGTACTAAGAACTGTGAGGCTTGTTCAAATTTGCTCTTCCATCAAACTATCCACGTGATCAAGAGTACATAAACCAGAGTGTGCAACTGTGCATATCAGATCTGAAACAGCGCAGTTCGTGCACTACGTCACCCTAATGAGGTCAGCCAAGCAACGACTTGCGCACAGCTCAAATTTTCGTGTTTCATAGCCCGGAAATCAGCCAAGTTTGCTTGATTTTAGACGTCCTGTTTCAGGATTTCGGTGTTTTTGTGCGACTGTGTACGCTGTGTACGCTGCGTACATCCACCGACAAGTAAATTCACCAGGCTATCCGTATCAAAAAACCGAAATCAGGACAAACTCAGTGACCTGCACCACCGTGACTGGTTACGCAACTTTTCACCGTACCTGTGGCTTACCATGCCGTCAGAAATGACGTACTGCACGAATTACGCTCCCACAGGAACCATCCCGAGTTGCACACTCTGGTTTATGTACTCTTGACGTGATCAGTAGACAACATGACTGTCGGGTCTGATTGAGTGAAGGGGCTGAGCCACATGAGAAGAATATAGACTATTCGTTCGTTCGCCAAAGCAATATTCGAGAGAATATTCGTTCGAAGAAAACACCATTTCTTGCATCATTGGTTAATGTCTGTATTTCATGACGAAAATTCTATGTGCGGCTTGTACTCCGGGAGTACTTCACCAGGCTATCCGTATCAAAAAACCGAAATCAGGACAAACTCAGTGACCTGCACCACCGTGACTGGTTACGCAACTTTTCACCGTACCTGTGGCTTACCATGCCGTCAGAAATGACGTACTGCACGAATTACGCTCCCACAGGAACCATCCCGAGTTGCACACTCTGGTTTATGTACTCTTGACGTGATCAGTAGACAACATGACTGTCGGGTCTGATTGAGTGAAGGGGCTGAGCCACATGAGAAGAATATAGACTATTCGTTCGTTCGCCAAAGCAATATTCGAGAGAATATTCGTTCGAAGAAAACACCATTTCTTGCATCATTGGTTAATGTCTGTATTTCATGACGAAAATTCTATGTGCGGCTTGTACTCCGGGAAGTACGGTACGTAGTGTTGTTGCAGCCTTACCTACCTGTCTTGTACATGTACAGGCCGATGTTCTTCAGAATGTGTACTTCGAAGTATACATGTACATGCAGACGTTCTTCAGAATGTGTGAACATGTACATGTACATGCCGACGTTCTTCAGAATGTGTATACAGTCAACTTCGCTTATATAAGTTATAACGACTGCGGAAATAACGACAATTCGCGAATAACGACAGAATTTCCATTTCCAGAGCAAAGTCCCATCTAACTGTATACATTTAACTTCGGATACGACTATCTGAATAACGACAATTCGCGAATAACGACATGCTTTTATTGCCCCAAGGTCATATTCACTGCTTGAATAATGACTTTCTGGGTTTTTGACAGCTATTTCAAGTACCTGTCATGCAGAAGTGTCAGAACCCATGGCAATGGATAAAGGCACACATGCAAGAAGATGCAGCCAAGGGGGGGGGGGGGGCTTTTATTTTTATTTTTATTCAAAATAGTTGGAGTGATCAGCACAACTACATTGTACATGAACTTGACCAAGTAGTTGGACATGGTTGTACAGTAATCATCATACATGTCCCTGTAGATGGCTCCAAAAGGCTAATTTTTCAATCTATTTCCCTTGCATATTGACTTTATAGTTCCTTTCAATTGTAACATGAAAATAAAGCACACATTGGCATAGAGCATGAAAAGAGCTTCATTTTGATCTGCATGTCATACTATACAAAATATGGGTTCACATACATTTAAATGGGACTTCGGGTATAAGGACACTTCGCGAATAAGGACACTTTTCTGATGCCCCGCCGAATGTCGTTATTCGCAAAGTTGACTGTACATGTACAAGTACATGCCGACGTTCTTCGGAATGTGTATACAGTCATCCCTCTCTAATCCGGCACTTGTTTATCCAGCACCCTTGCAAACCAGCACACTTTCTGGCAAAACGGATTTTTTCAGTTCATTTTCTACGCTTTAATCCGGCACTTGAATTCCGCCTCCAGCAGCGATTTTCTGCAACAAATCACTCAAACTGTACATAATTCGATTTTCTAATCCAGCAGTTGTACATCGCATACTGTCAGGGACCATTGTAACATACACAACAAATGTAACATACACTTGGGAATATCCTATGCTAGTGCATAAGATGTTCCCAAGTGTATGTTATAGACATGCATTCCACAAAGTACTTGGTTTGACACAAAAAATCCCTACGTTTTGACGTACGACACAAACATGTATGATAAGTAACATGTGGGCCGGGTTGTAGGGCAGGATTTGATAATCCAGCACCCTTGTTTATCCAGCAGAAAATGCCGTTGCAAAAGGTGCCGGATTAGAGAGGGACGACTGTACATGTACATGCAGACGTTTTTCAGAATGTGCATATCTCGCTCAGGTCTCCCCTCCGTGGCTTGACTGTGAAAATGGCTTAGTGCTGCAACTGTCTTGTGCTTGGACCTGTCCTGTTTTGATTTTTCTCTAGTCGAGAAGACCTTGAACGTATTCCAGAACTTGCTATCAATCCACTGGGTTCTCGGGTTCTTGATATGTTCTTCCCATCACCGTAAGTTTTTTTGAACAATGCCGCATCCACACACACCATATCAAACATGCGCACGCACACACGTACACACACACACGCATGCGCGCGCACACATACACACACACGCACGCATACCATGCATATACACGCACTTGCACTTCCCGATATGTTGGTACTCTTGTTATTCGCATGGCGATATGTTTGAGAATGCGCACTTGATTGAGACCCCAAGGGGATTTTGACAACTTTGTGCTGACAGTGCAATGTATTATTCACAGTTGAGTCATGCACTCTTTGCCTGCAGGACAGGTATACACTGTAGGTGGCTGCACTCAGAGAGGTGTAAGAACTTTTTTGGGGGGGAAATCCTTGGTTGCAATCCCCTGCGTGCAGCAATTGCACTACACTCTGCTGTTCTTGTGTTATGGTTGTTTTCAGGAGCGATGAGGATGCAGAGACCATGATCAATTTCCCGAAATTTCTGGACCTGCTCTCGATTTTCCGCAAGTCAGACCGCAGCGACAGCACAAAGCAGAGAGACAGAAAATTGAAATGTAAGTTGTGAACTTTTACACACTGGTCACTCTACAACAGTCTAGCATACACACACACACACACACGTTGAAGGAGAGACAGACAGACAGGCAGGCAGACAGACAGACAGAGGGGGGGGGGAGGGAGAGAGACAGACAGAGACAGCTGTGTTGCAGCCCACAGTCTCCTCCTCATTCACGATCATCCGGTTGCCTGATGATCGTGAATGAGCATGACACGCGCAGCTCTCTCTCTCTCTCTCTCTCTCTCTCTCTCTCTCTCTCTCTCTCTCTCTCTCTCTCTCTCTCTCTCTCTGTCTGTCTGTCTCTCTCTGTCTCTCTCTCTCTCTCTCTCTCTCTCTCTCTCTCTCTCTCTCTCTCTCTCTCTCTCTCTCTCTCTCTCTCACTGACGCTTATTTATGTGTGCAGGATGTGGTTCACACACAAGACATGCACATACGCATTCATGCACGTATACTGTTCCAGAAGGCTGAGTCCTTGGTGTGGTGTGGGTGGCCTCCCACTCGTCCCATGCTAATTGTGACTTTTTTTTCTTTTTCTGTATATGTAGTTGTATTCGAGCTGTATGATGCAGACAAGGATGGTGTGGTCACCAAAAAGGAACTATTTGATGTAAGTGGAGCAAAACAGTTTGTTTCTGTAAATATGTGTCTGTGGCTGTGTTGCCTACTCCCAAATGGGCCACAACCAGTGGGCCTCTTTTCTTTGGCATGTGAGTACATGTGCCGTAGAATACGGTTAGAGCAAACAATTGCAAACAATTGTGTGTTGTCAATACTTGTATTGTCTGCCTGTGTACAGGTTGTGGCGATGATGGTTGGCGAGTGTGAAGACAATGAAATGGTGAGTTTAAAGCCCAAGTTTGTTGTAAACTAAAGAAACACAAATTTGTGCTCAAGAAATCGCTGGCTGTTCATTGGTACATCATGTTGTTACAAGCTGGAGCATGATATAGCCAGTATTCTGAATGATATGGAGCTGTTTTTGCTGCTGGAAATATCCTGTCCACTGTGATATGATCCTGTGGGTGTAATTCCAGATTCAAGAGGTTGTGGTGCGAACAATGGCAGAAGCCACAGGCTCAGAAGATGGGCCGCTCGACTTTGACTCATTCGTGTCTGTAAGTCATCCTTTCTTAGCGGGGAGAATGTTTTTTTTTCATTTCTGTCAGTGTTGAGTAAAGTAGTGTGCAGACTAGATCATACTTGCCAACCCAGCCAAAGCCGTTCCCTTACACACTGGCACAGTTTCCTCTTGTTTGCCTTATTTTGTTGGTTTTCGAATTTCCGGGCCAGTTTTCTCTCTCTTTTTTTGCCCGCAGTTCTTTTTTTCGTTTTGCCCGCAGTTCTTTTGTTGTTTGAAAACAGCACTTAGCGACATTAGACACCCTTAGCAAACAACGTTATGTTGTAACGGTATTATCGTAAGGGGGAAAATACCGTGATTTGGGTTCGACCTTTAGCAAGATGCACGCTATTTTTAGTACGCTGTTGCCACGAGAATAGCTTTGATTTCGCGCGGTACAACCATTTTTTCATCATATACGCGATACAAGGTGAAATGCGTACGGACTATGCAATATTTGGCTAAAACACGTACCGTTGGTCACAACGATAAATCAGCCCCCATAACGTTTATACGCTGCAGCTTCAACGCTATTTGGGTGATCAAGGTACGAGTACCGTAAAAAATAGCGTTACCGTTGTTTGCTAAGGGTGTCTATTGTATGGTTTTGCATGCTAATGGCGTTTCACTTGCTTACACCGCTGTTGTCCATACTTTGAAGGGTAATGATTTGTGAAAGCCCTTTTTGGAATTATCAGTGGCTTCATTTTGTGGGCGCTGAGCCATCTTTGATTCTATGTGTGTGTCTGTGTGTGTTTTCTTGTAGCTGATGGCATCTTGCAACGTGGAACAAAGTCTTGTTGTTGGTTTCGGTCAGTGAACTATACAGACGTGCATTATATTCCGTGTACACTGATAGTCCCATGCTGTTCTATATCTACCAGTCAGTACCAGAGTGTTCTGTACAGGCACCCGCAACCGATTGATTGTGTCAGTCTGTACGTTGCTTGCTTCACATTGCTTCTCTATACATTGCCCTTCCCCTTATTTTCACGTATCCAACAGTGGCATCCACTTTTGTTTGTTTCCTTTATCTTGTCGAACTACTTTGAGTACACATACCATGACAGTCAAGTGGGTAAGTATTGGTTGTCCCCAGAGAGTTCCTGTACAGTAATACTGCTTGTACATAGTATGTGTGTGCATGCGTGTGTGTTTGCACGCTGCATTTGCTCATAGCCATAGGTAATACCTAGCCTGCATTTCTGTGTTATTTTCATTATTGTATTTAGTCTTATTCAAACCCATTCTTGAAAGCTGAACCAAGTTTTTTAGATTATTAAAATTGTTGTCCCCGTGGCATTTATTCAATTTTTTTAAATACTCCTTTAGCTAATAATTATATGAAAGGGAGTTCCAATCTCTGCAGGTGTGGATACTTCTTGCTGCAGGCGGGCCTCTTTGTACCCGTCTACTCATGCTGATCTGCCCGACGATGCCCTGTGCGTTTCCATGTGCCTCCTTTTCCATTGCTTGAACTTGTGTTTCATTAGGTTCGTTTCCTTGTGAAGCTCTAGCCTTCTCCATGAGGCAAAAGAATTCTTTATCCCCTTTTAACCAGATACACTTACTTGTAGCATTTGTTCTTGAGGGCTGGAGCTTCATCCTCGGTGTCCAGCTGACCAGCCTGGTACGGATGTTTCGTAAATGCGGCTAACTCTGATGAGGCCTAGGTTTACGTAGTGAGCCAGCTCCTGCATGTGCATGGTTGTGTATGTGCATGGTTGTGTATGTGCATGGTTGTGTATGTGCATGGTTGTGTATGTGCATGGTTGTGTATGTGGGACACCTACATGTACATGTATTGTGTAGTATTGCATCGGAATTGGAAAGCTTGGAGCTTCCTCTTCGATCTACATATTTCGATATTCCCAACAGGACTAACGACAATGGAGTTACGACAGTTTTACGGTACGCGAAAAAATTGAAGTCCATAATAATTATGGACTGATGCACCCGCGTAAAGGGTTGAAGCTCTTATAATCTTGGCGTTGCCAGGTGGGTCTCCTTATCCAGGGTGACAGGGTCATTTGACTGGGAATAGCATCCCTTGCCTTGGTCCTAGTTGCAGTGGTCTTCTTGGACAGTTGGCCCGGTCGGCCTTGACTGGTTTTACTACACATGCAAGTCAACCCTATCAAAACTGTTGAATTCTAAAAGTATTTTTAGTCCTAAAATTTCGGACTAAAATGTCAAGGGCTATTTTTAAGGCCACAACTCACTAACTAATCACTTGGCACAAGTACAACATGTGGTAGTCCTGACTGAAACCGGTGCATCGTTGACACATACGTGTCATGCACATAGTCATTGTACAATCATGATTGTATAATATCTGTCTATTTCAACGATGCACCGGTTTCAGTCTGTACAGACAGTACCTATGGTACCGGTATGTCTATTTGTCTACCGCCCTTGGTGTGCGGCCATGGCAGCGCCACTGACTACATACACCACGGCCAAGCTGAGGAAGGTGCATCACTGCATGCGGTTGACGAGGCCTCGATGTTTTGTAGATCTACCTGTACATCCGCTGAGTCCGTGGGGAGCTAGCTAATGCACAACAGTTATATTACTGATACTTGGCAGTGATGTTGATCGCTAATGACAGTGCCGAGACCGACTGGACATGGATGATGATGGATCAAGGTAAATAAATAAAAAATATTGACAACACGAGAGCGAAGTTTGCGCCTAGCACCTACATAATCTTTGTAATTTGTAGGCTAGAGTAAAGGCCATACCAAGTGTGTTTGTGCGTACATGATCTATCCATCTATGCAGGCCGTGTGCTAAAACACCACGAAGCGTGTGTGAACTGAACTCTGAAGTAACGACGCCGAATCGCCGAGAATCCGAGCATCGGTAGTCACTGGTACAAGTGGTACGTAGTTAGCAGGTTCGGCCGCGAGAGGGTAGACTATCTACCGTCGGCGTCCATAGTTTTGCTCCGAGCCACAGCGAATGATCGATAGTCACTGTACTCTGTAGTACATTGTAGCGAAGTGACTTCATTCGTTCGACGTGCGGTGATCATAACAAGGCAGTCAGTTGTTGGCATTGAATGTTGGCGTGAGGAAGAGTCCACAAACCCTGTGGGCCTTGGCCTGGACTTTGAGGATAACAATGACTTCTCGTGATGCTCCGTTTGGTACGGACGAACAGCCACGGTACGACACAAAAATCGTGGGAGGAAGATCAGTTCTGCGTCCTATCGACACTCAGAAAGATGTTACCGCCCTGGACTCGACAAGGAACGAGAATGCATCGGAGTTTTCTGCCCTTGGGATAAAACAGGGCAATGACAACGTTCGATCTATGAACAAACTGGATTTGGGCAAGGAGTGTCCCGGAGGAGCCAAAGAGCTGAACAGCCATTGGCATAACACTATTCCCGACACGCCGGTTCTGGCCGGGCGAAAAGTGCTGCGGAAAGAGGATTTGCCGGGTGGTGAACAGATTTCGCGTTTAGGACCGTCATCCCTCCCGATGACAATTGGTCATCCCAGCGTCTTACCGCCCATCGCTAGCACGGCTGGTGCGGGCGATGTGAATGTGGAGCGCAGCTGCGGTGAGTCCTCCATGCTCGACCAATCTCTGTGTGCTAACAATACCTTGCCGGGGCGGTGCAGCACAGGCGCTGCTGCTGCTGCTCAGGGTAGATCTACTACATGTAGTACTGCTGTTAGAGACATCTGCGATGAGATACCCGCAATGATGCTAGATAGGCAACAGATGTACGACTTGCTGAAAGAACTGCAAGTGATCAATGTGACTAAAAGTGGCCTGCTAACTGAGGAGAGGCTGCAGCATATCACCAGAGACATCTGCCCCAGCCTTAGCCAGGCAGCCGTATCAAAGTTTGTTGAGAGATACCGATCCGAACATACGCTGGATGGTGACAATGAAAGAAGGCTACTCATTGACTGTGCTGCGATAATTGCTTTCCTTGAGCGTCTTATGCCACCGGCATCCCAGCATGATATAGAAATGTCAACCATGCTATCACAGGCAAGTGTCACACAAGTAGGATCGGCGCCAAAGGCATTCGAGCTCAATCGACTTAGTGCACTCAAGCGGCAAATGTCGTCGTCAGAACCTTCCCTGCTTACCATCGGTCAGCGTCCAGCCCCTCATGCTGTCTCCATGAAACTGCCTACGCCGCAAGTCAAGAAGGAGATGGCAGCAAACGATGCCCTGAATATCTCCTCGGCCATCCTAGCGTCAACACAACAGAAAGACATGCAGCTGGAGCAAAGAGAGAGCGCCGAGCGATTGCGTCAACGCCATGATGCCAAACTACTGCTGGCCGTGGAGAGAGACTGGATGGAAGCCATGCAATCTGCGAATAGCACAGCAGCGGAACAGTGCAACATTGACTTTCAGGCGTTCCAGCTTGCACTGGGACAGCTGGATTCAGAAAGGACGGGATCTACGCTATACTCACAGGTGACTGTGCCATGTTGTACTGTGTTGTACCATGATGTGGCATGTTGTACCATGATGTGGCATACAGTGTTACTGGATGGACCTCACTCGTCTTGTGAATTAGCCGTAGCGCCAGGCAACTGTTTCCATGGTACTCTAAACACTGGCCTGTACCGGATACCCTGCAGCGGGGCGCTAGCTTATTCAGAAACCGAGATTTCAGTGATCACGACTTTATTGCAGCATGTGATATACACTCATAAACTCTCTTATCCGGGCAGTCCTGCACCGGGCACTGCTCATACTGGGAAATATCTGTAACTCTGAATCATGCACTTCAGTACCCTATGATGTGCAAGTGCCAAAGATCTGGTATTATGACATCACTATTTCCACAAAATTGGGAAATGAGTAGTAATAATTCCACTAAAACTTGCCCAACAGGGTGATGCTGGGTAGACCGAGCCGCCCGTAACTTCGAGGTCCGGTTTGAGAGATATGAGTGTGCCAAGTACCGGATCAATGGTGTATCCTGTCTAGGCTTGCAATGGTTGTGGGTGCGAGAGCTAGTATCTACAAGTGAATGCAAGCACATAACTACACATGGATCACGTACAAATAGTTGGAATACGGACAGTACATGTGCTGTACTAATCCGTACCTGCAGCCAGACTGTGTGCTGTTGTGCTGTACCAATCAATGCCTGCTGTTGTGCTGTACCAATCAATGCCTGCTGTTGCCCTGTAGGTACTGCAAGCATGCCGGCAACACAAGCTGCCTATCTCCACGCAGACACTACATCATCTTTGTCGTAGGTGTGATCACAGCAGCGATGGCTATGTCAGGTAAGACCGGTGCAGATACAGCATAACCACAGCTCCCTTTTCTTGTCCACTGAGTTTGATTTAGTTCGAATAGCTGCAATTACTCCTTACTAAAACTGCGGATGATGACCCACGGCTAAGCCACTGAGGAGTATCCTTCCTTTTGAATGGATACCTGCTTCCATGATGTGCAATGCAGCGCTGATATTGGCCCCGTTTGTTTGGCCACTATCTGACTCTTTCTTTCTTTCCTCTCTCTCTCTCTCTCTCTCTATCTCTCTCTCTCTCTTTCTCTCTCTCTCTCTCTCTCTCTCTCTCTCTCTCTCTCTCTCTCTCTCTCTCTCTCTCTCTCTCTCTCTCTCTCTCCCCCCCCCCCCCTCTCCCAACATCTCCTCTCCCCCGGGCTCAACCCCTCTCCCCTGGGCCATATTCCTCTTCTCCAGACTTTACTCTTCTCCTCCAGGTTCATGCGCCAATGTCAATGTACGAGTCTTGTACACCGGCGTCATGTGACCGTCAATCCCTGTATTATCTGGCATACACCGTCGATACTGAAGCTATGGCTAGCTATGGTAGACAGACTAGTAATGTTTATTGCTTCTGTGTGACATTATGTTGGTGTGTGTATATGTGTGTCTGTGTGCCTGTGTGTGTGTGTGTCTGTGTGTGTGTGTGTGTGTGTGTGTGTGTGTGTGTGTGTGTGTTGTTGATGTTATCATCATTGCTCCTATAGATGGGTAGAGCTGTTAGATTTCTTGGAGCGGGCACGGCCCATTCAACTGCAAGGTGCGAGCACTGGGAGTGATGGGACTGCAAACGGAACGCAACACAGACCAAACCAACACTTCCAGAAGAAGCCGTCCGGTTTGAGTGCAATGACTTTACTTCCTGAGTCCCTCAGCATAGAGGCTCCCGGTCAGTACAGTAAACTTCATCTTCCGAAGATCGAACGACTAAAGGCCGAATCACCAACGACCGCGATACTAAAATCACCCAGTATGAATTCACTGTGTGATAAAAACAAGGCTCTGCAGGGAATGCGACGTTTGCAAGCGGCTTTGAAGATGTCCGCTGATTCCAGTTCTGCAGGAGGTACGTACACATGGCCACACAAAGTACAGTCAACTTCGCTTATAACGACACTCGGCGGGGCATCAAAAAAGTGTCCTTATTCGCGAAGTGTCGTTATACCCGAAGTCTCATTATATGTATTCCAGTTGGAAGGGACTTTGCTCTGGGCATGGAAATGCTGTCGTTATTCGCGAATTGTCGTTATATCCGCAGTCGTTATGAGCAAAGTTGACTGTAGCAGTCAGCATACTGTGATTGGCCTGTATGGGAGGGGGGGGGGGGGAGGGGGCAGTTGAAGATGAGTACAATCATGTAACTTAAGTTAGTATGTGTGTGTCAGGAGGGGGATGATTTCCTGTGAACCTCGCCTATTCCACACACAGAACACAGACAAGCATTATCAGAACACGATATTGAGCTTGTGACGAACAGGAGCACATCTGTTGTTGCTCCACACACACACGGCAGTAATGCAACAGCCCGCCATAATGAGACATGATTAATGTTGTGGATGTGAGTGGATATGCACCTTCTTTTGTTTTGTCTGCCGCATGTAGGACAAACTGATGTGAGTACTGCGCAGCGTCTTGTCAACATGCACAACACTGTCTACCAGTTTTCCCTTCCGACTGACTGCATTCAACGATTCATCTTGGAGAGTCGTGTACCAGCCATTGATGATGGGCTGTCAGTATCAGCGCAACGCTGCAGCTCAGCTGGATCGCACAATTCAAAAGGTATGTGTATCACACGCTGTTCACAACGAATTTATTTATGACCAACATTGACCTGTGGTCCTTTCTTTTCTGATCATAGGATACCCGTACACCGTTCACTATGGCGGGGCCAAACATTCTCAACAGCCGGAGCATGTACTGCAATAAATAACTTCAAGAGGTAGACAAATCCTGAAAATATTTGACTTTCAGCCCGCGCCGTTTTTAAGGCTACAAGTCATGATTGTTATGGGGCAGTAGGTTTTATCCTGGATCAGAAAATGCAGCAAGATGTGGAGCAATAGTGACCACACCAACTCTATTTTCACTGTGTGCGTGTGTGTGTGTGTGTGTGTGTGTGTGTGCTTGTGTGTGTGTGTGTGTGTGTGTGTGTGTGTGTGTGTATGTGTGTGTGTGTGTGTGCTTGTGTGTGTATGTGTGTGTGTGTATGTGTATGTGTGTGTGTGTGTGCTTGTGTGTGTGTGTGTGTGTGTGTGTGTGTGTGTGTGTGTGTGTGTGTGTGTGTGTATGTGTGTGTGTGTATGTGTGTGTATGTGTGTGTGTGCTTGTGTGTGTGTGTGTGTGTGTGTGTGTGTGTGTGTGTGTGTGTGTGTGTGTGTGTGTATGTGTGTGTGTGTGTATGTGTGTGTATGTGTGTGTGCTTGTGTGTGTATGTGTGCACATACTTGTATATGTGCATGTGTGCGTGTTTCCATCTACCTATCTGCAGCGTCTCAGAAGCATCTGGATGTACGGAAGAACCTGTCTTGCAGCAGTGCTAGCTCGATGGGACGGCCACGCACACCATGTCCTGTTCTAATATCAATGCTTGTCAAGAAATTATGTGACCACCTGGATATCAGCGAGGTCGAGATGGAGGACAGCAAAGATTCTGAACCAGTGGCTGACCTGTGATGAACAATGTAAAGCTAGCTTCAGAAGTTATTTCCACCGCACCAGTATGCAAGCATTACTGGGTTGCATTGCACTGATTTGTGAACATGTTCAGCACTACGCTACACGCATCAACAGGTGACCCAACTAACTTGATCTCTTGTTGCAATCCACGTCGCCATTCTTCCAGGACATTCGGCGAATTTGTCTTTTCAAGACTCACTCATTTGACCTATCAGTTTATAGTTTATACCAACGGAAGTATCAGCACAAGTATCAGCTCACCGTCACTCTATAGCTCTGGCTAAAGAAATTCGACTTCATGAATAAAGTTATTTGCAACCGCAGTCGAGCTCACAGAATAGTGTCCATATTGCTAGGGGTGTGTAGCACTATGCACTACTGGTATTTCTATTCAAGAGGGCAAATCGGTCAAACATACATGTGTGGATCAAAAAGTCCATGTCGTCATGACTGTGTTAGAGCAAGAGTACATAACCCCCTGAGATTCCCCTCTCCCTCAGAGTCTGCAACTCCTGCATGCAAAGTTGCTCTGACAGAGTTTCACGTTGAGGTCAGCTTTATCATAACCTTTATGATGCAACGCTTCTCTAAAATTCATGTGTTATTTCTGGTGCTGTCACAAGGACACTTTGAGTATCCTGCAAATCACATGTGTCTGCTGGTACAAGTCGGTACAGGATCAGATGGTGATGGATACCCACCACTGGTCCAGGATAGGTCTGAAAACACGCGCACATCGAGCCATAAAAATGACATCAATTGGAATGTCGCCCTACCGTTTAGGAGCTGCATCTGACACCAGTGATGGGATGGCGGCGTTCCACCGAAGCGGAAAGTGGCTCTTGACCCGCCCTGTACGCAGATCTGTAAGTCAAGCGAGTCAAGTTTGCACGCTGCACCATTTCACAGCTCAGTGGTCACAGGTCCTGATTTCACAGCTCAGTGGTCACAGGTCCTGGGCCAAAGCTGCACAGTGCCTGGTGGACTTCATTGAGCAGCTCCGATTATAATTTTACTTCGAAGTAAATTGGAATTCTGTTGGGACAGTACTGATAAGTACTGGAGCTGCACAGACTCTGTAGCGTAGTGTAGGGTACTTACTCTTTATTACATACATAATGATTACTAGACGTGCAGGGCAGCAGCAGCAGCACTCTGATGTAGATCGTGTGGAACCGCAGGTGTGCAGGGCATAGAACTATGTACTGGAAGTAGATGCAAACTCAAACTTTCAATCTTCAAAGTATAACAGCACGAAAATCAGTGTCAAAAACAGAGACGAGAATGGCATGTGATTAGAGAAGCGGCAGCAGCAGCAACAGAAACAGCACAGCAAGTACAACAGTTAGGGGAAACAGTTGGTTTTATGTTAAGTGGCATAAGGTTGACTGAGTCAGGAGAAAGACTATAAATTTCAAAGAACAATGACGGCATCCAAGGTAGTGACTGCTTATTTCTGTTCCTACAATCAGCAAATTTGTTCTCATGCATAACATGTATGATGAAGCGTATGGTTTTATCATTTCATGGTTGAATGTGTGAGGTACAAATGTACAGAAACTATGTTACCTTTCATGGAGATTATGACGAGGCTTCTGTTGCTGCTGTCGCTGCAGCTTCCTCACTGTTGCCCGCTGCCTCGGCAGCAGCTGATGTACCTTCCTCACTGTTGCCAGCCGCCTCGGCAGCTGCTGCACCTCCCTCATTGCCGTCCGACACCGCCGCAGCAGCTGATGCACCGTCTTGGTTCTCATCGCCTTCTGCTGGTCCAACCTCGTCATAGGTCTCCTCTTCTTCCTCACCACCCTCAGCGGCATCACCACCACCAGGAACCCACATTCCTGAGTCAATGCAGCGCTTGAGGTGGTGTGCAGCCTCCTCCTTGGGCAACGAACTCATTGCAACTTGCAAGCCAGCAATATCCTTCTCTTCAAAGCATTTTTGCAGAACCTGAAAACACATGCACAGAAAGAAGTGTCATAGGCTAGCTGGGAACAAAGACTGGAAGGAAGACCAATAAGAGAGAGAGAGAGAGAGAGAGAGAGAGAGAGAGAGAGAGAGAGAGAGAGAGAGAGAGAGAGAGAGAGAGAGAGAGAAACAAACTGCAACTAGTCAAGCAGGTTGTCATGCCAGACATAAACGCTGTGTGTCTTCACCTGGATGAAAACAGGTTCTTCAAAAAGGAAGCAAAACAAACATACCGCAGGAAGGGTTTCAAACACATCCACTGGATCCAAACCACCAGGTCCAAGGCGCTTCTGTCGCTCCTCCTGAACACCAAGCAACAGCATCAGGACATACATACAACAAAAATAAAACAGGCTACAGCCAAAAATGCATGACGGTCATGGGCACATACAGTACAGCACACACAGCCATCTAGCCAGACACATGCACACACATGGATGGAGACTAAGAGAGGAAGGGAGAGAGAGAGAGAGAGCCAAAGGGAAAGAGAGCGAGAAGAGGATAACGGAACTTGCATGACAATACATGCCTCAACAATCTCAGCAGTAGACGCGCAGAGTAGATCCACAGTCAAACCCCAAGCAGCATGTACTTATCAGAAAAGAATGTTTTCTTGTTGGATCACCACAGACACCAATCCATGAACAATAAGAACAAACAAAATACAGTACTCTGAAAATAGCAACGAAAGCCAGAAAAAAAACACTAAGAGCTAGGGGGGGGGGGGGGGGCACTGTACCTCTTCGTGTTCTTTCACAGCTGCCTCCAAGCGTGCCTGGGCACGACCTTCAACTCGCTCAATGAACGAGCGCACCTCATCTTCATATGCTGCCTGGTATTCCTTGTCAGCCACCTTGAATCTGTGAGCGAAAGGGAGATCGCAAGTCGTTTAGTGATAGTAGCAAGGATGCTTACAAGGGCAGGCGTTCAGGATTCCACACCACACGTCCTTGTGGTCTGTAAAGATTCGCAAGAATGTGGTCAACACTATCAGCATTGCACTACCGTAGTAGAACTTACTTGGAATAGAAAGGGCCAGTGCAGCCACGGGGGTCGGCATTGAGGGACTTGGCCAGCTGCAAGATGTACTGAAGTACGATCACTTGACGTGATACTCTCTCCATCAAGGAACGTTTCTGCAGATTAAAAAATGCAAGATAAAAGGGACAATCACCGGAAAGTTTTGTTTTTAAAACGGAAACATAAAGGTTACAAGGCAAACTTCGTGCACAACAGCAACAATCGAGTTCGCACCGCAAAAAAAAAACAAAAAACACACATACCACAACACAATGGATACTGTAGTGTAGGGGTCAAACGGGTGTACCTTTAACTAACGAACGGGTAATTTTCTTAACGGGCGGGTTAACGGGTACCCTTTAGCAGCCATGTTTAAGTTTTTGCGCAATGTTCACATAAATCAAGATTTTAATTAATCTGTTCTCGGGTTGCATTTTGATATCACATTGTGATTCGCAAATCAATTGATGTCTGATAGTCGCAGGAGTAGATCTACTAGGTGCGAAAATGCAACAACAATGCAGACATCCAGCGTGGAGTTGTAAATAATTGACTCCCGCCTGGAATACACGATCCCAGGAGTGTTGCTTCGTACTGACTGGTTCATCAAAATCCAAACGGGTACCGTTTTACTAACGGTACCTGAGATTACCGGTCGGGTACCCGGTACACCCCTTTGACCCCTAATGGATAGATGTTGCAAGAAGCTACTTTGAAGTCCACATATTGACAAAAATGAATACCACATGGAGCTAAACGTGTTCATACAATAGACGTCAGAAGAAGCCACTTCCAAGTACAGTACATGCATTGCACCATCAGTAAATGTACAAAAAAACCCAAGCCGGTCTAAAAAAGGTGCCGCAGGATAAAAGTTGCAAACAATAGAATAGAGTATACAGAACTGCACCAGTAGACATAGTGGACAGTGAAACACACCTCCTCAACACAGAGGTCGACACACCAGATCGACAGGAAGTTTGCGCCGTGATCACAAACAAGATAGTTATGGTCCTTGAGGAAACGCTCACTGTGGAACACAAACAGGAGACACAACCAACAACATTAGAAGTCTCCCCAAAATCCTACAAAGATAAGAACAAGCAATCGTGATGCAAATTAAGAAGACCCTTGCAGTACTAAAGAAATGCCTCCAGGATATCAAGAAAGATGCACAATGTCTGACTCTTTAGCGACGGTGTGTACTTGGATTGAAGTAAATTGCACTCAAACGTTCGTAACTTACCACAATCTTGATGACATTTTCTTTCAATGGAAAGTGAAATGGGTGGCAAATAGGGAATTTGGAGCTCTGTGGTGTTGAGTTTGAGCTCATTTTGTTCTGCTTACGGAGAGCTTTCCATATGAAACACGGCAGATCAGGACTGAAGCTACATGCATGACCCTAGCGAGGCACAACATTTACACATCAAAATACAAGTGATAGAGCTGCATGTTCATATATGGGAGATGCATTGCACTACGTTGAACTGCGGCTGACCTGTCCTCATGGCGACTGAACATGGCAAACTGTTTCATTTCCTTCATGTTCTTCTTGACAAAGTTTGACTGCAAAGAAAGGAGCACCATGTAACACAGACCAACACACATCGCACACAACATTCCTTAAGAACACAGTACAGCTATACCCTTGAAGTGGGCGTCAAACCTGATCAAGGAATGTAGCCGATAAGAAACATTCCAAAAGAATGTTCATTTCGAAGTACACAAGAGAGAGATTGGAAGCGTTGTTACAACTCTGAGTTTCACGTATTACTACGCTCATCAGGCAACTGATGGATCCAAAACGGGCAGCCAGAACATAAGGGGGAGCAAGGTGGGAAATTCTGAGGGGTGTCATAGGCGACGCGTATCATAGCGCAAGAGTCAGGTGCAGGCGTGAAGTTGCCAAGTCTTCAGACTTGGGGCTATGCAGCAGTAGTTCCGGCGTGAATGATATAGAATAGAGCTGGGGACAAATGCCAAATCCACACATGCCATATTTTGAAGTACACGTTTGCTGATGTCGAATACAGCAGTTTGTTTTGTCAATAGGTAGGTATGTTTGCCTAAAGTGGAGATTTCTGCCGACAACCCGTGCTACATTGTATGTGTATGGGCTGAATGAAGAATACCAGAATACCAGGCTGCAAAAGGCAAACACTTACATAGCCATCCACCCAGGCATCTTCACTTTCAGGTTGTGGTGCCGGTTCTGGAGTCTTATTGATCACCTGGGCACCAACAACATGACAAAAGAGAAACGGAAAAGGAACAGCATGAAGTGGACATAACGACAGTGGGACCAAGGTAAGATGGACACCTAGTTAGTAGTCATGTATTAAGTGCTTTCATCCAAGGCGAACCTTTTGGTGTCTCTAATGAATAATGGTAAATAATACAGTAGAATACTGATGTACAGCTGTATAATTACGGTGTAATTGGAAGGTCCTGTAGTAAAACAACTGTGAACACAATTCGGCTGAGCCATGAGGGCTTCAAAAGAGAAACCCGTGTGGATGTGCGTGTGCAGGCCAGCAGCGTACTTACAGACTTCTCAAAGCCAGGTTGGCTGAGAGTATCCACATTCCATGGTGTCAACTACAGAACACACAACACAGAGAAGAACAAGACAGGCAGTGGTAGTAGATATTACAATGTTCATACAACAATCAAGACAGGTAGCTGTGCTACTCTACACCCTAGGGTATGGCGTAAAGCATTGTCTCCATACCCTAAGGCAGAGCGTAGAGCATTGTCTCGATGCCCTAAGGCATGGCGTAAAGCATTGTCTCCATATCCTTAAGGCAGAGCGTAAAGCATTGTCTCCATACCCTAAGGCAGAGCGCAGAGCATTGTCTCGATGCTCTAGGGCATGGCGTAAAGCATTGTCTCTGAACCACTCAAAACCTGGAGAGCTAGAAAAGTAAAAAGAAAGAAGGACCTCTGTCACTGTGGTTTCACATATAAATATACAGAAAGGAGAGGAGAATGAAGTGAAAACAAACTAGAAGTGAACAACAAGTGCAACTTACTCGTTCATCCTTCTTCAGCTTTGAATCTTCACCTTCCAGAGACTCTTTCTGCAAGCAACAAGATTGATACAGGAACAACAAAAACTCATGCTACAGACGTGAAGTCGCATGTTATTTTGAAGTGTAAGCAATTGACAAGTTTCTAAGGCTGCCACAAAATGTGTCATTGCCACAACAACTGTGCGCCAAAGTAATCACTATAATTATGGCAATAAAAAGGATAAACTGTGCACTCATATTCTATACACACATCAAGGCAGCAAAGGTGGGTATGTGTTCCAAGAACGTTTTCTCGTGATGGTCATCAGTCGGAATAACATCACTGCATTGGTACAAGTACAAAGGAAAAATAACAGAGTATATAGAAAGAAAGTGTAAATTGTTGTCTCCACGCAGGTTATACTTGTAAGTTATAACTTATAATCCTTGGTCCGTTTTTCTTCTGTATAAATTAATCCTTTGCTTTCCATCCGAGTCCAATCACCATAATCACCATCTTTCTCTGGAATCATCACACCGCTGGCGTAATGTAATGAAATAACTCATTATTTACAGGCCATTCAAGTGCAAAACTACCTAGTCAAAGCTCCCCCCCCCCCCAGCACACAAACACACACATACACCAGCATGCCCGCATCAATAGCCGCACACAACTATACCTCCTTCTTGAGTGCGACTTTCTTAGCCTTCAGTTCTTTCTTCTTGCCATCTCCCTACACATAGAGTAGAAACATGCAGACACACAGATCCACAACAGTACCATTTAATGAGTAGAGTAAAACCTGCCCTAACCGGAGGCCCTTGGTGCAGCGGAGCAACTATCCTGATACGGCAGGATTCCATTTGATCCAGGGATGCACGTTTGATCCGCAGCACTTTGGTGCAAGGAATTTCGTCCGGTCAATACAGGATTCCGCTTGGTCCAGGGTCCGGCAAACACAGGTGTTACTGAACTGAATACCATTTACACTGTAATGACCTTCCAGCGGGATAGGGGAAGCACTTCCGCACCTCCGTTTACACTGTAATGACCTTCCAGCGGGATAGTGGAAGCAGTTCCGCACCTCCGTTTACACTGTAATGACCTTCCAACGGGATAGTGGAAGCAGTTCCGCACCTCCGTTTACACTGTAATGACCTTCCAGCGGGATAGTGGAAGCAGTTCCGCACCTCTGTTTACACTGTAATGACCTTCCAGCGGGATAATGGAAGCAGTTCCGCACCTTCTTTCCTTGGAAAGCGCTTCGCTGATTTTGTTGGTGTTTTCAGACCTGCTACCTTCGCAGCAACATGCGCCACACATAGCGCATGTTAGGAATTAATTGAGAACACTTTGTTGTTGCCATCGTCAACTTCAGCATTTCGAATTTAGGAGAAATACCAGGACTCTTATACCCGAGCTTGCAGTCTTGATAAATGCCCATGCAAACGATGTGGGCCAGCACGAACACCAGAAAAAAGATACGCGCTCTGGGGCGAAATAGTACGAAGCGCAATGAATTTGTATGGTGCGGAAGAGAGCTCCGAGACCACCACAGCTTCAGTAACAAGTAGACATTGCGCAGGAAGGGTCGCACCAATGTTCGAACACAGAAAACAGCTACCGTATTTTTCCGGTTGTAAGTCGACCTTTTACGGCTTAAAATAGAAGGAGAAAGGGTGGGTGTCGACTTATAACCGGGAACTATCAGTATCTTACAAAAAATGACCTGCACTGCATGCACGAGTGCACCATGTTTACACATGTTTGCCAGTTTATTGGCCTTTTTCAAGGATTGGGACGTTATATCCTCCAATGAGGAATGTTTACATGATTTGTTGAAGTGTTATTAGCAGGAGGTGGTTAGTAGTGCTTCTTTGGGTGAAAACTTTAAAACGCAGAATTGAGACCTCCAGATAGGGGGGTCGACTTACAACCGGTAAAATACGGTATTCCGACAGTCTGACTAAGCGGCGCATGTCACAAACATTGCGATGTGTGAAGCGACAATTTTAATGACGCGGAGGAAACATGCGTTCACACAGGAAATGCAGTTGCATGCCATGCACGTAAAAAATGGGCCACGCGACCAGTTATCCATGGTGAGGCGCGGCGAATTGGAATTTTAGCGCCAAACTAGCTTCACGTACATGTACCGTACGCTTTCGCAGATGGCACACCTACCACTTGTTTCAAAGTTACCTGAAAACAAAACGCAAAAAATCCGCTTTCAAAGTTGCCTTCAAAGCAGCTCCAGGATTGCTTTCAACGTACATGTGATTTTTCACTTTTTGCACATCTTTCTACGGGCACTTCAAAGAACATGACACATGCACGTGGCTTTTGTACCGTGTGTGAAAGCAGCCTAAGAGCAAGGAGAATGAGCAAGAGAAGAAAGAAATGTGTGACCATAGTCGTCGTAAACTGAACACGCAACCTCTCGACTGGTTACACATACTACTGCAAGACATTAGACCCACACATGTGTGCGCAAAGCACGTACACATACACACAACCATGCAGGCAGGCGATGATGATTGATACGTACCGCACTAGCCATTTCCTTGTCAAGTTTCTGCATCTGTTCACGATTCCTGAGCAAGGGACAGTGCAGTGAAAACAGTGGCACGCACACACACACACACACACACACACACACACACACACACACACACACACGCGCGCGCACACACACACACACACACACACACACACACACACACACACTGAGCAACAAAGCAAGACTGCAGGTACAGTCAACCTACCCTTATAACGATATTTGCGTCAGACCAAGAAATGTGTTATACAGTGTATGAAGTGAACCAGTTGCCCTTATAACAATATTACCCTTATACGATTAAAGGGCATGTTCGATTGGTAGGATCCGGATCCACTGGATTCGCACCCTTTCGATTGGTCGAATCCAGATCCGGATCCTTTGGGTTGGGATCCGGTCAACCCACCTCGGGGAGCAGGGCTGACCGGATCCAACGGATTCTGTTTTGCCAAAAATCGTACTCTGTACGTGATACGTGTACCATGGTGTACAAATGACGGGAATAAAAGCAATGATGGACCTTGGTTGATCCAAAAAATCCACTCAATCGATATGGATCCGGATCCAACCAATCGAACATGCCCTAAACTTCATTAGCAACTTCATTAGCAGCGAAAACAAAGTATATAGCCAAAATCAAACAGGCACCAAAATTGTGAGGCACTGTAGAGACGGAATCCGGAGAAAAACTCAAAATTTTAAAAAGAATCGTATCAAATTTTGGGAAGCATTATTTGAAATGGACTTCAGCCACAAAGATGATACAGATCAAGAGTACTGACCTGTCATAGATTTGGAACATTGTTCTTCAGGTTCGCACGTTACAACACATAGAGTGACTCGAACTTATCCACGCAAGTATATTAGCACCACGATCACTTACTTGGCGAGCTTGGCATCCATAGTTGCCCGTTCCGTCTCTTGCTTGTCCATACGGTCCACACGAGCCTGATGTCTCCATCTGAAAAGACTGGGAGTGTCAATGTTGGGATGTGTATCATCTTCATCGTCACTGACCTGCAGCAAAACACAACATGCCAGAGTCCAGCAACACATGATCTCCAACATCTGGTACCCATATCGAATGTAACAAACAAGGCGGAAACGAGGTTCGAACAAACGTTTACCTACTAGTAACAATATTGCCCATCATGCTGCAGTACCACTAGCAGGCCAGATTCATAGAATTGGTTACTATTGTTGTTCAGAGTGAATGGTTCCAGGCACACACACACACACATGCAGACCTGATCTTTGCGACTTGACACCTAATACTTACCTGTGTTTTACACTGGGAATAGTCCCCTGAGTGTGTGCATCACAAGAATAGACCTATTATGTTGCTACAGCATATTCCAATCATTTCTCTGCACGGTCATGTGAACAATCACTAAGTGTACAATGAACTCTGAAGTTTGAGGGAGTTGACATTTACAATGAACCCAAATATTTACCCCAGTAAGGATTACCCCAGTAAGGATTGTTCTGACGCTGGGAAGATGAAGATAGAAGAGCACTGCAGCAGTTTCGCCATAGGGCAGTACACATGTAATAGTAGTGCGGATAATGAGAGACATTCTATTAATTTTGTATAATAATGAAAATAAATACTCTCAGAATGACGACGTACCTCGATGTGGTTCCATTTGCTGTAGTCCACCATTATGACTGCTGGCTCGATAACAAGGAAAGGCAGGGACTAACAATTATATAACATACACAACAAGGTGAAATAAACCTGTATGGCGCTATACTGGTGCTTTCACAAACAGCTGTACGAAATTGGTGATCCACTGGTCACATACACCAGGATATGATTGTTTTTTTCGCTCCTTTTGATTCTCAAATCTTCTGAATCTTTCTTGAGCCATGTCATCATGTTTTTGCAGAGAACCATAATCAAAGATTCACCGATGACGTAAGAGATGGGCGCCGCCGCGCCGACCCTGGCGCGGCGTAACTCAAACACATATCCCGTATACGGTTCTGCTTGATAGCTACCGTAGGTAGTACAGTCTACATATGGGGGCTACGTGGACGATATCCGGATCCCGCTCGACCGTATACGCGCATCGCGTATCATACTCGATCCGTATCCACCGTACCGCGCCGTAGATCTACTCAGTACTACAATCATGTATATTATGTAGTGCATGAAATTTACTTGACCACCAGCAGCATTGTACACTTACACTTGTAATTGCTATGCTATGCTATGGTCGCACAACCTTGCCTCGGCTACAATCATGGGGTTCGACATTCATTTTGTGTGGGCCATGCATCAACTACATGATTGCTCAGTGCCTGGCCATATCCATATATCTAGGGATCAATATTTTTTTCACCAAGAAAAGTACAGTACAGGGCCCAAAGCTCTCTCAAAATAAACCAATATCTTCTCTAAAAACGTATTGATATTTTTGTGGAAGACCCCTAAACTAAAATTATGCACTGAGTATATTTATATAATTACGAATATATCATCAACAATGAAAGAGTAGACTGCAGAAGGGCAGTTCAGATGTACACAAGCGCGCAAAATCAAGAAAGTTTTTGTAGACTGCCATAGAAATCTCCCACAGCCAATGGTTGAAGGTGTTCTATCAGGCATGACAGGGTATTCACTCTATGCATCGGGCATGACAAGGGTATCCACCGCCAATGGTTGAAGGTGTTCTATCAGGCATGACAGGGTATCCGCTCTATGCATCGGGCATGACAAGGGTATCCTCTGGCAACTCTGCACCCTTCTCCGGTGCCTTGGCACTGTCACTGTTGTTCCTCCAGTACTCATCTTCAGACTCATGAGTCATGTAGCGCATGCCCAGGTGATTCTCCAGGAAGCGAAGATCATCGTGCAACTCCTTCTTCGACAGCCATGGGTGGTTGAGAGCCTTGGCAGCAGAGTAGCGCTTGCGTGCCTCAACTGTCAGCAGGCAGTTGATCAGGTTGATGGCATCGTTGCCAATATCCTTCCAGGGCTTGGATGGGTACATGAAGGCGGCGTTCTCAATCTGATCGTTGATGTCCTCATCCTCATTGAAGGGGAAAGTACCACTGAGGGTGACGTAGATGATGACTCCAACAGACCAGAGATCCAGCGACCGATTGTAACCCTTGTTCTTGACCACCTCTGGTGCAAGGTATGCGGGCGTACCGACCATGGTCTTGCGGAACGTCTTTTCACCGATGATGCGAGAGAAGCCAAAATCACACAGCTTGGCCTGCAAGCATCGAGGATCGGCGCCACCGCGGGCAAGCAGCACATTCTCCGGCTTGAGATCACAATGGGCAATCATCTTGCTGTGAAGATGCTGCAGCGCGTAGACGATCTGCGCTACGAGGAAACGCGTCTGTCGCTCCTCCAGGCGACCCTTGGGACTGCTGAGCACAGTCTCCAACATGTCCGAGTCCATCTTCTCCATGACGATGAAGATACGATCTGGTGTCTCGAACATGTTCTCAAGATGCACTACACCTGGATACTTGACTGACTGAAGGATCTCGACTTCATTCTTCAGTGCTGCTTCATGCTTGGAGCTGAAGCGACGCTTATCAATGACTTTGATAGCAATGCAATAGCCCTTCTTTCGGTGAACACCAGCGTAGACAACACCGAACTGACCAGAGCCAAGTACTTCATCGGGGAACACCTGGTACACACTGGAGATGTCCTTCTTGCGGTCATCAGGGCCAGACGGCATGGACTTGATCTCACGACCGCTGACTGGATGCATGGCATTCAGTAGGGTCTCTCTCCATGACTCCGTGGCTCGTTGGGTCAAGGAAACCTTGAGGGCCTGCGAAAACGATGCCTGGCTCTTATTGGAAAACACCTCAGTAGGCGGGTTAGAAGCCATCTTGAAGATGGAGCACTCCTCGGGAGTTGAGACGCGCTCTCCGATGTAGAAGACACATTTGTTGTCTCCTCTCTGGATCTCGACTTCAAAGACATGATGATTTAGCTTCACCTCCGTGGCATTGCAGATACCCATGAAGGAGGATAGCGCAATAGATTCCAGCTTGGGAGAGGCTCGAGCACGATCTGTTTCGCAGATGTATAAACACCGCGTGGATAGAGACCAGAAGCGAAGCTGACGCTGTGGGTTTTCCGATGTACAGTACAGCACCCAGCCGGAGAGAAGATGCTCAGGATCAGTACGGCGACTCTTGCGCTGTGACATGAAGATACGCTGTAGCGGGATATTCTCACTGGGAAGCTCTGCTGCTTCCGTCATTGTGTCAGCATCTGCTGTGTCGTCGGGGACATCAATATCACCGTCTTCAGATGTTATGTCGCCGCCTGTAGAGCCTGTTTCCAGTAGACGCTCAGCACTCTTCTTGTGCATAACCTCTTGCAGGATTTCGGAGGAGCAGGAGTCGGCAATGAACTTGAGACATCCGCGGTGAACATTGGTCTTGCAGTCCTTACACTGCAGGCCCTGTCTGAAGAGACCAACCAACATCTTCTTACAGTAGCGGCACACTGTCGGCTTCTTGAACGAGTGAACGGCAAAACGATGCGGCACAGTTGGCCGAGAGTCAGGCATTTCCAGCAGTGCGCGGTCAATCCAGGCTGGTCTACCTAGGGACACAGAACGACTTCTACTGAGCTCCTCACTGGTCTCCTCGGACATTGTGCGGCGACTGTTCGGCGAAACACTTTCAGATGCTCGCCTGTTGCTTGTTGGCGTATTAGAGCCACGCCGTTGTTGTCCTCCATACTCTGATGCACAAGACGATGGGCGTCTTTGTTGCCTAGGATCAACACCAGCAGCCGGTGCTGTGCCTGGTTCAGCTTCCTTGTCAGGCTGGCCACTGCAATTGTTGGGCACATTGTGAGCACAGCGTTTATGAAAGTTGTAGTGGCAATCAATACACTGAAATCCTTGCCGTACTAAACCAAACAGCATCTGACCACAGTAGTCGCAGAAAGTTGGCGCTTTGTACGAATGTACATGAAGGGTATGCGACTTGAGCTTATCTGTGGCCTCGCGAGCATCTTCGCTCAGGACAACCACAACGGCCACCTCCACAACTTCCTGGATTTGGTCGAAGTTGCGCAAACGGGTCAAGCTCTCTGGATCGCCGTCCAGTCCTCGTGCGAAAAGCAGGATGTTGGGAGCCAGGTTGACATATGCATGGTTCGGGAAAAAGTGGTTCAGAAATACGCAAGCTTGCTCGGTCAGAACACCCAAGGAAGTGTCGAACTTGGATACCAAGCGCCTTTCCGAAAAAAGCCCGGATTGAAATTTCACTATTATCGTGTCTGCGTCAAGATCAAGGCTCTCTATACCCGAAACGTCGTCCGAGTTTTCGGGCTCAACCAGCTCTACCCTCGGCGGCTGATCCATTTTGGCTGCACTTATGGCCAAGCCAGTGGCCTTTAGTGAACACACCTAGCCGATTACCACCATTGACAACAAATCTCTCCAACGTCCTCTCTCTTGCACTGCACAAACTTCACTACTGGACCGCGTTCTACACAGACTACAGCTGTCCTGCAAGTGGCTGTTCTATTTTCACAAGACTGTACGCCCAAGACCATGTGTGTCCGTTGCAGACACCGAATATGGCTCGGGGGTTGATTTGGCGCTTTTTTTTGCGAAATCGGCTTCGATTGTACTCATCTTTTGCGCTGCTTGCATACAACTACTTCACTCAGTCAGTGCGTGTACATGTACCTGTTGAAGCAAGCTGCAAGGCAAAGAACTGTTTTCCTGTTCCTTCCCTGACAAGTTTTCGTTTGTAGAGGATTGGCTCGATAGGCTCCCACAGACTAGTTGTGTGTGGAACTTGAAGATGGTGATATGATGAGCTGGTTGGTTTTCTGGAGGTGCCTATGGATGGATGTGAGCCCACTATTTTGTCATTGAGAAACATCCCTACCGAGCTATAAAATTACTTGTACATCATGTACTAATTATGTAGATACACTGTACATACCGGTAGTTGTCGCTTGGTAGGGATACTTCTACTAGTACTACTAGTCTAGGGTCGTAGGGATGTTGCTGTATCATGTCAGTAGTCTGGTACTAGTCGCGGCGATCAGTACGATGGTGTTTATTGTTGCTGTCATGACGTCAGTTATTTTTTAATATAAATAATTAATTTTTACCAGGGAGCCCTACACATGGCCATAGCCGCATACAACCATACTCCCAAGTGTGCATAAACAAGAGTACTAGTATAACTGTGGTTAGGGGTCAGTGCACAGCGCGCTGCCTTCATTACGTAACTTGCCTTCATCCCGCTCTAAACGCATGCATTCAAACTCACAATTTCTCGTACGAGCCCATCCGCTTTTGCTCAATTCGTTCCAGTACCTACCTGATCTCTAAATTTTGGCGCGTGAACTCCAGTTCCGTACGAAAGTCCATTTCAAACCGGAGGGAAAGTGCGGTGTTTGATTTTCCGCAGTGTGCGGACTGCAGCTGAATAAACTGTACCTGTCCTTGCATGTATTATGTTGAGCAGGGAACAGTCATGTACTCGTGCAACACCGGTATTGTACTACTCCCTGGTTTTGAGGCTGTGTTTCCATGACGGGTTTGAACCCGGGTCGAGTCTCAACCCTGCCATGAACACATACAGTAGAGTTGCGCATCCAAGAACGTAGTTTCCAAGGAGTTAGCCAGGGGTGTTCTTATTTTTCACTTTCAGTAATCTGGCTGCGTTCTTATAGCACGTCACAGAACCAGTCCGCACTGGATCATATGCATCCCAAAAGCTGCCAGAAAACCAACACCGGCATTCTTAACATCAGGCTGTGGCGTTCTTAGCATTTCAGGCTGGACGTTCTTCGGCTCCACGTTCTTCGGCACGCAACTACGATTTCAACCCAGGGGAGGGTTGAAATCGAGAAATCGTACTACCGTATTTCTGTGCTTATTTCGCGCCAGGTTTGACACTGTACTGTCCCTGGGGAAAATTGTGGGGAATTTGTGACCATTTTTTGGTGAACTTGTATGTAGATTTGCCAATCAGCGGGTTTGCCTGCCAGAAAACTGCCTATTTTTCATAAAAGAAGAGGGCTGACAGAGTGAAAAGGAAACTTACACCATGAAATGCATACACTTCAGTCCTCAAATAATGTGCCTGCTACATGTACATTTAATAATTATACAGACTTCGGAGAGAGAAGACCTCCACCATGTGATGCAGGGACAGTCTTTCAATGTTTTCATACATAAAAACTTCGAAAATTGCAGATTTATAAAATCATCAAAACCGCGGAAAAGTTGCATCCGCAAAATCGCGATTTTCCCTGCAACAGGCTGTACTGCACAGGCAAATTTTGCGAACGCAGTCACGTGACCGACCATACAGGACTCTAGAAGTGGACTTTTGTCGGCATATCAGTAATTGACCCAGGTAAACTTTCTCCATTTACTAAGGGCATGATCGATTGGGCGAATCCCGATCAAGTGTGCTCCGAGTGAGCGTGAGCGTTTGGCCGCCCGGATTAGGCATGGGCGGGTAATGCTAGCATTATGGCTGGCATTATAACACCATTTTGCATGCAAAATTGGCGTTACAAGCATAATAGCCGGTCGACAACGGTGTCATGCATGAAGCTGGCTAGGTCCAGTTCCGAAAATCGTGCATCTGAACCCTTCCGGCTTCGTCCGGAGACTTGATGTTGCAAACCAACCTTCTCAATGGATTGTCAGTGGAAGCTTCCTCACTGCTGTTTAAGTTTTTTTCTTCTGCGCTTTGGCCTTGATCCAACTTTTCAAACTGGCATTATGGAGTAGTGTGAGCATTATAAGTGGCATTATATCCTCATATTATGAGCATTGCCTTAAGCATTATCGCAGCAAATAACTAGCATTACCCGCCCATAGCCCTTGGCGGATTATGCCGGCATAATATTTGGCATAATCTTGGGATTTCGTCAAAAAATTATGCTCCGGCATAATATACGGATTCCAACGTGTAAGGTCGGCATAATCTTTCGGTTTTAGACAAAAATTATGCTAGGGGGCATAATACAGCTTTGTCAGAAAGCCTGCGGATGTTTTTTTTTTGAATATCCCAGTTTACGACTCCTTGTCATAGCAGCTTGGCGGATTACTATGATGCCGGCATAATATTTGGCATAATCTTGGGATTTCGTCTAAAAATTATGCTCCGGCATAATATACGGATTCCAACGTGTAAGGTCGGCAAAATCTTTCGGTTTAGACAAAAATTATGCTCAGGGCATGGCCATGTGTGTATGCGTGGTTTCTCAATCCTCTATGTACAGCGTGAATACATAGTGGAACCGAGCATAATTCAGCATAATTCAGCATATTTGTTGGCATAATTATGGCATAATCAAAAGCATAATTTGACGATTGGCCGAGCATAGTCCGCCAATGGCTACCCGCCCATGCCTAGCCTGGATAAGCAAGGTGTGAGTGCACCATCGGGTGTGGCTGGAGTGGAATTGGACTGACGTTTTTTGACAGCTTTCACAGAATCTTTGTACAATATGCGTACATTTTGCGTACTACACCCTTGCCTTGTTCGATTGGGCCAGCATTGCTCGGACCACACTGCCTGCTCAATCCAGATTCGCCAATCGACGACACCCCTAAACACCCACCTATTTTTTTCCACCGTACGTACAGACTCCCCCCCCCCCCCCCGTTTGAAAATTCTCATGTACATGTACATGTAAATGCAGCCTCAGTACGTACGAGTACATGTAGTAGCTTCATGAACATGCGGAAAAGTGTACATTTCCATGAGTATAATGTATGGTCAAAGTTGTAGATGCACATGAGAATGTACACTACATTGTAAAGTTGTACACATGACAGAAAACCGTTGCTTATTAGGGGGTGATTATTACCTTATTAGGGGGTGATTATTACCTTATTACAGTACCTATATGCAGCTCCAGCCAGGCTGGTCGACAGGTCGGCCAGCCCACCTGCAACCGGGATCTCGAACTTGTACACAAATCCACACATAACCTTTTATGCGTTTACCGTAAAGTACCGTTGATCCGCCCCCTGTCCATTTTCTACTTGTGAAGTGACTTCGGCGTATACAACGAAATGCGATGTTGAACCGACGCATGCACTGCTGTACACAATACTTGCAGGATGAAAATGTGCACAATCCAGCACATCGAGTCTGGACTTCCACGTTGCTGTACATCGTACTGCACTTGACAGTCTGAGTTGAGTTGATCCCCGCCCCCTGCCGAAAACCCAGCAGGGAAGCGACATGGTGTGTCTGTGGGGGGGGGGGGGGGGACTGGGGGAGGCAGATCAACGGTATTTTACGGTACATGTCAAGCGGGCTGGCCCGGCAAGCCAGGATCCCGCCCCAAGGCACCCGGATCTCGGCTAGGCGGGCCAGAAAAAGCACATACATGTATAAACAGACTAGCCCGGGCCAGTAAACAGTGAAAATGTGCATAAAATCAAGGAATTTGTTTGTTTTCCACCATATCAAACCACACTCACACCTTGCTTATCCAGACGGTCCGGGACCAGCCACTACCCATACGGCATAACTTTCAATGCCTGGCAATTGGAGTCATATACATTTCAGTGGGGAAGGGCCCGAGATCTGCCATATGGTTTGATTATTTCCACAAAATAATATGGCAAAAGATTCTGAGGGACACCTCGCGTAGCTTCATTTAATTAACGAATAATGGCAAAACCGTCGGTCATTGTCGTGCAATGATTATGTTATCGCATGAGGTGATTGTTTAGGGGCCGTCCGGGGTTACCAATAGCTTTTGCAAAACGAAAAGCTTTAGTATTTTTCAGCACCCACCCACCCACCTACCTTTTCTGCAGGTAAAACGAATTCCAATAAAATATTGATGTCAATTTTCGACACCCAGAAGTAACTGGGAATTCTCCATCTGCATTCACTGATAATTATTTTCAAAACGAAACTCCTTCAAACCCACCCACCGCAAACGAAACCTTTTCGTTTTGAAATACTATTGGTAACCTTGGACGGCCCCTTAGTAACTGGTGGTGTTAGTGGACATTATACCGCAACTTGTAGTGCCTTGGTCCTTTTTCTTTTCTATAATATTTATCCTTGGCTCTCCACCCGTCCATTCTTGCACACCTAAATGGCAAAAGGGTTGAAATATTTCCACTCAAACTAACCCACAGGGTGCATGTAACCAAGAGTACCTGTGCTCTTGATGTAACCAAGAGTACATAACCCCCTAATCCGGCACTTGTTTATCCACCACCCTTGCAAACCAGCACACTTTCTGGCAAAACGGATTTTTTTCAGTTCATTTTCTACGCTTTAATCCGGCACTTGAATTCCGCCTCCAGCAGCGATTTTCTGCAACAAATCACTCAAACTGTACATAATTCGATTTTCTAATCCAGCAGTTGTACATCACATACTGTCAGGGACCATTGTAACATACACTTGGGAATATCCTATGCTAGTGCATAAGATATTCCCAAGTGTATGTTATAGACATGCATTCCACAAAGTACTTGGTTTGACACAGAAAATCCCTACGTTTTGACGTACGACACAAACATGTATGATAACATGTGGGCCGGGTTGGAGGGCAGGATTTGATAATCCAGCACCCTTGTTTATCCAGCAGAAAATGCCGTTGCAAAAGGTGCCGGATTAGAGAGGGACGACTGTACTAGTATTCGATTATAAAACCAGTCTCAGTTATAAAGCCATGGGCTTCAAAAATGAAATGAGGTTTGAACTTTGAAGTACGTTTTGCAAAATGAAGGAATAAGCACTAGGCCAACAAAAATACAGCCCAGCAGGCAAGGTGAACAAGTGGATTTAGATTGAAATTTCTGTGTGGACTTTGACTTTTATGACATGGCGGAGTGGATGAGTAATTTTGCATCTAAAAATATCTAGGAAAGTAGCGGTGTTTCGAATATAAGGGCATGGCTCTAAAGGCGCTGACATACGGTATCAATATTGGCAACATAAACAACCTGCCTGTCAAACCTCATCTACAGTAGACTACAGTCACCAACACCTGCTCTGCGAGAAAATACCGTTATCAGCATGCAGCATCCGTGCACAACGACAGCTCCTGTCACATTCTGCTTGGGTCATACCGGTGATGGGTGGACACTGGCAAGAAGACATCCAATGCATGCTCCCCCCCCCCCCACACACACACACACACTCATATTCATGTTGTCAGCAGTGCGAAAGAGTACGTAAGTCCTTGCATTATATTTGGAATCCTGCCAAACACTGAAGGGATGAGAGATGAGAAATAATATTATGCACACTGCATAGTTATATTGGATTGATAGCATCTGTTCCGGACAGATCATACATAATAAAAGAATACACAAGCTTCATAAGCAGATGAAATAAGACATGTCACATGCAGACCAGGTCACGCTGGTTTCATAACTAACTGATATACACGTAGATCGTTTCGTTAGCATCCAACACAACAAATGAGTAACACAAATATGCTAGCAACCAAAGATATGTACACCTAATGAAATGGGTAAATGTTTGGCTGACTGCAGACAGCCACTATTTCCTGTGTTGCTCGCCAATGGCAACGACATGGTCAAAATAATACTCGTAAGTTGCAAGGATTCCAGCCCCAGTCAGCGATAATGCAAATAAAGCAGCAAAACGAATTTTTTTATAGCTACAAAGCAATGGTCCTTGCTCTAGTCTGGGATTGAAAAGGCGAGTACACTGCCCAGCAGTTGATACAGCAGCAGCAACATTGTACAGGTTGAAATTTGGTGATAAGGAAAGCCAGCCATTATCATACGTTTTCTACACCACTTGAACAACGGCAGCACATGTACAATACATACTGGTTCGGAGTAAAAAACAAAAAAACAAACAAACAAAAAACAGTACATGTACGCAACGGCGTGGTGTGGTGGTTGATAATAACATGTACATGTAGTAAATACCACGAGATAGACTCACTGCACCGCTCTTCCGATCTAGATCAAACCGAAGCCCTCGGAACCTTCATTGATGGCAATGGCCAGTGCTCTTTGAAGATCCTCACAGCTGCTGTAGTCCGGTAAACACAGTTGGTTAAAGCTGCAGAGAAAAGTCACACAGTGTTCTCGCTTAAAATAATCTTTCACTGGAGTGGGGGACTGGGCGGCTGGACACATCCATTCCAAAATACACGGCAATTCTGAACCAGCTGCATATGAACAAAGCTGGTTCAGACGTGCAGTGTTTTTAGGGATCGGCATGTCCACCTGACCCGTATTATTCTATAGTTAAAAGCAGAACACAGTGCAAGACTGCAGGGTGGATCATGGCTACCATTACAGGTGGGATCCTGATAATTCGAATATGGCTTAATTAGAACATATTGCTCGAGCTGGGTATGTCCGTGTGGGATTTGTGCTGATAATTCGAAGAAAGGGTTGGTTCACATATACTTCGAAGTAGCCGGTACGCGCCGGGAGTCATCAGCAGAGGGCCTCTTGCAACCTCTCCCGGCGCATTGCGATGATGTGAACCAGTGTAGGCATGGGCGGGTAATGCTAGTTATTTGCTGCGACAATGCTAAAGGCAATGCTCATCATATGAGGATATAGCACCACTTATAATGCTCACACTACTCCATAATGCCAGTTTGAAAGTTGGAAAAGTCGATTTAAGAAGGCCGTCTTGGATCAAGGCCAAAGCGTAGAAGAAAAAACTTAAACAGCAGTGAGCATGTTGTCTGAAACAATCAACTGAGAAGGTTGATTGGTTTGTGAACCGTTCGCGCGCCGGTGCCGGGACCCAGACTTTGTCAAAATTTCAAGCCAAGACTCGTCCAAAATGGACCAACATTTCCCTAAATGGAAGCTGAGGTTCGTTCGCGGATGGTCTGCTTGGCTGTTGTGCAATTATGACGCAAATACAATTGAAACAAATAAAAATACGAAGGATACATTCGCAAGTTCTTGTGACTTCGTCAACGTTTGCATGCATAATTTCGACACCACCGCTTACTAGACTGCAATAAAAGGTGTAGACGTAGTTTCGTAATCTCCAGTAAAAGGCAGCACCGAGTGGCCATCACCGAAAAGGCCTTGAATTAGTGAAGAAACAAAGAATTCAAGCTCCAATTGGCAATCCTGTCGTAGCATTCGGGCACATTCTGTACTACTTTGTAGTAGATTTGGTATTACAGCACTACTTGAACCGTATGCGGGACGGACCGGGAGCTGGCTCACTGCCGGTGCTCCCCGGCGCCAATTTGGCTTATGTGAACCAACCCTTAGCAAAGCATAGTTAGAAGTTCACTTTATTTTCATCAAATCAGTTTGGTTTGCAAGCGCAGGCAGTTCAGTGTCCACTAAATCTGTGTCTAAAGTGCATAGTGCAACTCTGGGTGTCAATGCGAGCATTTTGACATACTTCAAAAAGAAGTACATAATGTGTTGTGGGCACATGTTTGGATAATTAGAAGCTTTTTCCCTGGCATTTCGGGGTTCGAATTATGAGGATTCCACCTGCACTATCAGGTCTCGACAGCGGTTCAGCATGCAGCCAGGCCAGAGTTACTGCACTGGTACCACCGGTATATCAATAACGGGCTTTGTGGTGGTAGGGTGTGAGAAAGGATGTACATGCCTGTATACGTATGATCTAGCAAAGCTCTGAATACTCGGAATAGGCATGTACCTGTACTTAGAGAAACCCCCAATAACAGCCATGGAGTTTGCGAATCCTTTACAAAAAAAGTCGCGTTATTGAAGAATAACCCCATGCTTATACAAAGAAGTCATGTTGTAGAAAAAAACGCCTCATGCCTATCCAGCGGGTACCTATGTATAGCAGTACTGTATAACCATGCCAGTGATAACATACCATGTATGAGATGTGGGTAGAGAGCCATGAACTGGCGCAGGTGAGATCTGAAACTGAGGCTTTAGTTCAGAGAAGCCATCAGGCGGCAGCTGGGATGAACCAGTGGTGAACTGCACGAGGCGAGCTAGCTCTTCTTGCGTGAAGCTAGATACGACTACCCAGAACCAGGGAATGACCTATGGCATGCAGGAATACACACACACACACACACACACACACACACACACACACACACACACACACACACATACCGTAAAGTACCGTTGATCCGCCCCCTCTCTAATTCCCAAGATCAAGCCTGGCCAGAAGGGCGTTGGTTTGCCCTTTTCTACTTGAGAGTCAAAACAGTCCTGTTCATGCTCCACCATGTTATGAACTGCTATGTTAGGTGCCTTATGACTCTTGTTTCACAATGTATGTTGCTATGCATGCTGTGTACACGCTCACCCATGCGCGCGCCTCTGGTTTATGTGTACACCTTTCTCATGTCGTGCATGTGTCTAGCCACGTACAGTTCACTTCTTGCTTTAGGCCCGATTAGGGCTAGCCACTGTCTGGTCGCAGTGACCTTGCTTAGCTGTGCTGCATATATGTCATGTCGCCGGAAGGGCGCGATTGGTTCGCGGTCCGATTGACCAACCGTGTCGCACGAATGGTTTGGTTTGGTTTAGCTTTACTGCTACATGATAGATAGGATCTGCATTCATGTTGCAACAACCACGGGACTAGTGATGCGTACCTCCTTCCATTGTTTTTTTCCGCCTTTCAGTTTCGTTGTTTGTCAGCTAACGCTGTAGCTGGAGTTTTTTCTTATATTGCACGCCCGTCTTCTGTAGTTCAGTCGATCTTTAGTTCAGTGTGCTTCAGTCTGGTTCTATGTCTCTCCCAACTCTCTTGTAAATAATATAACTCATTCCCTAATCTGAAGCGTTGTGTTAGTGCTGGCTGGTCGAACGTGGGTTCCACTACAACTGGTGCCGAAACCCGGGACGTGTGTGTTGTATTGACGAGTGCGAACCCTGCCACGCCAGCGAGATGTCGCTCAAGTTTGACAACTTTCTCCAGCCGTTCCGTGGGAACGGGGACGATTTCGGACGGTTTTGGGATAAGCTTCTGGTGCTTGCCAACATACAAGGTTGGGACACCGACGACAAGAAGGTGAAGAATCTTCCGTTGTTCCTGACGGATGACGCGTTTCTTGTATTTTCGCGGATGCCGGCAAGTGATCAAAAAGACAAAGATGAAGTCTCGGCGGAAATGGGACTGTCGTTCACTCTGACGAAGGCGCAGGCGTACGCCACGTTCACCTCACGGACGATGCGCGTGGACGAGTCCCCCGATGCCTACGTTGCCGATTTGCAGCGGCTGAGTACTATGGCGGGGCACAAGGCTGATGACGACAAGGACCCGATGGTCATAGAGCAGCTGATCAAGGGACTGCCGGTAGACTTTGCCCGAGAGCTGAGACTTACGATGGCGGGCAAAGAGTTGAGTGTGACGGGTTGCCTGGACGTGGTACGGGCGTTGAAGGCTGCGACCTCGGACCACTTGACACGAGTACGTGGCGATGTTGTTGTGGCGGCTGCCACCACGGATGAGCAGGCGTGTTTCAATTGTGGCGGAGTTGGCCACATGGCGCCGCAGTGCCCGAAAGCGAAGAAACCTGGTCGCAAGAGTGGTGCAGGTAAAGGAACTCGTGGCGAGCGTACTGGCCCTCGAACCTGTTACTTCTGTGACAAGCCAGGTCACATGAAGAGTGACTGTCCAGAGCGTAACGCCTGGCAAGAGCGGAAATCGTCTGGAGCAGCAACGGCTGCAGACAGTGGCTCCCTGGCGAGGGGTGCGTGTTTGTGCACTGTGGCCGAGGCTACTAGAGCTTCACTGCCCAGAATCTACGTAGACGTGCGAGGTGTGGTAGGCAGCGAATGGGCACGTGCCAGAGCAGCAGTGGACACTTGTGCAAGTTACACGATGGTTACGGTCGAGTTCCTGAAACTTCACAAGATTCCGTTCACTGCTCAGCCACATGCGTCTGTTGTATCCGTGGATAACAGCAAGGTGAAGATCAGAGGAGCAGTTGATCTGGAACTGCAGCGCCAAGGAGATGGTGAACCGGTTAGTCTGCCAAGAGTGCGTGTGAATGCATGCGTTGTCGACTCATTGACGGCTGTGGCAGCAGACCTCCTCCTCGATGCTGACGTTATAGCTGGTGTTGGTGGCGTTCGACTCAGTTATGGCCAGGACGGCAAGGTCAATGGCGTGCGCTTTGGTCCTCAGCCTGGAGATACCGGTGCAGTCGCTACTGCTGCAGCTGACGTTGAGAGCACACTTCGTCATGTGGACGTCACAGAGGACGATCGTGGTGTGACCCCGAAGGCCGAAGACGGAGAGCTCCGGTGGGACAACGACAAGCAGCATTGGACGTTGCACTGGCAGTGGCGTGAAGGGCAAGCTCCTACATCTCCGATCACGACCCGACAGCATACAGCGCCAGTGAATGGGTGGACCGACTCGCCGGGCGCGCTGCTCGGATTCGAGACCTTGTTGAGTCGCTACTGTCCTCGAATGACTCTGTGTCAGGCGGTCCAACAGAGTCACCATATCGTGTCGATGATCCGGTGATGCTACGTCGCCCAGAGCGGAGTCAGAAGCTCGAGTCATGACGCCATATGAGAGTGGCTGGACAGTGCTGAAAATAGTCTCGCCATCGACTCTGGTGATCCAGGATGCTGACGGCAGAGAGAAGGTTGTGAACGTTGATATCGTCAAGCCTGGACACACCCAGCAGGTAGATGGAACACTAGATGATGGTAGCCATGATGCTGCCGAAGATCACCCAGAGCCAGCTGCCTGTGATGATGTGGTGAGCATCGAGTTTGCGGCTGACATGCCGACTCAGCGCTACGATCTCCGAGACCCTGGCAATCGACGACTGCCAGCTAGATACAGTGGATGATCAATGGCACCTAGGGGAGTCAGTGGTGTTATGAACTGCTATGTTAGGTGCCTTATGAGTCTTGTTTCACAATGTATGTTGCTATGCATGCTGTGTACACGCTCACCCATGTGTGCGCCTCCGGTTTATGTGTACACCTCTCATGTCGTGCATGTGTCTAGCCACGTACAGTTCACTTCTTGCTTTAGGCCCGATTAGGGCTAGCCACTGTCTGATCGCAGTGACCTTGCTTAGCTGTGCTGCATATATGTCATGTCGCCGGAAGGGCGCGACTGGTTCGCGGTCCGATTGACCAACCGTGTCGCACGAATGGTTTGGTTCGGTTTAGCTTTACTGCTACATGATAGATAGGATCTGCATTCATGTTGCAACAACCACGGGACTAGTGATGCGTACCTCCTTCCATTGTTTTTTCCGCCTTTCAGTTTAGTTGTTTGTCAGCTAACGCTGTAGCTGGAGTTTTTTCTTATATTGCACGCCCGTCTTTCTGTAGTTCAGTCGATCTTTAGTTCAGTGTGCTTCAGTCTGGTTCTATGTCTCTCCCAACTCTCTTGTAAATAATATAACTCATTCCCTAATCCGAAGTGTTGCGTTAGTGCTGGCTGGTCGAACGTGGGTTTCACTACAACCAGCCCTTCGTGAAATATGTTACTAGCTCGATATGTGTGTGTGTGTGTGTGTGTGTGTGTGTGTGTGTGTGTGTGTGTGTGTGTGTGTGCGTGCGTGCGTGTGTGTGTGCGGGTGTGCGAGTATGAGTGCATGCAGCGTTTGTGCTCTTGTTCAATTAGCCTAGTCACAGCCCTGTGCGCAGCGGATTGTGACCAGGCAGTCTCACACTAGTACTCTTGCTGGACTCCATACATTTTGCTGCTCACCTTTTCTACAAACCAGACTTGTCTGCTGGTCAGCTTGCAGTGCTCACGCAGGTCATTAAAGCTGATGTTACCTGCACCACACATCAACAGCTGGACGCGTACACACATGCAGACATACGTAACGGGTTAGCACATTACTACTGCAAGCGTGCAATTCACACGCACCCAGTTCAGCGTCAAGACGGGATATCTAACCGTTCCCTTGAGACATTTCCAGATTGCCACCATATGATATGTATTACGTGTACAGAACTATTCAGTGGATCTAAGGCTAGCAGCTACATCTGCCACCGTGTACATAACTACACGTATGTATAAACAAACACAATACTCTAGTACATGTACATGTACCTGTGTGACCACAAGTAATCTTGAACAAATGCTTCACAGATGCTGATCACATGCCAGTCACATGCCCAGGACTGCCGGAAGCAGTTAGTTTTTGATTGATCCGTAAGTACCATGGCCTGTCACACTTTGTGTGTGATATCACATGGCAGGTACACATGCCCTCCACAGTGGCAAACACGTGTTGGTGGTGAAGAAGTTGGTCCGGTGATAACCTGGCCAACCGGACTGGTTCCGGCGGGCCTGGCATGCCAGTCACAGCATGTGTGAGCCCAGCTACTGGCAATGGTGTACATGGTTCCATAGTTTGCACTGACGTTCTGCCCTGGGAGAAGGATCAATCGTCTAACTGTGTTGCATCATAGCAGTGATAGCACATACATGAATTTCTTTCCAGGATTGGGAACAAAGCCACACTCACCTCTAGCTCATTCTCATCAAACATACCCAGTAGAGTGTCCGGTACGAGCTCATTGAGACCTGTACAGCATACATTAGCACACACATACATACACATACCTTGAGACCTGCACAGCATACATTAGCACACACATACATACACATACCTTGAGACCTGCACAGCATACATTAGCACACACATACATACACATACCTTGAGACTTGCACAGCATACATTAGCACACACATACATACACATACCTTGAGACCTGCACAGCATACATTAGCACACACATACATACACATACCTTGAGACCTGCACAGCATACATTAGCACACACATACATACACATACTGAAGTACATGTACAATGTACACTGGAATTCTGAAAAGACGTACCCCATGGGGAATAACTTAGCAAGGTGTGCTTGGTACCTGAGGTGCTTCTGATCCAAGCGTACTTCAACATGGAGCAACACATCCATGCTCCAAACAATGTCTGTACCAAGCAAGTGTATAATTATAGTACGTAATACAACTAGGTGTGTTCCATCAAGAGCACATAAGCAAGGGTGTGCAATTCCGCTTGGTTTATTCCGTTGACGGCAGATCATGACTGATGAGTCATACCGTACGGGGCATGTACTACGAGTCTGTGGCTGCGCAAACTTGGCCGAGTTCCACTAAACTCGCACTACAAGCATGATCAAAAGCTACAGTAGGGGGAGAAAAAAATTAAATTTTCACGCATTGCTTTACGGCAAAAACTTTCCTCACCTTTCATGAAAGCTTCTACTTCATCTTTCACTGTCCTTCCCAGACGATAGTCAGCCAACATGTTAAGGTAGAGCAATTTATTCTCGTTCGTGACTGGCTTATTTTCACCGCCGGGCTCAAGGGCAATTGTCTGCGTGGACATACACATGCATATCAGTGCACACAGCAACATGAACATATGCCTGCAACATAAGTACATGTATGACTGCAGCCGACGGGAAAAGAACAAACGGCCAGCGTACAGCAGAACAGTAGATACGGGTTTGCAGTTCTCTGACCGAGAGTTTCATGCATATGGTGCGATCATCAGACACCAGAACAATCAGTCAATGGTCACTTCCATATCTCAGTACATTGACCATGGAAAAATGCACTACATATCCACTGTCATACTACACCAGAATAAAACAGAGAAAACCAAGTCAAGCGACTGCCTAGTTTCAACAACCATCTTCTCTGTACAGCCACTCATTAACGGTACCTGGAAACCAGGATGAGCAATGCACACGCAACACATTTGGCTGGAAAGAAAAGGGGCCATGCAGATCAGGTGGTTATGAAACAAGGCAGTCGAATGACGATAACTCACTGTTCAATATCACAACCGCATACAGGTTTCCGGTGGACAACATCCACTAACAGTTGTTGTCATAATTACACTGTATCAAGATCTAAGGTTATTGATTGGGTTTAGCTCATACATACTTTGACTGTGTTGTCAGCAGAGTACTCGTCCTCTGCGAAAACCATTTCCAAGTCGCTGACATCGTTGCGGAGTGTGTACTGCACCTTACTGGTGAACAGCTCTGGGTCATCGGTTTGAAAATACTGAGCAGCACATGCACACGCACGCACACACACACGCACACACACACACACACACACACACACACACACACACACACACACACACAAACACACACACACACGCACGCACACACACACACACAAACACACACACACACACACAAACACACACACACACACACACACACACACACATACACACACATACACACACAACATTTAGCTGAGAAATGACATGATGTCAGATCAGGTCATGGAAGGGAGCTTCACTACTTGCCAAGTACTTGGTTACATTTAATTGCTAGGTTCAAATATATACTGTAATTTCACAAATTTTCGGTGTACTTTTATTTTCGGTACTTTCGGTGCATCTGTTTCATACCTAAAATTTCAATACACCGAACAAACACTAACACACATAATCCAATAGGGAACTGCTTCTCTGTACCGAAAATTTCTGTTCACCTAGCCTGGCCTGTTGCCCTCATACCGAAAATATTGAGCACCGAAAATTTCTGAAATTAGAGTATTTGGAGACTCGACAGTAGGTGGAAGGGGGGGGGGGGGGGGCTTATTGTAAGCTGGGAAATCATTGTGATCTGGAAAATTTTCGCGTTCTTTTGCGAAGGGTGTGAAGTTGCAAAAGAACGCCAGCACGATGTGTAGACGTGTAGTCAACAGTTGCATGCACACTCAGTCTGCACCGTATATGGCAGAGCTACAGTCTGTACTAATGCTCTACCATGTACGATGCTCATAGATTTACGCTACTATAGTACGTAGCAGCACGCACAGTTATATCGTGGAGAAAAAATGCCATGGCTTGCGTGAGACTCAGTTAGACTGAGCTTTCCGCATCTGTAGCAAGTTCTAGGAACGCCACCACCCTCCACAGGATCAAGGCGCAGATGCAGCTAATTCCAATCGCAAACATGTTCAGGCGCAAATGGACCCATTGCGCAATGACGTAAAAACACCCTTCACAGCCAAATATGGAATGCATGAGTAATGCTTGTGAGTATGCTGGGATCAGAAGTGCACTGTTCAACACCCCAGACGACCCCCCCTCAGGTGGCTGTGAAGGGTGTTTATGGTACAAATTACGTCATTACGCAATGGGTCTATTGGGCTGTGCTTGGAAATCGTGAACTAAAACCGGCACAAACAGTTTCCCAATTTACAGTATTAGCCAGTCCCCCTCTCCCCCCCCCCCCCCCCCATTCAGCACCTCTAAAGCGTGATGACATCATCCATCTACAATACTCACCGTGTGATTGAGACGCATTCCGATGATCTGTGCCAGGAATGAGCGCGTGAAGTGGGCCTTGATCATCATGGCGTTGCCGCGACTGCTCTCCAGCAAACAGCGACCAACGATGCGGCCAGCAAATTTGTAGTAGTCTGTTTTGAGATTACCTGGTCGTTTCGGATTGGGATGCACCTGGAAGATGGGGAGAAGACCAGGGACAGGTCAGAAGTGTTACAAGATGATTTCTGGCCCTGTGTGTCATGTCGTAAGTAGGAGCATACACGTGATAAAGAACTATCCTTGCAACACTATCCCTGCGGTGAGCTAGGTCAGTGTGAAAGCAGTACATTGTATACACGTCTAAATCGTGAAGGAAGCTGCTGATTTAGGAAGGCACCAGGAAGTTTGGCAGTCACAACTGGAAGGAATTCAGGCTGCCAAAAAAAGCCAGGGAGCTCAGTTCTTACCAAGCCTTGTGAATCCTCCACATTGAAGCGCCGGAACAAGCCTGTATTGACGTCAAACAGCCTGCTGGAGATCAGGTGGTAAAACTCACGAGACACGCCACCATAGTCCAAACCTGGTAGGGACACATGGACACATGTACAGCCACACATGAGCAAAGCCATCAATAATGGGACAATAATTTCCTCATACAATGCAATTTTTTCTTCAGACTTTTCCCGTTTGTGTCTTTCCCTCAAAGTAGTGAAGACCATACAATGCACATGTGCATTTCTCATACACATGTGCCGGGATAAGCACTGCTGGTTACATGCAGTAGTTTGAGTTGAACCACACAGAAAATAACCATTGCATGGTATGGGAAGCAAACTTCACCTTCTTCGCCTTCAAACTCCACTCGCCATTTTTTCTTCCAGCCATTCTTGAAGTGAGTCAAAGCACCTTTGGCCTGCAGGCACACATGTCACACGAAACACGACATCATTGTAGTTGGGATACAGCAAAAGAAATTCCCAACACCCATCCTCTAGTCAGTACAAGAAAACACACACCCCCCCCCCCCACACGCACGCACGCACGCACGCACGCACGCACGCACACCCACACCCACACATACACGCACATACACGCGCATCCACACACCCACGCACGCACGCACACACGCATGCACACGCGCACGCACACAGCACACACACACACACACACGCACATACACGCACATACACACACACACACACACACACACGCACGCACACACCGATGTTACACATATTCTACATAAAACAGCACACACAAGTCACAGCCACTAGGTTTATGGTATCACAGTATGTTGCATGATAGCTGCGCAGATTCAAATTGGTGTTTTACACTGCACCGGCTTTGCTTCATGTAGCACAGTACAAACCACTACAGTACCATGTTATACAGTAAGTGGAGCATGACCTCATACGGCCATACAGTAAGTGGAGCATGACCTCATACGGCCATACAGTAAGTGGAGCATGACCTCATACGGTTATACAGTAAGTGGAGCATGACCTCATACAGTAACATGTTATACAGTAAGTGGAGCATGACCTCACACGGTTGACAGTACCATGTTATACAGTAAGTGGAGCATGACCTCACACGGTTGGGCACCCTGTAAGAAGACCTTAGGGTCTGTTGGGAATGCCCAAGTAAAATAATACAATACAATATGGTTCATACAGTCGCAACACTGGGACCCTATCAAACGGTCTTTGGTTGCAGTCAGGAGCATTGTCACCATACAGTGTGTCCTTGTGATGTGCTGCCATCATCATACCTGGTTGCCAGGCATCATGTTACGCATCTAGTGCTGCTGAACATGCCAAGTGGAAAAAGACAATTGAGAATTAACTTACACTATCCAGCAGGTCACGTCTCTTGATAGTGATGTTTACTGTTTGGCTTGAGAAGTCGGCATGCTCCTGTCGCAATGATGCATTGAACTGGGTGCGTTTCTGCTCAAACGATTCACCGCCACCTGGGCAAAGGCAGGACACAAACACACACAACAATGTCCAACAAGAAATGCCAACATGTTCCTTGCTGCAATCCTACAGTATTGCACATTCTGATTTACGACATTGCAGCATACTCCAACTACAGGGGTCTTCACGCTAGTAGGGTATTTGTTCATGATGGCACAATCCCAAGTTCTTGCCCGACTTCAAGTGTACAATGGTGACGAATCAAGCTGTACTGATCGGAGGTAGCTGCTCGCAAAATAAGTATCAGAGGCCATGCCTTCGTAAATGCAGCCCACAAGAAGCAGAAGTCATTGTTGCAGGGGAATCCAAGTCTGCTACATGTACACCTGGTGTGAGTGTTAAGCCAACCACTGAGAAGTGTACCAATGGTGACTACTCACTGGCAATCAGCACATGCACAAACACACACATACACACACACACACACACACACACACACGCACAAACACACACACACACACGCACACACACACACACACACACACATACACCATTGGACCATTGGACGCCCATCGCCGGAGGCGATGATAGCGATGCTACAGCAGAAGCCATAGCAACTTGTGCTGGGATTGCACCATTCAACAGCTTGCAAGGCTGAAGAATTGACCGCCACTATTCAGCCTGGTCTACACCACACAGCTATGAAGTGGCTTTTTCTGGCCAGTGAATCCCTACCTTTTGGTCTTTTTTTCTTTTCTTTTTTTTACACACACACACACACACACACACACACACACACACACACACACACACACACACACACAGCACTGTTGCTAGAGCCAGAACAACTTACCAAGACTGCGGCTTAGTAGCTCGGCAAATGTTGCCATGACAATGTTACGTTTCTTACAGAGCAGCTGGATAGGTCCCTGCCAGGCATCGCTGATAGAGAAGCAAGGTGTGGATGATGCCGCACTGGCTGATGCTGAACCACTGCCAGGTGCTGGCGAGCAAACCATCTATCAACAATGCAACAATACAATATGAACAAACAGATACGCCCAGAGAGTTAGCACAGGCACCTCCATGGTTTCACTACCTGACCGGTGCACATGCACAGTCTAACATAGAAACACCTGCTCCGAAATCATGATTTCGATTAGGTAGACCAGTACCAATATTCACATACGACAAGCTCAAAATAGGAGGAAAAAAGAGATTGAACAAAAGGACAATTACCGGTGCAAGCAAGGCATTCATCGCTAGTACCGTAAAGTACCGTTGATCCGCCCCCCACGCTATGTCGCTTCCCAGCTGGGTTTCGGCAGGGGGCGGGAATTAGATCAAGGCTGTCAAGTGCAGTACGATGTACAACAACGTAGAAGTTCAGACTCGATGTGCTGGATTGTACACATTTTCACCCTGGATTGGCAAGTATTGTGTACAGCAGTGCATGCGTCGGTTCAACATCCTATTTCGTTGTATACGCCGAAGTCGCTTCACAGGTAGAAAATCGACAGGGGCCGGATCAACGGTACTTTATGGTACATGCAAGCATAAGTCCTACCTTGGTCGAGGGCCGAATACGAAACGCACACAGCTTGCGAGGGATGATGTAAACGTAGAATTCCTTGATGCAAACTTGCTGAAAAGGACAGCAAAACGAAAAACAAACCATTCTGATAGGGTATCTGCAGCAGTCTATACTCTACACATAGTCACAAATGTCTGCATATATATACATTCACATGACAGCATATGCCTGAGGCACAGCTCTCGGGAATACATGTACTTGCAACAAGTAAGCCCAGTGTTACTGTGTAATAAGATACCAGGTAACTGTAGGCTGGTTACCATGGTTACCTTGGGTAGTAAGTAGATGTAGACAGTGGTAAAGGTGTCCTTACGGCCGCCGGACTTGTACATTCTTGCCTCGTACCACTCATTCAGATGCTTGTTTTCGACGTTCTCACGTACCTGTTGCAAGTCAGCCTCTGAAATACACAGAGACCAATAATCAGCTTCCTAGAGGACAAAAATACTATACGCAGACGTATAACATTCAGGAAGAGGACAACCTTCAGGCTCTTCACCAACATTTTTGGTAGTTTCCACTGCACAAGAGGTACACAACAGCTGTCTGATGATTGGTTGTTGCCATGAAACTCTGAGTTACAACAAAAAGCCCTACTTTATTTCCTTTTGTGTACCTCTTGTGTACTACGCTCTGCCCATTACGGGCATTTGAGCACTATTGCAGGTTAAGGTGCACGGCCTCGGTGGTAGTTTCCACTAGTACACTTTCATGCCTTCTTGTCAGGTGATTACAGGCAAACACACACAGGAAAAAGAACAACGACTTAAAGGGGAAGTATACCCTAAAATCAAATTTTCACCAGTTGTAGTCTTCTGGGTGCTGAGTCGAATGGTCTTGGTCCGAGGAAGCTGCGACGCTCCCTTCCTACTTGAATCCCAATCGAACTCGCGCACTTCCACCGAAACTGGGTGACTGCGCCCTACTAGATGGGGATTTGTATGCAAAATGTCACTAAAAGCGCCATTTCGTTCTTATAAAAGCACGGATGACCGCGATTGGCCCATATGTTGTAGTCTTTTGGACGCTGAATCGACTGGTTTTGGTCCGAAAAGGCTGCGATGCAGCGTTCCTCCTTTATTCCCAATCGAACATGGTTGAACAAGCGGTCACGTGCTCCTGCGTACACCAGTCACCTGGTCACCGTGCCTGCAGGGTACAACTTACTAGCCTGTTTGACCTTTTTTGGGTGCAGTCCTGTCACTCGAGTTGAACTCGAGTTGAACCTTGGTGTGAAATTTGTCACCTGCTGGCGCGGTGACCAGGTGATTTGGGCACCCAGGAGCACGTGACCGCTTGTTCAACCATGTTCGATTGGGAATAAAGGAGGAACGCTGCATCGCAGCCTTTTCGGACCAAAACCAGTCGACTCAGCGTCCAAAAGACTACAACATATGGGCCAATCGCGGTCATCCGTGCTTTTATAAGAACGAAATGGCGCTTTTAGTGACATTTTGCATACAAATCCCCATCTAGTAGGGCGCAGTCACCCAGTTTCGGTGGAAGTGCGCGAGTTCGATTGGGATTCAAGTAGGAAGGGAGCGTCGCAGCTTCCTCGGACCAAGACCATTCGACTCAGCGCCCAGAAGACTACAACTGGTGAAAATTTGATTTTAGGGTATACTTCCCCTTTAAAAGTACAGCCGAGAGGTGATAGTAAAGCACAAAGAAGAGTGGCAAGAAGCAACAACGGTAAAATGCGTGACCCCATGCACATAGAAAGATGGACAGAAAGGTGCAAGTTTGATGAAACCCAACAAGCGTGAACATAGTGCGACAACAATAGACAACCAATGGACATAACTAACGAGTTGTTGACAACCTACCTAACAGCCTAAAGCTGTGTTCGCAACTGGCGCGTGGACGCGGTACGCTTGCGGTTCATGCGTGCCCAAACGCGCACTCAGGCTTTCACAAAAAAACAGCAATTCGAGTCGTATTTAGGGCGTGCGACGCCTTCAAGTACTAATGTTTTGACCCCGCCAGTCAAAGTGACTGGCACGTACGCCTGGTACGCGCTGAAAAATACAACCGGTTGGAATTTCCATCTCGGCGCGTTTCCATACGCATGACGCTCCAAACGCCAGAAAAATTAAGCACAAACGCGAGTCTGGTGGATGGGGATGCTGGGGCCCTGGCGCCTGGAACAAGTGTGCGGATGCACAGCATTTTGGCAATCACACTAGGATAGTCAGCATCTTATAGTCGAGCAAATGGATAGACTTGAGGCATGGTCTATTGCCAATGGAAATGTGTATGGTTTAGAGGGCCTGGAACTCTGTGACTATGTTGAGAAGCGTCTGGAGGACGCTACAGACAGAGGCAAGAGGCCAGAGGCCAAGGATGCTGGCAAGCTGGAAGAAAAGCTGAAACACGAACTGACCGAGTTGATGGCCAAAATACATGAGCTGGAGACGAATCGCGACTATGCGGATCATGCCAGCGATGCCCGCCCACCCTCACGACCAAAGCCCATTAAAATACCCAAATACGATAGCAAACAAACCATCATCAACTATCTGGAACTGTACGAAGATCTCGCCACCCAGAACCAATATGACAAGGATGAGTGGTTGATACTGCTGTGTGTGGATTTCGCCGGCTCTAAGTGTGAGCAAAGTTGTCACAGTTGCAGGAGCTATGCCGACGCCAAGCGGGAACTCTTGAAATCCTACGTGCTGACTGCCGAGAAGGCGTGGCGGCAGCTGATGACGTTGAGAACGCGGAAGAGAATTTCCATCAGTATGTTGTCCGCGTGCCCAGGGCAGTCGTGCTGTGGTCAATACGCACTGTGTGAGATGAGACCGGCGACGAGGGATATCGCTTGACATCATTGTGTGATAGTCTGACGACCTGGAGGAAGTGCGTATGCGCGACATTTTTGGCGATCACGCCAGGGTAGTCAGGGAGACGAGGAACTGGCCGGATGGTGCGAAGGAAGACACATCGAGAACAAATAACCCACAGGGATGTCGTCCACAGTGAGTATCCTGCGAGGAGCTATTTCCGACGGCAAAGCCAAGGACGGTGTGAAGGAAACACCTCGAGATCAAATAACCCACTGTAGGTGTGAGGGAGTTTGAAGTTGCTCCTTTTTAAATAGTAGCACAAAAGTTGTGTAGTTTGATTTTGCAATCAAGAGTACTAACTGTGAGGTAATCATGCTATATTGGTGATGCATTACTAAGGATCGCAACGAGAAAACGGTTCTGAATACTTCTTCTCTTACATGTACATTTTACATTCACATCTCTCTCTCATGTTTGATGTCTCATGGATATTGTTTGAGCCAGGTTGGATGTTGACTTTCGTTTTCAGTGTTTTTGTTTTGTTTGGCCTAGCGTTATAATTATATATTTTTGGTTTCTGGCCCCCTTGAGCCCTGAAAAGGTCTTTGGTGGGGAGAACTACTTATCCTGATACCAATTATATGCCGAACACAATAAACCAAAACTCATTGCAAAGTAAATCCACCAAAGAATGGGGGGGGGGGGGGAAGGACAAGAACACACAAACAGAGTCTTACCAGTCAAGGAAATGAGTGAGAAGGCACCGTCTTGCAGGAGCTTGCCGTCGAATAGCACCTTGGCAGCGTAAAGGCCAGGTGCAGAGACATTGTACAGTATCTCATATACACCTACATAGCAGCAACGCGACCAGAAGTGGTGGCAGCAGCAGCAGCAGCCGCATCATCATCATCATCAGCAGCAGCAGCAGCAGCAGCAGCAGCAGCAAAACCAAAAATGGTAAAGAGCGTACACGTGTCTCAAATTTGCACAAAGTAGACTTTGCACAAAGTAGACTTGCCCTTCACTCCAGGCTATGAGTGCTTGAAAAAGTGGCAGTGATCTACTTTTGATCCTTTGACTACCTGACCAGAATGATTAAGCTGTACTACGTTCTGCCTTTGTGGCATCCGAGCAGCACTCTAAGGACATTGAGTACATCCTACTGTGACTATGCTTTTTAAAATAACAACATCTGCATCCGGTGGCATTAATCACTGACAGAATGTGGATGGCGTTTCAAAATTTCACAATTTACAGTGCATTGAATATGGTCAGTTCACCGTAACATAGGATAGAATGTGTAAAATGCTGACGCAGGTATGAGTAGGCAAAGATACAGTCGACCTCTCCTCATCCGTGCAATTACAGAGCAATGCCACATGGCCTCACCAGGACTCGGCTGACTCTCCACTAAATAATTATGAGCAGGTGCATCCTGTTCTGCGGCACCTTCCTGCAGATCAGCCACGCACACATCCAGCTTTAGCTTGGACTTGTCGACGTTGATGCAAGAATTGCCATAGATGTCACACAGCTGTACGTCTAAATGGCGGTATGAGTTAGCTGCAATGGCCATACAGCCTCGCACAGACTTCAGTGAACTGTGACCGGCATCCGGCGGACCTTCAGATGAAAAAAGGTTTTTAAAAAACCCAAGTGACAACAGCAGCACAGTGGCACCAATAGATGATAGTACAATCAAGAGTATACGAGTAGTCAGGAGTGGCAGCTCAACATAAGTATGCTACATTACGTGCTGACAGCAAAACGTCACATCATGTGGTGCAGTGTTCATCTGGTATTAGTATTTTGTATCCAGGTCATCTATAGTAAAGGCTAAGCAAGCAAGAGAAGAAGCTACTACACTCTTGGATGGGAGAGAGAGAACAGCATCTCTGGCAGATTCAGACTAGGCATTAACTGCCCTCCATTGTACGCATCACACGCAGCACAAACGAACTTGCATCGGGTGTGGACCACAAGAAGTAAGTTTTCCTTGTGCAGACCCCATAAATAGCATACACACACGCACGCACGCACGCATGCACACACACACACACATATATAAAATAATAATAGAGTACCCACTCAATGCAGAGGAATACAACGTTAGGACACGCGCTCCAGCACTCACCAGGGGCAAATATCTTGATCGCCGGGGGCATGGACTTGCCATTGATCCGAACATCAAGCTGATAATGACCAGCAATGCGGCTGAAGAATGTCACAACTACCTGCATTGACACAAAACAAACAATAATATTATGGTAGAACAAAAGGATGAAAGCAGCGCATTGCTCTAAACAAGAGTATTACACCCTCCCCTAGAGAGTGCAACTTGTTCCTGTGCCCGCTGTGTATACCCTACACGTACACAGGGTTTCGTATGATTCAGCTGACTCTTCTGGGGAACCCCCCAACATTCTCCATACGTGTGTGTGCACATTGGTTTCCAAACTTTCCATACCAAGGATGCAAAGCCTCCACTCCTTGGCAACATAAGAGATCACAGGGGCGAATCCAGGAGGGATTCCACGGGTTCCGCGGAACCCCCTAAGGGGCCGTCCGTAAATATCGAACTTTTTTCACCAAACTAATTATTTTAGTTTAGACCCAACCCCTTCCTCCCTCCCCCTCAGAACGTAAAAAATGTTGACATACATGCATATACTTGAAACGGCCATGTACATGAATCAATGTTTTTCTGAAACGAAACTGGTCAACCCCCTCCCACCCCATAACGAAATTATTTCGTTTTGTGAAAAAAGTTCGATATTTATGGTCGACCCCTAAATTTCGTAAATGTACTACTGGCACTCATTATGCGTGTCCATGTACATGTATCAGCTGTTCAGTTTTGACTATAATGGAACCCCCTGTAGATATCGCTGGATCCACCGCTGGATCACATGATAGATCACAGGCATGATGAAGATGGTTGTCCAGTATGATCAAGCGTTCCAATATGACATTGTGTGATCTCACTGAGGACACTCCATATTTTCAAAATTGAAAAAGAAGAAGAAGATACAATTACTACAATCAACATGATCATATACGATGTGCGGCTCTTCATACAAAAATACTATTATGGGTGGAATGTACAATGAAGACAATTTCTTACAGAGTTTCCCGTTGTCTCGGCACTCATAGTTTTACTAGATGCAGCACCAGCAGCTCCGGTGGTGCTATCGTCCGCAGTACTGGGGTCATCATCCACTACGGATGGCAGGCGCTGTGCTGGCAAGGCTTTGGAAAATGGCACAGCATGTTGATTCACCACTAGCGTGATTGACACGTCATTCACAGATTTTAACGCAAACGTGCTGCCGTTGCGACAAAACGCCTGTCCGCATGCCATCAAGATAATAAGACAACAAGGAAATATCAAGGGCCTATATGAAAAAGGGTTTCATGTAAAGAGTGCCCGTCCAAATGGGACTACTGGCATAGCGCGGGTACTAGTACTGGCCGGGGACAATATACATGCATTCTCAAATGGCCACTTGTCCCAGTATTCGTGTGAGTCACACTCAGCCTTAGTTTTTTTTGTCCCTTGAATAATAGGCAGAAAACACTCACGATGAGACTATCCTACATCTAAATCCCCTTTGGCGACTTGTAAGCATTGACTCGCGTGCAGCCTCCAGAGGACAAAACACGGGAATTACAGAGTGAGGACATCACACTTTTGCACAATAGCGACATAGCCAAGGTGTGAGTTATGTACACTGAACATGGAACAAGAGAGAGAGAGAGAGAGAGAGAGAGAGAGAGAGAGAGAGAGAGAGAGAGAGAGAGAGAGAGAGAGAGAGAGAGAGAGAGAGAGAGAGAAAGAGAGCGAAAGAGAGAGAGAGAGAGAGAGAGAGAGAGAGAGAGAGAGAGAGAGAGAGAGAGAGAGAGAGAGAGAGAGAGAGAGAGAGAGAGAGAGAGAGAGAGAGAGAGAGAGAGATAGAGGCACAATCTTGATGCGGTGCCCATACCTTTACGGTGAATGTGACTGTAGTGCCAACAGCATACTCATGGCAATCCTGACCCACACCAGACCATTCAATTTGACACTTGTTAGCATCCAGATAGTTTCCAGTAAAGAAGGATGAAGAAAACAGCGACGGGCCTTGGTCAGCTGGCTGCGGAACAGCAGCCTGTTGCCTCTCTGGTTGTGCACGACGCTCTTCTCGCTGCCGCCGGAGCCTGATTGACCGTTTGAAGATCTATGCCGAACAAGCACAAAAGTTTAAACTGGTGTCCAATCAAATACACGTGTATGCTAGTAATGCAGCACGTCCATGTGCATTCTAGCTGCCGGTAATACATGAACATAACACATGAATACATAAAACAACACATAGGTATACTCCATTTCCAAACAGCTAGCTGCTTTGACCGTCTTAGCCTACTTTGGTCTCATCAGCAGAGCTCAGAGTCACTGGCCAGGAATGGGCCGGCATTCTTCATCTAAAAGTGAACGTTTTTTTCAAGATATTGTTTATTACTGCTGAGACTATAATGGATAAATAGATGACATGGAGACAATCATTTTAAAATAGCAATAAAATTAATAGGATGAATAGCACTGTCATCACTACACATCATCGAAGTCATGAGGGTTTTCCAAAATCGATTTTCACGTCACATTCATCAGTGGAATATCATGACTAAAGGTTAGCCATGCAAAACAATGATTTTAAAAGTATACATTCTATAGTGTGTGTGCGAAGAAGGAAATAAAGTGCTGCAGATAGAAGGCAAATGGGCGAGACAATAAATGTGACACTAAAGCTGAGCATAAAAGGGGTGAGACGATAGACGTAAAGTGAAGTGGGAACTATGAAGTGAAACAAACAAGTGCGCACCACGAACTTACGAAAACAATCTTAGCGCAACCACATGCTTCTTCTGCTTTCTGTTTCGTGGTGTGCATTTGTTTATCTCACTTCATAGTTCCCACTTCACTTTACGTCTATTGTCTCACCCCCTTTATGCTCAGCTTTAGTGTCACATTTATTGTCTCACCCATTCGCCTTCTATCTGTAGCACTTTATTTCGTTCTCCGCACACACTATAGAATGTATAATTAATCATAGATTTTGGAAAACCTTCATGATTTCGATGACGTGTAGTGATGTCGGCGGAAATCATCCTATTCATCTGTCCCTTTGGAAAAACGCGGCCAAGAATTCAAAATTCCGCGGGGGGAAAAGCGGGGGGTTCTGCGGCATTTTCCGGGGTAAAATTAAAAATCTGCGGCACTTTCTGCAAGTTTTTCACCCTCCTTGTAGAGGACATGACAACTACTTGCATGAAGGAGCACCTTTCACACTATCCTTTGCAGTCACCAACTGAATGAGAGTGAAGAATCTTGGAGAGATCTACACCCGCCTACACTGGCAAGAGCAATGTGCTCAAACACATCGCAAAGTAGTTTTTCTGCTGTTTACTGAGTAGTCATTTTACTAATTTACCCTAAAAATTCAAATTCCGCGGGCAAAAGTGTGGATTCCGTGATTTCCGCGAAATTTGCCGCGGCATCGCGTTTTTCCAAGGGGACAGATTCATTGCTATTTTGAGACTATGATCATGTTGACATGTTTGTTTGCATGTTCCGTAGATAAACTGGTAACATAGCAACAGCCAAGTGAGAAATGCAGAACATGTAGCAGTTACGAGTACGAGTACCTATACATGCACACAACACTCCATGTACCTACCGCCTTAGAAATGATGTCACACAAAGAGAGGGGGAGGAAGAACGGGAGGAAGGCGACAAAGAATGTGGCTGCCGTGAACTTTGCAAGCTCCACTGCAGAGCGACGCTGTTGCTTCCTCAAACCCCAGGCAGTGACCAAAACAATGGCCGCCCATGCGGTTGCCAATAGCAGATCTAGGCAAACAAGACGGTAAAGCAAAGGCATGGGGTTACAATGAGTACAACGTAATGAACACAAACTGGAAAAGGGAGCTGCTCCGGCACTGGAGAGTTAACACTTTCCAACAGAGGACCAAGTGTATGACTACCGGCTAGGAGACGGACAAGGTGGATATTTAGCAGATGCCAGTGCCAGGCAAAGTGATCAAATGATAACTTTACTATATCCTCCACCCGTCACCACCATGATTAATTTTATTGATCAGATGATCAAATTAATTATTAATATAATTACTCACAAGCGCAACCATAGAAGAAGAAACTCCAGAGCCCTGCAGCACAACACAAAAAGACGGAAAAGGCAAGAGATGAAGCCACCCACTCAATCTACTACAATCAAGAGTACACAACCAAGAGTGTGTAACTCGACGATCCATCAGCATATTGCGGCTATCAGACTCACCGACGCGATCATGCTTAGCCAGAGATAAAAGTACAACGAATTTGTACATTGGAGCTACAGTACCGTAAAAGCCCCTGTATACGCCCACCCTCCGTGTACACGCCCGGTCAGGGGAAGTCAACACTTTTGTTTCAAAATAACGCCCATGCCCATGTATACGCCCAGGTATACCGGCAACACCAGTACATGTACAGGTACTGATACCCAATACTTACTGCTATCCCTATTCCAAGTATACGCCCGGTTCCAAAATAACGCCCGTGCCCTCGTATACGCCCAGGAAATCGAGGCTACCTTATGGTGGGCTCGGAGGCGATGCCTGAAGCCACCAGCTGAATAACTAGTCAATGACGCAATAAATGAAGTTGCTCCATTGGTTCGACTGCTGTTGACAAAACAACGGTTCGCGTGAGACTCGGCTGGAAGCCGAGTTTTTCGCGTCCGCAGGAATGCCACCACCCTCTAGGATTAAGGCGCAGATGCAGATCCTAAGCGGTGGGAGGTGAGTAGATCAGACCCACCACAAAGTGCTCAAAGATTGAAATCACTTGAACCTGGTACCCTCTGTTTCTCAATCATGGTCGTGGACCATCCCATTATGCCTGCCTGGCACAAAGGTGGAGTATAAATCCATAAATCAGTTGTTGGGGTGCATAATAATACTATCGCATTCAAATTTCACCGGCTAGTTTCAAACATTCTCAAAAACAATTCTCTATACCAACATGGCCAGCAATTATTACTTCAAAAGTTACTGAGTCTTATGTTTAACAAGTACCGTAAAATCCCGCCAGAGCGCCCCGTCTCTCCCATCCTCCCCTCCCTGACTTCTTGTCAGGGACGTGATCCTCGTATGACTCTGTCACAGTCTGTGATGCCGTACTGTACTGCAGACGCGTGCTCGACCCCATTGGAAATGTACGCAACAGTGCCCACCCTCTTGACCAGGGGTCGCACAAACCCTGAGTTTTGACGGGTCTGTACGACTCTTGGCTCTTGACCTTTGGTCGGTGTACGAGATGCACGAACAGTTTTCGTAGGGTGAGTACTTTTTCATGTACAGTACTGAACGCGGCAAGTAGGACTCGCCCATCCGCACCCGAAGCATCGAGGAGGTAGGGGCGCTCTGGCGGGATTTTACGGTACATGCAGTCATGTACTTGCAGCCATGTACCAACCAGTTGCTATACACAGGTCCATGATGACGGTGGCAACCTTGGTAACTGCTGGCATCATATCGGGGAATAAGGCGAACGCGTCATACAATAGCGGGGACGTTGAGACCTCTAATAAAAACGATAGAAGCGTTTCTGCGAAGCTGTAAACTACTGGCAGAGATGCATTCGACAAGTCAAACGAGTCAAACAAGTGCATGTGTTCAAAATAATAGCCGGCTGATACACACAGATCTAGGATAACGGTTACCACTACTGGTATAGCACCTAGTACACAGAGCACCGGAGAGGAAATAGGCCATGAAGTTGCCATTGCAAGCGATTGCTACTCGGAACTCCCTACAGAAGCAATCATGAAGTAACTGACAACGACCACTCATGGAAACTACTCTATTTATTCCAGTGAGAGGTGCGAGCAAGGTGACGCAAAACATACTGCTGGACGATAAAGAAGTGAAAGGAGGGTCTGTTGCCCTGTGTGCTGAGTAGCGGCTACACAAGGTGGCAATTGGAAGTATGACAATTTGAGCCTGCTGCATGTTGATGTACATGAGTACTTGCAGATGACAAGATAAAGAAGTGAAAGGAGGGTCTGTTGCTCTGTGTGCTGAGTAGCGGCTACACAAGGTGGCAATTGGAAGTATGACAATTTGAGCCTGCTGCATGTTGATGCACATGAGTACTTGCAGATGACAAGATGATAAAGCAGGGAGTGTAGAGGATACTAGGAGTGGCATGGAAATCCTCACACATCTTGTTTCTCGCACCTTACACAACTGGCCAGTTGGGTGAAAGAAAAGCCCGCCTATCACTTCTTTACAGCCCAGCACCTGACAGTGTTTCACACTACCCCACATCGAGCTGGCATGAATAGAATACTTTCCTTGCTAACCAGTGTCGGTCTTTGGTGCCAATCCTTGCAAGAAAGCAGATGACAAAAATGCAAAAACCCACGAACATGTGTTTGGTGTATGGCTGTGTCCCTGCTCACACATGTACATGTGTTTGGTATATGGCTGTGCCCCTGCTCACACATGTACATGCGTTTGGTGTATGGCTGTGTCCCTGCTCACACATGGACAAAGTTACATTGTAAGTCATGTAACAACTCACATAGAAATAGAGAGAAGAACATGGACGCAAGGGAAATGGAATAGGCACGCTCGGCCTCGAAAACAAGTAGCTCCTCTTCCTCAAATACATGTGGGCGCTCCTGCTTTACTAGATCCACAAGGCTGCAGCACACAAACAGAAAAAACCCATCATGGGGATTCACGGCACTCTACTATCATAAATGCACATCTATAGCGCAGCTCCAAAACATAGATGCTGCGCCTACAGTAACCGCACAAACGCCCCAAAACTCCGCATGAACTAGCTCAAAACCAGAGAACCAAACCAGTTCTAAAACATGGCTGCAGTCCACACTAGTCCACACTGTGTCTCTAGCCCATAATAACATAATAAGCGTACGGACAGATTTGTACATTGACAAAAACCTGAATGGCATACAGAAATAGAACACCCCTTATCCGGAAGAACTTGTGGAAAATAAAAAAAATAAAACTGCATATCAAGGATATCAAAATGCACTATATTCAAGACACGGCATGTCAAGGATATCAAAATGCACCATATTCAAGGGCTAAAGTAAAGAAGAAAGACTAGTGAACATTGACACGGATACAAGCTCTAAATCTGGTCGCTCCAGAACCACCGAATCACCACCCCTGCCACCACCACCACCAACGTCCAAACTCCAGAATAGCAGACAAGAGCAATTTCATACTCCATATAGCACCTTTGAGACTGGGAATGAACACAGGTTCCAGTTCACACAAACCAATACAAGTCAATCATAGTCACAGGCAGCACATTATTATGTAGAATGAACCCCTTCCCAGCTAAATAAAGCAAACACACTACTACCAATATTGGCATAACAAGGCAAACTTACACTTCACAACTTGGATTGTGTGCCTGCATGTCAAGAAACAAATGTCTCCACTGACTGGCAGTGGTGTTTGCAAAGTCTTCCGCATTATGAATGCCATGCTGATGTAAACACACCAGACACACATCCACAGGAATCCCACGTGACACCAACCAGCCTTCAAACTCTAACGCAGCCTGGGTATCAAAGCACACCCGCACATGCACACACATGTGCGTGCAAGTACACACACACACACACAGACATACACACACACACGACACACATACACATACATGTGCACATGCACGCACATGCAATCACAAATCAAAACCAACTAGTCGTACAACATGCCTTGGGAAAGATCTGTTCCACTTCCACCCGCCAGTTATAACCAAACTACACTACGCATAGAAGATGGTGCCCAGTGTGCTTGCTCTCCCCTTGTTTAGGGTGTCGCCACCTTCAATGCACACAAGAGGGGGCTCAGGATGCATCAGAGTTCCTCGGTTCCAAGTTACTATACTAATAGCAATAGTAGAGTTAGGCGAGCAGAAAATGGTGAAGGTCTCGTGATATACCAATTGTCACATCTTAATATGTCACTCGCGTGCAGTAATATGACGGAACATGAGTGACACCATGCGTGCATACATTGTATGCGTGGTATGCACGCATGGTGTCACTCATGTTCCGTACAGTAATGTATGCACGTATGATGTCACTCATGTACAGTAATATATCGCTCCTGTACAGTACTGCATGCATGCATGATTACGCATACACAGACAGATTCTTGGTTCTTGTTCGTCTGTTTCCTTATTCGTACAATTTGGTCGTCTTGTTACTCCTCTACAGATGAGTCTAATACATGTACTTCATTCTTGCAACACAGTGTGCATTGTTACATGACCAAGTGTATAGCACCAAGCTTCCACTCGCAGCTACCATCCACACTTCACTCTCACCTTGGTGGATTTACAAAGTTTGGTGATGGCATCGGAACGGGCAGGGTTGTTCTCCAAGAACCACCAGGCTATTTCCTTCTTCAAGCGTACCACGTCATGCCGATTCTGAACGCCTGGGGACACCAAATTCGTATTCCAACACACAGAAAGCACATCAGCAAAGTACACACTACTACACATACAGGCACTAGTAAGTGAATGACTGTAGCCTTGGTAAAGTAACAGATTCCCAACTTACCCAGTGGACTACAGTAGAATAACCATACGAGTATTGATCAGTGTCATGTTACTTACCTGACTACAGTACCAGGCGCCCCACACCCCACACCCCACACCTGACTACAGTACCAGGCACCCCACACCCCACACCTGACTACTGTACCAGGCACCCCACACCCCACACCTGACTACTGTACCAGGCACCCCACACCCCACACCGTCCGGCCAGGTGTAGCAGAAATAAAAGCCTATAAGCGGACGTTGCCATTGCCACAATACACAAGACAAGTTCCTGTTGTACCCCCCAATGATCGTGCAGCGTACTGCAGGGTGGCTGAATACTGTACATGCTGTCTGGTGCAGTAGCTGGCAATTGGCAATTGCCCACAATGCAATAAAGTGAGGGCAGCGTGTGTTTCGGGGCTCGTGAATTTTCGCTTTTCGGATAGCCCAGTCGGCATCAGGCCGGTCTAGAGGTACTAGTGGATATGTCTCAGAAGTAGTTGGTCTCAGCAGTAGTTGGTCTCAGTAATTGGTCTCAGCAGTAGTTGGTCTCAGCAGTAGTTGGTCTCAGTAGTAGTTGGTCTCAGCAGTAGTTGGTCTCAGCAATAGTTGGTCTCAGCAGTAGTTTGTCTCAGCAGTAGTTGGTCTCAGCAGTAGTTGTAGTAGTAAGTAGTTGCTGTTTAGACGGATCAACGGCATTGTGTTCTGCTTGCTCTTTCCTTCGTGTTGGTGTTTTTATCACTATTGATTTCACAATCATTTTCTTTTTGCCCGTATACGAGGCTTCAGTAGATATAGTGTACAGTCAACTTCGCTAATATCGACTGCGGATATAACGACAATTCGCGAATAACGACAGAATTTCCGTGCCCAGAGCAAAGTCCCATCCAATTGTAATACATATAATGAGACTTCGGATATAACGACACTTTGTGAATAACGACACTTTTCTGATGCCGCGCCGAGTTTCGTTATAAGCGAAGTTGACTGTATAGGTAGCAGCAGTAGTTGGCAAGCCCAGACAGAAACTATCTCCACGGGCGAGTTGTCACGCGAGGGCCAAACAAAACTGCTTTGCTCCCTCCCAGGGATTCTGCACTCGCTCTTGAGCATAGTACAGACACTGACCAGCCTAGCCGTAGAAATAGAGAGAAGAACATGCACCACTGCAGCAATGCAAGATTAAGAGATGGAAGCTCCATCCTCGGTGGTCTGACAGGGAACTGGACAAGGTCAACCAGCAGAAGCGTCGCCTGCATTGAAAGTGGCTTGCTGACAAAGCAAACACTGAACCTCACGCAGCATGTAGACGTGCTCGCTCGGCTGCTGCAAATGCAAACAGGCGGAAACGAAATCAGTACTTTCAAAGTCAGTGCTAAGATCTTTGTCAGAACCCATGCAAGTTGTGGTCAGTCCTGAATACTGGGACTGGACGCAAGACACACTCAATCCAGCCGACATACGACATAGAACATGTTGCGTCTACGTTATGGCAAAGTAGTCTCTGATAATTCTCGACCTTCAGTGCTCTCTATGCCTCAGGGTCCACAGCCTTGTTCTGCCCTGACCTCACTCCAACATGTGCGTATCTGCGATGCTGAACGGGTGTTGCAGCGCATCGACCCATGCAAAGCAACAGGCAGTGAGGGGATCCCAGGCTTGCTCCTAAAGTGCCGTGCTGACCCGCTAGCACCATCCCTTGCAGCACTTGTCAATGCGTCCCTGACCTCCAGCACTGTACACTGGCTTCAAGCATGCGTATGTCGCCCCATTGCACAAGGCTGGCGATACATCTGTCGCCAACAATTTTCATCCTGTGTCCCTGATCCCAATTCTCTCGAAGCTGCTCGAGAAGATGGTGCAGAAGGCACTCGTCGATATGGCTGGTTTTCTGTCCAGCACACAATTCATATTTCGAACAGGACATTCTACGGAGGATGCCCTTGTATTGATGGTCAACAGAATCCTGGCTTCAAGAGATTACCGCGTGTTCACGGGTGTAATTCTCCTGGATATGTCGAAGCCATTCGACAACGTAAACCACCAGCAATTAGTCCAAGGTCTCTTCAGTGTGAGCGTCACTGGAACAGCGCTCCAGTGGCTCATGTCGTACTTGTCCAATCGGTGTCAGATTGTCCAGCCAGGATCCCAGCTTAGCACAGTGGCTCCATTGCTCAGTCTCAACAGATACAACACATGGTCTCTCTGCTGTGGAAAGCGGACTTCTTTCTACTTTCACTATTATCAAGAGTGCGTATCCCACAAGAGTGTGCGACACCACTATCAGTGCCGTCCCCTCAAAATTTCAAGTTGACGTCATTTTTACGGTGCAATGCGCACTGTACACGTATTATCGGACATATTCTAGACCAGCGATGGACAAATCTCCATTTGATCCGGTACAAAGCAGTGCTAGGAAACACGTACATGTATGGCGTGTTGACACCCAGTACAGTACAGACGTAAATACTCGTGTGAGGAGCATTGCATCATAAAAAATGACAACTTGAAATTGTGTTGGGGCAACACTGTATGCATGAGCTGCACACTGTTGGGGCAGGGAAGGTATTCTACATTGGTGCGGTTATGAACAGGCGGGGGAAAGTTTTGAAGAATTGGGCCCAAATAACCGTATTTTATAATTTGTATTGCTTCAAAAATTAAAATAATCGACGAGGAGACAATAGTCGTAAAATTACATTTTTCCTGTTGTTATGAGAGAACAATTGATCTTTATTGCTATTTTACAAAAAATAAAGATAAAATTATTGTTTAAAGACGCACCCGACGCACGTACCAGTTCCGACGCCCTGGCCTGTGGGGGTTGTGTACGCTTGCTATTATAGGATCATGAGGATGGCAGATAAGTTGCTCCGACTGGTCCTAATTGTGTAGGATGGCAGATTATTCCCTTTTACCATGAGCTCTCGAATCATGCATCAGCTATTTCGAATACACAGTGACAGACTTTTCAAGAGAATATTACAGTACTAAAATGTAGTATGCAATGTACAATTTCAACTGTGGCTCAGCTCATGGCTCCACATGTAAAAGTGCGTATCTAACCTGAGGCGAGCAGTCCAGTGATCACATCCGATTCATTCAGGTGACTGTTGTTCAAAGCTACCAGCAAGTCATCTTGCAGCACGTTTTGAGACGTTTCCGGATAGAAATAAAAGGCGATCACTGCTGCAATCACGACCAACACGATTTGTTGCTTCGTGGCAGCCATACACGAACGTTGGAAAGTTCCTTTTCAAATTCTAATGTGGCTGGTCCACAGAGAGAGTAATATTACCCATACTAAACCACGATCTGTTTCATTCAACCATGTTCATGAAGATATCCCACCAACCCCAGTGCAATATACAGTAGATTGACTGTAGTGTATATAAATATGTAGTCAAGAGTTCATATGAACTCTTGATGTAGTGTTTGTAAAAAACACTAGTGAGGTTTTGCATTCCGAAATTCGGCAAAAAGATTCGGCACGCGGGAGCGAGGTCGAAAATGCACACGAAGATTCGGCATGTTTGTTCGGAAAAAGCTCACTTTGCCGAAAATATTTTTCGGATGAATTTTCTTGTAGAAGAGCGCTAGCGCGTGATTTATTCAATGAGGTTTCTTATCTCGGCATCGCTTCGCAGGCGTCTTGGGCGACATCAGCATCGCCAGCTACCTCTGATTGCTCCTCTCCACTGCCTGTCTACTCTCTATCGCCTGGAGTGTCCTCACCGTCATCTGTGTGGCTGAAAGGACGATGGCGATACGCATAAAATTTGACTTGGCCATGGAGTTGGTGTTTCTGAGGCGACTGAGGAGGCAGGTTTGGCCCTCGACTCTTTGGGCGATCAAAGTTCGTTGGAATCAGCAAGAAAGGGAGCACGGGACAGGACGTTGCTGATGCTGGGGCTCACGAAATGAAAACACATCATTTTCGACTTGCAAAACAAACGTTGGTGCGAAAATTCGGCATTTTGATGTTCGACAAATGACCGAAGAGCGCGGAACCGAAATTCGGAATGCAAAACCTCACTACTTTCGATGAAAAACTTTCGATGTTTAATCAAAAATGTAGATCCTCCGGCTCCACGGTACGGAGCCAGAGTCCACGTACATACATTGTACTGATTTTGAGTTTGAAAGGACGAATGTGTCATGATGACGTATAAGGCAGTGGTAAAAATATGGGTAGGATTAGGAGTCATTATTATTTTAGGACTTCCATCCAGTATAACCAAGACCTACTATAACTTAGTATAAGCAAGAGTACATATGCACTCTTGCGCAATTGCCTTGGTATTACCAAAAAGAGTACATTACCCCATGGGGGTTATGACTGTCCTCTTGGCCATGGCATATGGCCAAGAGTCCATAAACAGTTTATGCACTCTTGATATGGCCTATTCTCTCCCATATTTTGACCGTAGCATTTGTGAATACAATGGCAATGTAGCAGGGAGTGGCGCCCGAACGGTTTGGATATCATTCCCTGGTTTGTAGTTGTAAGAGAATAAACAATCAAATCATGTTGCGTATTTATTCCCAGTCTTATACCTTCACCAGAGAGTCGTAAAAATCAAAAGTATCATCATGTAGATCCACATAGCTGACAATCATCAACAGCGCATACACCGGCAACAAATTTACACCCGAAAGACAACCTAATACCAAGAGTACATAGCCTAGCAGATCGGGGTTACATGTATGTACTCTTGCTAATACTGATGGTCGATGTTAACAAAGCTATACTAAGTATCTAAATTAAAGTATTGACTGAGTACGAGGTCAATATAGGCCTATATATATATAAAAGCCGAGGTTTTTTTTTTATATTTCCTATACTATACTGACCAAGTACGAAGTCCATACCGGTATTCGATTTATCACGACTAACCAAAGCATGTGTTCAACCGCTAAAAAGGAGTCAAATATAAGCGGTCAATATAGCCCTAAGGAGTCAAATATGCAGGAATATTTGACTGCTTAGGTATGGCAAAAATCGATGTGAGTCAATACTAAGGGAGTGATAAAAACTAGCACGGAACTCAGCATTGTCAGTTACTAACAATATTAGTTACTAGGATGTGTTTCCCCTTGCTACTAAGGTGGCAAGAACACCCCCCCCCCCCCCCCCCAACCACACACACACACACACACATATACAAACACACCTTGACCTTGGCATGCGACTGCTAAGCTGCCCTCATGAGGAGGGAAACAAAGGGGTAGCATCACAGCTTCGTGGCAGAACATCCGGCCTAATGCCGCTGCAGAATCTGCTGCCTGCGATACCTTTCGCCGCACACACAGCAGAATTTGAACTGGAGACGCTCCCTCGCTGTTCACCACACACACACACACCACACACACACATACACACACACACACACACACTTGTACTCATCTTGCTCACTGGCAGAAACTGCGCACGTTGGTCTCCCGGAGGAGAGGAGAGAGATTCAAAGGAATCTTGGAAAGGTGACTCAATTGGCTATTGAGCAACCCAACGCCCAGCACCCACTGAGATCCCTAAAGTCTGTGCCAAGATCCAACTGCATTTACCCCTGCTCCCAGTGAAGGTAATATTTGCAAGTACAGTTGCGCTCGCTGAAATCCGACCCAGAGTGCATGTTTGGCGCCCTCAACTAGCACGGCCTTGACGCCCTGGAAGTGGCACGAATGCGGCTGAACGTACACATGTACAAATACAATGATGTAATCGGAACGTGTTCAGGGCACCAGCTTTGCACTTTGGGTCGGATTTCAGCAAGCGCAACTGTAGTACACACACAAACACACATATAATGCCACATGTAGCACATGCCCAGCGCACAAACACACACACACACACACACACACACACACACACACACACACACACACACACACACTCAACGCCCTGGCCAACAAAACTTTCAAAGGAACACTAAACTTCTGTGTGACTTGTTTATTTTTGTCTCTTTCCAGCCAAGATAGCTGCCTTTTCTGCTTCCATGAACTCAGCCAGTTTCCTTGCTCTTTCTTCCTTGCGTTCCTGTCTCTCTACAGCTTGTTGCTGCCGCTCTTGCTTGTACTGTGCAATTGCCATAGGCATTTCCTTCATCTTCTCGCGGATTTTCCTTTCTCTGCAAGTAAAGAAAACAAGACAACAGATAGAAAAACGAGTTCTAACTTCTCTAAATCTTGCCCTATAAAGTCATGTACACTGGTTAATCTGAGGATGGGCTATAGGCCCGGCTAAAAACAATATTATTGTAGCCCAGAGAAGCTTCAGGCAAGAAACCAGCAACCACCGAAGTGAAAGCAAAAGTTGTAGTGGTTGAGTGTGCTCCCCGTATACTGGAATACTCTATCACCGTTGTTGTTCTCTCTCTCTCTCTCTCTCTCTCTCTCTCTCTCTCTCTCTCTCTCTCTCTCTCTCTCTCTCTCTCTCTCTCTCTCTCTCTCTCTCTCTCTCTCTCTCTCTCCCTCCCTCCCTCCCTCCCTCTGTCTGTCTCTGTCTCTGTCTCTGTCTCACACACACACACACACACACACACACTCCATTTCTTTCTTTCTCTCTGTCTGTCTCTGTCCTAGTCGCTGTCTCTCTCTGAAATACCGTATTTCCCTCCACTGATGATAGGAACGAGAAAATCGATTCTGGGTTTCAATATTATTGTTATAAAATACACATACATGTAAAACAAGTAACGTAGTTGCGTGATGCCTGCGGCCTTCATCCTATTCATAGCTATATTTAAAATATCTTTCCTCAATTTTGCCCTTTTTGATGATCAGCTCATTTCAGCTGTTACATGATATGCTTCCTCTTTTCCATCCTTTCTCTCCACCGCTAATCTCTACGTATTACTTCAAGTATCTTATTCCACAATAAAATAAATTAAATAACCGACGAGGAGACAACAGTCGTAAAATAGCAATGAAAAATATCAATTGTGCACTCATAACCATGTATAAACAATTAAAATGAAACAATTCCAGAACGTTTTCGTGTGACCATCATCAGTGGAACATCGTCACATAGTAAGAATCACTAAAACAACCAGTTATATAGCTAGAGTAATATGAAAAGAAGCGTGAGAATGCAGCACAGCTAGCGGTTATGCATAACGCGTGTAGTGTGAACCTTTGCAGTGTATCTGAGAATGGTAGCAGTAGATGAATGTGGCAGCTGTGAGTGCGTGTGAACAAAAACTGGTGAGTGCGTATCATTTAAAAAGTGTGAGTGCTACAACATTTTCTTTTTGCTTGCATAGAACAGGGTCACGTGTGCGAATATATATTTTGTTCACACGCACTCACAGCTGCCACATTCATCTACTGCTACCATTCTCAGATACACTGCAAAGGTTCACACTACACGCGTTATGCATAACCGCTAGCTGTGCTGCATTCTCACGCTTCTTTTCATATTACTCTAGCTATATAACTGGTTGTTTTAGTGATTCTTACTACTAGTATGTGACGATGTTCCACTGATGATGGTCACACGAAAACGTTCTGGAATTGTTTCATTTTAATTGTTTATACATGGTTATGAGTGCACAATTGATATTTTTCAAAATAAATTAAATAATTAATAAATTTCACGGTTCGCGTGAGACTCGGCTGGAAGCCGAGTTTTCCGCATCCGCCGTGGGAACGCCACCACCCTCTAGGATTAAATATTCCACAATGACCCGTACTTATAAGCTGAGGTTCTGCTAAGATTAATCATATTAGGGGGCATCCGGCATTATCGATATTTTTCACAGAACGAAAAGTTTAGTTATGACCAGTGAGTAGCAAAATACCAGGAGATGACACAAGCATACACAACCAATTCGACGATTGCCTCTGAACCGTTTTCACCCAGCGGGTGAGATTGGGGTAAGATGGTTACCAAAATACCATGCAGTTACGCATGCGGAGCAGGATCCTTTCGATCAATGAGCAGTAAAATATCCACCGCCAAAGAGACTCCTGCTACAACCCGTAGAAACTCAGGGCTGAGAAGTTCCAACAGCTGTCTGTCTTTGCAAAGTACCCGAGCCTTATAGTGAAATCAAGATTGGCTCTGAGGTGTACAAGAAAGACATGCATGCATGCACATGTGGACATGTGTGAATGTGAGGGTAGGTGCCCGCCTGACACCTGTAGACAGACGCGCCCCAGCATGCGCCATTATGCTATGGCTGTGTGTTCGGATCTGCTAGTTCTGAACATGATATATATTTACACTTTCCCAGTGAGTTTTCCCATAGTCCTACATGACATTACGCAGAACCACGAGCACGAAAAAATATTGTTTACCTTTGCATCAAGATGTGAAACCGGTCATCGTCAGGAACTTCAAGTAGTGTTCTGGGGATTGTTGTTGGAACAGGATAGCCCTCGATCGCCAAGTGTCTCACTCTCTGAGGTACTGCTCCAGGGAAGAACCTTGGTTGTGGCTTGCCCTTAATATATACTCGTTCTCTCGAATAGATCACTTTCTGCACAGGGTAAGGGAACATATGAATGACTGACAAATTGTATCTCATATGAGAGTTGCGCCAAGTTGTATAGCCATTGATAGTTTTAAACACGTGCGTTTGGGCTGCCATCGCAGTCACAAGGCGTCCACTGGACGCGACCAGTAAAGAACCACAATGATCCCAAAAACACTGATCTAATTTCGTTTAGAGAGAGATAAAAGAGATACTAGAAAATGTAGACAATTATTTTGGCTAGTGTGAAAAATGCATGATTGTGAAAGACTTGTTCGAAATGATCGACCGCTCACGTGATTTTCACCAGGATTTGCGTGACCATGGTGACGTTCCTTCGCATGTAGCTACTAGTACTATGAGTACTAAGACTAAGGCAGTAAGTAGCTAGCAGGCCTCGAGCCTCGTGATCGTGAGTACATCTACTAGTACTACTCATACAGCTGTACCGTGTACGACAGTATGTCAGTGCATCAGTGACCTGGTGACCTCCTCAGGCTCCTGACTCCTATGTCTATGATCCTGATCTCTGTTCTTATCAGTTATCTGTGTTGTGTGGGAAGTGTTTGAATCGAAGAAGAATAGAAATAAAGTAAGACATCCCAGAAGGACCCAGCAAATCTGTTTCGATAGAACGCGGCAATCTACCCTCAAAGGTAGGACTCGAAAATCTCCCCCTGTTCTTTTTGCCCTGGATCTAAACAGTCCTGAACTTAATTTTGACAATTAATATTTGAATTTTTTAAGAGATACCCTGCAGCTTGTTTCGGCCGTAGGTGATGTCGCCATGTCAATTTATTCGCATATTTTCCCCTTTCCTCTCCCGCATACAACAATTGGAAAATTTTACTTCAGTATAATGTTGCGCTTCCACTCTATTCATGCTTCTCTGTCCATCTGCTGAAACTAATGAATCTTATTAAATGATTATGACAGTAGAATGTGTACAATCACGAACATGTACTGTACTGTACTGTGTACTAGTACATCGTACTAGGATGGTAAGAGGGTTGGATAGTACATGGAGTACCGAATGCTATCATTGGGCCTCTTTGATCAGCCGACTACAGCCTCAACAAAAGTACCACAGAAATGTTAGTTGCACGGACACATACCTGTCGAGACGGCTCTACTGCAAGTATTTAGAATTTTAGACATCAGTTTGAGACCGGGCACGAAACCAGAAACTTCAAGCAAAACGTTCCATGTATACAGTAAACGCAAAGCAATCCCATAGTCGCGGGAAATAGGAACTCTAACCCACTTCACGAGGACACGGTACTGCAGGTCAATGTAAACACATGCTCAGTTCCAAGGATTTGATTATATCTACAGTGGAGGTTGGATATAACGACAAATCGAGTTTAGCGACGAAATTCTGTTGCCCAAGTCGTTTAGCAAGTCCTTTCTCTACATTATAGATCAGGTATAACGACCTCGAAAATAACGACAGATCGAATTTACTGACACTTTTTTGGTGCCCAAAGATCTGAAAATGCATCGAATATAACGACTTTCCTCTTGTATCAGGCGGAGTGGCATGCTTGGGACATGTCGGTGTCACATGCATGGACCTCTGGGTCACTCCGCGCGTGCTGGTCATTGCAGAGTGCAGCGGTGTAATTGCTATGCATGACTTTTGGACTTTTGGCTTGAACTATGCATACAAGACAAATGTACGTACATGACTGTACATTCACATCTGTAATCCATATTATGCATTATAGCATTATGCACGTGCATATCTGCAATACTTTTCTGTCATTTTGATGTACATACTGCATACTAAATGTGAAGATCGGGTTTAGCGACAGATCGAATATAGCGACATTTTGTTTTCTCCTGAAGGAGTGTCGTTATGTCCAATCTCCACTGTAGCACCTATCTAGCACCACTGTATAGTCTGCGTACACTACACCATCACCACCATTTGGTCGACCACATATACTTCCCACAACAGCTTCTTGTTGAAGGAACCTCTTGTTGTGGGAAGTATCATGTGGTCGGCCACAGAGCACAACGGTGGTGATGGTACAGTAGTAGTAGATTATTTTCTTTTCAACCAGACGAGATCACACGATGCTTGTGAACACCAGCACGAACAGGTCACCACGACTACTATGAATCGACGGACCAAATGAAGATGGCATCATTGAATTATGGTGGTGATGGTGTTGTGTAGTGAACGGCCGAATGGTGCTGCTTACCTTCTACCACTGTGTATTGCTGTGCAAAGGCTGTTTATATTGTTTAAGATGGCGGCTTTAACTTATCCTGCATTGTTGACTTTGTTTGGTGTTCAGGTTGCAGTGAGATAGTGCCCGGCTGGATGCGCTGCCTTCATTTGCACACCATTGCGTAATGTAACAAACCGTTCTGCCACCATCGTCGGGTTGGCGGCTATCGTGAATGGCCATTCCGGATTGGTATAGGTTATCCTCGCCGTGTCCGTCCAATGCAAGTATGTGTTTTATGTATCACTGTTTGATGTTCATGCTTAGTTCTTGTCTTCTTCTTGAGGTACATGTCATCAGTGCATATTATGCTCTACAGTTAAAAAAAAAACACCCTGACCACAGGTTGATGCATTTACCTGCTTGTCAGCACTTGCAAAGCACAGCACAGCTTTCCCTCATTGCAGTCACCTGATGATTGCATTGTTCCATGAAGCTTTAGAGCATGTGCACTGTTGCATTTCATTGCCACGGCACACATTCCATAGTAGTACACTGTAGACATGTACATATTGTATTCCCCACACGTGGCCGTAGTAGTACATTTGCAGACATGTACATGTACATGTATTGTGTTGTCCACCTAGCACAGGGCCACTTCCCGCGCCAAGTTGGCTCTTTCAGGTTTTTGTTGCTGTAGCTGGGTAGATGTGGACACTACAGAACTGCACTTTATCTACCTTCTGTATGTGTACACAACCGTTAGACTTCTCCATGCAACCTATCACACTGTCCACACTGGTTAGCAATGTTAATATAGGTAGGTCAGCTCTTAGTTCAAGTATGGAAATATGTTGTTGTATGTTAGATTTTTTGCCTGGCAATCACATAGCATGAAACTCGAGTAGCAAGCAAAACCTTGTTCTGCCGTCGTTGTAAGGAAACTCTGCGCATTGTACTGAAAACTATGTGAACAGAGAACGAATTCTACTGTGCATGTAGGATATTTCTCTACCGTCTCTTTGATCAGTGTTGCACCCTTCGATTTGTTCTTGTTGTCCATGTGCATATCAGCACTGGGTGCAGATGGATGGCTACACTCTCCTACCACCAGTATCTGCCACTTTGTACTGGCTGTGGTAACGTTCGTGTGCACCATAGTTGTGCTGGTGTCATGTAGCAGGTAAGTAGTAGTAGTAGCCGTTTGCATGATTGGTAGTAGTAGTCGCTCATGGTCATAACAACAAGCCCGGATTACATTTGAGTCCGTTGAGTTCTTTGTCCATTGTTGTTTTCACATTTTGCTGATTGTATTAAAGGGGCAAAAATCAAAATTTCACCAGTTGTAGTCTTCAGGGTGCTGAGTCGAATGGTCTTGGTCCGAGAAAGCTGAGACGCTCCTTTCCTACTTGAATCCCAATCGAACTCGCGCACTTCCACCGAAACTGGGTGACTGCGCCCTACTAGATGGGGATTTGTATGCAAAATGTCACTAAAAGCGCCATTTCGTTCTTATAAAAGCACGGATGACCGCGATTGGCCCATATGTTGTAGTCTTTTGGACGCTGAGTCGACTGGTTTTGGTCCGAAAAGGCTGCGATGCAGCGTTCGGCCCTTATTCCCAATCGAACGTGGTTGAACAAGCGATCACGTGCTCCTGGGTGCCCAAATCACCTGGTCACCACGCCAGCAGACGACAACTTTCACACCAAGGTTCAACTCGAGTTCAACTCGAGTGACAGGACTGCACCCAAAAAAGGTCAAACAGGCTAGTAAGTTGTACCCTGCAGGCACGGTGACCAGGTGACTGGTGTACGCAGGAGCACGTGACCGCTTGTTCAACCATGTTCGATTGGGAATAAAGGAGGAACGCTGCATCGCAGCCTTTTCGGACCAAAACCAGTCGACTCAGCGTCCAAAAGACTACAACATATGGGCCAATCGCGGTCATCCATGCTTTTATAAGAACGAAATGGCGCTTTTAGTGACATTTTGCATACAAATCCCCATCTATATACAGACGCCTTGCTTGGTAGTTTAACATGTTTTTCGATTTTGACAGCATGTTACAAGGCGAGGACGCGTAGTGCTCCTGAGGTTCAAATGGTCGCAAGACCGGGACTCTGCCAACCGGGTTATGGTTGTAGTCAGGAGCACTACGCGTCCTCGCCTTGTAACATGCTGTCAAAATCGAAAAACATGTTAAATCCCCATCTAGTAGGGCGCAGTCACCCAGTTTCGGTGGAAGTGCGCGAGTTCGATTGGGATTCAAGTAGGAAGGGAGCGTCTCACCTTTCTCGGACCAAGACCATTCGACTCAGCACCCCGAAGACTACAACTGGTGAAATTTTGATTTTTGCGCCGTCTTGGTGGATATTTGACTCCGCTGCTTTGCAGTAATACCGTATTTGGCGGTGTACTGTACACTCCAAAATGTTCAAATACATGTGTTTAGTCTCTAAATTCCTTTGCACCCCACTACGAGAATTCATATTAAGGTTTTGTAGTAGACAAGAAGACAAACAGTGAGTGTCAGAAAAACGGTTGTTTTCCACTGAACCCCCAAAGTACAGGGCAGGCATTGTGTCTGAATGCCAAAATACACAATTCCATACTGATATAGGGCCGTCCTGAAATGCACTTTGAATAAAGCGATTATGCTAATTGACTGGACTTCATTGTATTATTGTTGTTTATGTTGTATTATGTTATTCACATAGCATCTCCGCATTATGGAAGCGCTCGTATCCGCTAGCCATCACGAATTTGCATTGGATCCTCTTCTTCTTACTCTCCGCTATCCAGTAAGACAGTTACTAGTACTGAGCGTTGTTTAGTTTGTGGGTGTTGCATTCGGATTGAGCTACTGTTGCGGACATTGAAATCCGTTGGGAAGTCAAGTGGCCATGGGGCGCTGGCCTTGCAGCCGTGAGCACTGCTGCATGCATGCTGGTCCATTGTTACGGTGGTACAGTGTGTGTACACGCTAAGCAAGTAAGGACGTCGGCCCCGGTCATTCCACCGGATTTCTATGTACACAACAGTAGAATGATATCGTGAGATTAATGTATATGGGAGATTGTTCTGCACACAGCGGAGTAACTCCACTGTTCACGGAGTGCTCAATATCGTGTACCTGGGGGCATCCTGCACATTCAGCACTTCATAGTATGTATACCACTCTGCAGGCTGGTTCATTCAGCACTCTATTCGAGCTGTCCTGACTGGCTCTTGTTCCTGCTTGAAACTCTTGAGTTACAAGTGAGTCTTGTCCCGCCGTCTGTGTTGAGGGTGTTCTCTCTGCTGTACGTGTGGTGTGTGCTCCTTCCTGTCATATACTTTGGTATGTGTCTGGTGTTGTGCTCCTGTCTTACACGTTGGTATGTGTTTGGTGTTGTGTTCCTAGGTCTGCTCTACACTGTGCTGTTTATATTCAAGACCCATCCTCTGACCATATTCTGCACATCAACTTCATCGCTGGTAAATACCTCGTCTTTTCCGTTTTAAGTTTTAACCACACATCTTCTATTTCAAGTTTATTTTCAACCCTCCAACCTATGCCTTTACTGGGAGGTGTCTTTTTTGGAGAATGTTCTTTTTTTTGTCAAACCTGGTTTGTCTCATCACTAGGCCCCTTCTTGAGTGGTGTTTCACATGTCTAATGCAAAGTCCTTGAGGCAAGATATTTTCTTTTAGGGAAAGGGACGGGAAGAGAAATTAGCGACAAACTCGGCTGGTGCTTTCAAACCAGTTACACAATATGCAAGTGAACCGGCCGGCCAAGAGCGCATTGTGGAGTGGTGACGTGACTGGTTTTAAACGGGAAGGGTGTGCTTTTATTGGAGACAGTCACCCTTTTTCTTTTTCTCCTTTACATTTACTTCAAAGGATACTGAGACTGAGTAGCATGCATGCAGTGTACCTTTTTGGAGACATACTCCTATTGGAGGCCATGCTTATTATAGAGGGAATACAGTTAGTGTGCCGCTGCTACTACTGTGGTATTTATATGTATAAATACTGCAGTAGTAGCAGCGGTGTAGTGCCGGCTTTAGCCTTCTGAGCCCTGTCAGTTTTGTGCATGGCACCGGGCACTGCTGAAGTCATTGTCACAGGGGTACTTATTTATGTGTTTGGATGATTGGAATGCATTAATGATGCTGTTGGAAAAGTACTATGTTATGTACTTGTGCAGAGTGTCTTGAATACCATATATTCCAATGGCATTTTGTGTGCTTGTGTGCTTTGTCAGGTACTATTCTTCGCTCTAGCCAGGTGAGAAATCTGCTACAGTCAACTTCGCTTATAACGACTGCGGATATAACGACAATTCGCGAATAACGACAGAATTTCCATGCCCAGAGCAAAGTCCCATCCCACTGTAATACACATATAATGAGACATCGGGTATAACGACACTTCGCGAATAAGGACACCTTTTTGATGCCCGGCCGAGTGTCGTTATAAGCGAAGTTGACTGTATTCTTCTTTCACTATGTCTGTCCCAGCTCTTCGATTTATTCTATTCGGGAGATATCCCCAACTGAGCCTTGTTCTATTTACTTCAGCACAATATACACTTATGGTTGATAAATATGGTGGTAAAGACACACCTGGCAATATGGCGGTAAACACACGCCTGCCCACACACGCTCTCTAGGCTGCAAAGTTCTGGCACAGAGCTCTCCTTCTCACCACCACCACCATCAGTTCGCGCCTGGCGCCTGGCCGATGCGTGGCTGGCGGTATCCGGCATAACAGGCTGGTACATCAAGTAGCGCATGGCACATAGATGATGACACAGCAACGGCATAGCTCGATTGCGACGTACGTTTCGTCCCCGCTGGACTCATCAGGCAATCTTCTTCTTGGATGTCTTCATACGGAGCTTGACTCGAGAGAATGAAATTGAAGACATCACTGCAGCTGTACTTATGGTTTATAAATATGGTGGTAAAGACACACCTGGCAATATGGCGGTAAACACACGCCTGCCCACCTGTGGGCAGGCGTGTGTTTACCGCCATATTGCCAGGTGTGTCTTTACCACCATATTTATCAACCGTAAGTACAGCTGCAGTGATGTCTTCAATTTCATTCAATATACACTTAGCTCATTGTATGAGTGTATTCACAGTAGTGTCAAAGCTGAATGATATACATATCCATGGCTATGTCTCTTGTCTCTTGTTTCTTGTTTCTTAGATATTTCTTGTGGCACTGGCCTTCCAGCATGAGCGTATCTACCGCAGAATTGGTCAGTTGCACGTGTTGTTGTGGTGTCATTTGTGTGCGTGTGTGTGTGTGTGTGTGTTTCTCTCTCTTCTACTCTCCCCTGTCTCGGGGGCGGTGTGGCCAAGCATTTGGCAGCTGTACACCAGGCCAGGTGCGTGTGTGTGTGTGTGTGTGCGTGTGTGTGTGGGGGGGGGGGGGGGGGCAGTGTCTTTTCTGTCACGACCGTTGTCGTCCTCGTCTCTCCATTCGCGGTGGTGTAGCTGACCCCCGAAATGGTTTCAAACTGCGAAGCTCGGAGTACAGTGGTGGCAGAGGCATGAGCTGTGAGTGGAGACGGTTGCTGGAGATGGATGGTGATGAAGGGAGAAGAGTTACGCTGCCTGACGACGCGTGGGAAATTGTTTGATCCTGCAATTTCAGTTCGAGCGCGGTGGACTTCTAGACGATGTGTCCTCATGGCTGTTTTTCAACGCTTGGCCTATCGCTGATATCCCTGCATGGAATGTTCTTCCAGTGGAGTCCAGGTGGGACTTCGGGTGCCCACACTCCATCACCTGGTTGATTGTTTCGGAACTGCAATAATACAGGTTCAAATAATTATTGTTTCCTTTTTGTGCGTATCTCTTGTCATCTCTCTTTTCTATACGTCGCACACCAGATGTACTACTATCGCTGTCTTTCTCCTGCTATCTCTCTCTGCTTGCTGTTTTTGTTTTTGTTGCCACTGCCCCTCATCATACCCATGCTTGGGTGGAGGGCGGCATGACCCGTTAGGGTAGCTGTCAATACAGTACAGTGTGTGTGTGTGTGTGTGTGTGTGTGTGTGTGTGTGTGTGTGTGTGTGTGTGTGTGTGTGTGTGTGTGTGTGTGTGTGTGTGTGTGTGTGTGTGTGTACTTCTGTCACTGCTCTGACCGCCTAGAAAGCTAGATGATAAGTTCTTATTTGCTCGCTTCTGCTCATATCACCAATGTACCGTATATAAAGAGTAATGGTGCGAATGCCTCATCTGATTTGCCGGTGACTGCTGTGCTACTTGTGTTAGTATGTTTTGCACTACATATTATAGCATACTGCCCTTGTTCCAGCCATCCCTGTCTTGGAAGGATTATTTTAATTTATTAGTGTCCATTCTGTCAGCAGAACACCTGCGGGCCATCGCCGCTGACAGGCCTGCGTGGCGCGAGCTGTGCCAGGATGTACTCAGTAACTAACGGATGGGACAGAGGCATTGTACAGATCCCGTGCATTTAGCACTTACCATCGACACAAACCTATCGTCGTTGTCTGTTATTCTTGTTTTATTTTTTGATCTTTCGAATAGATCCCGTGCATTGAGCACCTATCATCGAACATGAGTTATGTGCCTATCGCCTGCTGTCTTACATTTATTTTTTACTTTTATTTATTTTTGTTTTCCTCCCTGCCCACTCTGCCTGTCTTCTGGCACATGCGAATACGTGGACTTACTGTTGACGTAAACGCGGACGTGCGTATAATAATAATAGTGTCCATTCTGCAGTCAAGTACCGTACTGGCAATATATGTTGCCGCAGTGAGGCCATGAAGCGTTACATTGGCACATGTTTGCCGCACGCAGGGCGTTACATGCAAAGTCGCACAGGAGCCGTTACACAGGTTTCTATATTGCCGCAGTCCTTTTTTTGCTATTGCCGCATCACTTTTTTGCTTTTGCCGCATCATTTTTTTGCTTTTGCCGCATCATTTTTTCTTTTCAAAAAAAAAAGATCGCCGCACCCCGCCGGACGCGCGTTACGAACTCAACAAAAATTTGTCGCACTAGCCTGGTCGCGCGTAACGCCGCACCCCCCTGCGTTACGCGTTACGCGGCAACATATATTGCCAGTACGGTATAACGTATACCATGTACCAGCACATTGTTAGTGTTGTGATATGACACTGTGCTGTGTTGGTGAACTCTATGTACTTCTCCTTGTTTTGTAACCTGTATTCGTACCCTTGTCTTTTGTGTTTGTCCATCTTAGCCATTGCTCGGATCAACAAGAGTTTCCAGCAATCTGGCTGCTTTGAGGTAGGCTGCATGGCCCCATCTTCTCTCTCCCTCCCTTTTGTCTGCTTGAGGACGAGATGAGTGAAGTGTTTCAAATGTATCGCACCCTGTGCTGTAGTTGTGTGTGATGGATAGGCTTGGTCTTGTGGATGATATTCTATATCCTTATCCTTTCTTTTGCTTACTGTTGTTGTTGTTGTTCTATTGTTCTATTGTTCTATTGTTCTGTTGTTGTCTATAGCGGTGCCATACAGTCAACTTTATTTCGGCATTCCTGCTGCTTGCACAAATAGTCCTGGTGGTGCTGATTGAAGTGAAGTAAGTAACTTTCTTCTCTCTTCAGTTTTAAAGTTATTCTAAAGTAGAGCCACAGTAAGTAAATTCATTGTTTAGTTTAAACATTGCCAAGAGTATGGAACAGAGGCACTATAAAATTTACTAACCTTGGTCCTACAGTGGTAGCAGCATGTGATTCCAACCACAGCATGGATGAAACAGCTCCTGGCTGGGACTGTGTAGACCCTAGCACTACTAGTACCAACACTGGCCTGTGTACATGTAGTGAAAGCAACTCTGCTTTTTTTGTGAGCCATGAGATTGACCGTCACTTGACATCCATGTGCAGTTGTACAAAGGATGTATGATCACAATCAGGGGCAATGGAAATCTGCATCGCTAGAAATTGAAAGATTCTCGTGTGCGGGAAGGCTGGGATTGGATTTTCACTTGCTGCTTCAATAACCTGTACACATCCATCTATCTCAGGGGCGTCACCCATGGTACGGCCAGTACGACCATGGTTGTACCATTTTTCGTCCAGGATGGTCCGCCCAGAGCGCCTGTAGAGTGCTAAAATGTGCCTTTTTGGGCGAAAAGTCCGATTCCCCCCTCGTATCCCGATCGTACCACTCCCCACTGCCCTGTGACGCCCCTGTATCTGTTGGATGTGTACAAGCCATGAAGTAACATTTGTGAATTACTGGAATGAACTAGAAGTAATTGTGCTGGATTGTATCCTGCCTGGCACACACCATTATAGCCCATGACATTGTACATTGTACTTACTGTTCATCGCATGTCCTACTGTACTATGCTATGCTGAATGGTATCATCATTACTGTCCACTGTCGCTCCTGCTGCTCTATTTTGTTGCTTGTTAGGTTTCCGAAAGTACCTCTGGTCTGGGCCAGTCAAGGTGTTCTGGTGGCGCAACGCCTGGTCGTGCTTTGTCTTGTGTTCCTGATCCTGCGACGACATGGAGATGAAGACTCACCCACTATCTGCGCTCAGGTTAGAGTAGATGCTATCATTGCAGTACATGTATGTTGCTGCATGGCGGCTTACTCTTGCCTGCATGGCTGTTTACTTAGCGTGGATTGCTACTGGTCGTCGAGCCGCTTTTGCAGCAAGCTCTAATTTAGCATGACACTCAGTTTGTTTTGCTCTTGTATCTTGGACTGCATGCAATAGCATATGTGTTCCCTGCTTTGTTTGCATGTGTTTGTTGCTGTCATGTGTTTCCATATGGAGAAGTATGTTGATATAACAGGGGTCTCCAGTCTCTCTGCACATGCACAAACATACACCTATTTCTGTGAGCAATAGCTATGGTCCTAGTGTCCGCCCTGCTGTAGACTGTACGTCGCTTATCGTAAAATACCCCATGGCTACATCGTTGATCACTGTCGCTATCATCTTTTCTGTGCGGCCTTTTGTGCTGATGGGCTTGATGGTTTCTTGGCTGTGTGCAGATCACGGCGGTGTCCGCAATGGTCCTGTCATCGCCGGCTGATGTCACTGTACATACACTCAACTCATATGGAGGTATGTGTAGTGTGTGCGCGCGCGCGTGTGTGTGTGTGTGTGTGTGTGGTGTGTGTGTGTGCATGCGTACGTGCGTACGTGCGTGTGCATGCGTACGTGCGTGTGTGTGTGGTGTCTGTGGGTGTGCATGTGGGTGGGTGTGGGTGTGCATGTGGGTGGGTGTGGGTGTGCAGTACACACGGTATACTCTTCTTCCTCTGTGTATATATACTTCGGAGTATAACTAAAACTAGAGCAGTAATTCCCACTTTATAGTACTATGTGAAAGTCTCCCCTGTGGGCCAACTAGCCATTGGCACACCGTCAATTGAATATTCAGACGGTAGGGGCCGGTGGTACAGACTTCTTGTTCATCAAATGTCACATAGTCAGCCAGTGCTCAATCTGCTCATCTCATGTCACTCATCACTCCATCGTCATACCTATACGAAGATTGTAAAACGAAAGGGTTTTTACGAGTGATTGCATGTGTTCACGTGCATATGCATATCTGTGCGCATGTGTGTGGGATGGGGGAGGGGGGGGGGGGTGGGGGGGGGGGGTACGTACATATTTGTGCGCGTGTGTTCTGGCGGTAGTGGTGATGATGGCAGTAGTGCTGCTGCTACCAGTACGATTGTGCTGAGTGTGTTCCTTACTGCTTATGTTCATCTGCAGTCGATCAATGTTTGATTTATTTCGGAACGCTTTACGATCTCTTCGTAATCCTACACGTCTGCGGACTCGTTTTGCTACTGGTGTATATTCGCAAGGAATACGTTCGTCTACTTCCGGTGAGTTTATTATTATTATTAAACTCAATCTCGTAGCATGTGCACGCATTGCTAATGTGGGGAGCAACCCCAGAGATGAGGGCGATAACCAGCCATGGTGAAAGTACAAAAGAAAACAAGAAAACAGTGGAAAGAAAGGAACAGGGAGGAAAACAAAGCTCAGCCAAGAAAGGAACAGGGAGGAAAACAAAGCAAGTACCGCTACCAGGCAGGTCAGGTTATAGTACTTCAGTGACAGTCTGCACTTGAGGCATAGTATTGATAGATACATGACATTGTGGTGCATTGCATGTGTGGAGGGTGGCATAGCCATGCGTCACTCTTGTATCATAGTACTAGTACACTCGGACGTCTCTTATCCGGGCACCTTGGGACCGGGCACTGCCCGTATCTCAGATTTGCCCGTATCTCAGGATAACTCATCTACCATGTATCATATCATTTTTTGAAGAAGTTTATTTGGCACGTATTGCACATGTTGAGGATACAAAGGGAACCCATTGATAAAAATGTGTGCATTACATAGGTTGGCAGTGAAACATAAGCACTTCCACACACGGAAAAAAGTTCAAAAACCCCAAATTCGAAGCATTTGTGCTATAGGCCCTCAAGCTGAAGGTGCCCGGTAGAGAGACGTGCCCGTATCTGAGGCGTCCGGATATGAGGCGTTTGAGTGTAGTGGCAAGAGTCCATGACCAAGGGCAAGCAGCTGCTATTTTTTTCTATGGGCGAGCTGTGCGACACACTGCCTTCATTTTATCATGCAGCGTCATTGTATTCCTCAACGCGGAGAGTGTGGACGTATACATTGCTGCTGTATTCCAGGGTGGATTGAATGAGGGATAGATAAAAAAAATTCCTGTTGTGCTTGTTGTCTTTGCACATATAGGTGTGTCGCTATTCATTGATCAGCAGCATACAGGGACAGTTTGATTTCCATGCTCACTGACCAAGATGTCGAACTGTGTTACCAGGAACTCCAGTCACTGCCCCGTACATGTGTTTGTGCGTCTGAAGTAGTTGTTGTCTTGTTCGTACTGTCCACGTTAGATGATTATGATACTCATGTTGAATTACAAGATACTCTCTTGCATGGTCTTTACATAATATAATTTTATTGGAGTTTATTGAAGTTAAAAAGTGTTTGAAAAGTTCCTTGTATTACTTTGAGCTTTTTTTAAGCTATCATGTTGAGAAGCCCTTTTTATACGTAGTTATTTTTATTATCCCATTGGTTTTGTCTCAGACAACCTTTGTTTGGGGAAGAGTTTCTTGTCCACATCCAGGTTTTTTTACTGTCTTCAAATTTATTTGCCCGTACCCACTCTTATTTTTCTTATCCGGGCGGTCCGGGACCAGACACTGCCCACAACTTGGAAATATCCGTAACTCAGAATCATGCACTTACAAGTATGGTTTGATGGGGAGATCTGGCATAGGATGTCACAATTTCCACACAAGTGGCAAAGGAGTCGTAATATTTCCACTAAAACTCGCCCACTGGGTGCCCATAACTTCGAGATTCAGATCCAGAGAGATATGAGTGTTCAGATGGCAATAAACAGAATCAGCTGAAGCGTCATGTTACGAAGGTTTCATTGAGATGTCACGAACAAGTTCTACAGAGAGATGCCATCCTAAAACTTCTGTCACCTCACCGCCTGTTCAGATATGAGTGTATTTGCAATTTTGGAGCGCTCAATTTTCTTGAAGTACACTTTTGCATGTCAACTGTGAATGGTTTAAGGTTTAAGTTTGTTGACAACGGCATTCATTGATATCACAAAAGGATGGTTGTACATGTATAATTATGTGCATTTATGGCTGCAGGTGAGAGACACGGAGGGAGAGAGAGAAATGGGGGGGGGGGGGCGGGGGAGACAGACAAACAGTCAGAGATACTCACAGAGAAACGAAAGCACTGCCAATATCATGAATATAATATTTTCTTGCACGTGGAGCCAACTAGTGACCTCTGAATGTGGATAAGGCTCTGCACCCACATGTATCAAGCAGGAAGCACTAAAAAGCACAGTAGTACTCCCAGGTACCAAGCACTCTCCTGTGCTGCCACAACTCAATCGAAGTGTGTATTGTAACGATGTGTCCATTCTTTAGAAATGATAATTATGCAGTCTCGCCATGCTACCAACCCCAGAGACCCACACACACCAGATCCCACCATGTTATCAAGAGTACATAACCCTTATATACTCTTGATGTTATGTTGTTCTTACTCTTGTGTGGACAAAGACAACAGATTACTCTAGTATACGGAACTGCAAGGACAATATGGTGTTGGTACAGAATGTAGCAAGTAGAACGGTGGGATCGTTCTCGTGCTGTTGTGTTCACACGCAGTGAGTCTGAGCTGGGCGTGGGTGATAAGACACGTGCTTGCAGGGTGAAAAGGAAACACACGACTGTATGCAGTGGACTATGCGGGACAAGTGGGGCACAGAAACGGAACATAATACTCGTACATGCAGCGCAGTACATGTACATTGAAAGCACAGTGCATCATGTAGTCATAATGTTAGTTCATAGCAGTAGAGTACTCAGTAGTCGTCCAGAAAGAAGATAAAACCCATCACAGACGAACACCTATGTCTAAAAGTATAGAGAAATCCTACTTCAAAGTAGACGAGAGACAAAGACAATCAACTTGGGGTGAAGTAGATCTGTACTAGGCTTCCAACTCGCTTCTGGATTACAGGAGCAGTCGAAACTATACAGTCATACAAATACATCAAGGCCTAGCCGCTCACAGGAATGATAAAACTTTTGTTTTTAAATAATTGAAATTACAGAACAAAAAAAGAAGTTATAATTTATGATGCAGTCCTAAAAAGGGTTGTGGAAGGGTCCATCAAAAATCAGCAAAAGTAATTGAGAAGACAAATGTTGGGATCATTCTTCGCAAGTGCATGAAGCGCACTATGCATGAAGGAAGGAGTCTGCCAGATCATACGCATTAGAAAGTGCTTCGTATGATGCATACTGCACGACCAATACTTTGATATGCAAACCCCTGCTTTTTCTGTGACAGTCTCGGCCAGCCCCCACACACCCAGGAAGGGAAATATAAATTGACAGCACTAAGCGCTAGAGCCAGTAGAGGCTATCGCTCGCACGATGCTACTAGCAAGAACCCCAACTGTAACTTAGACGAAAGTTTGAAAAGAAAGGATACCAGGGAAAGAGACTATGACCTGGCCTGCATGGTGTTGAGCTAAATCAAATGAAAAGCCAGTGCTACTGACAACTACAGTCCTAAGTAAAAGTTTTTTTTTAAAATGGAGAGCTGTTTGCCTAGACCTCAAGGTACATTGCCCACAAATGAGGCACCACCCTTGCGCACAACATCTGCCTGCGCTCTAAGGGTGCCGTTGCTTGTCCGTTCAACAGCCTGCACCACGGCCAAGGCACGGTAAGTAGCATTGACAACATGCTTGCGTGCTTGCAGCCCAGCTATAATAGCCGGGTCCATGGCTGTTTCAGCCATGACATACGGCGGAATGAGCTGATCATGCAGTCTGGGCTGCAACACAGTGTCGTACACACTCTTGCCCTGCCAGTGCACCTTGGCAAAGACTTGAAACACAGATGTTGTGATGTGGGTACCACCGGATGCACCCAGCACCAGGCGTACATCTCCCTTCTCATCACACACAATAGTAGGTGTCTGGGAGGAGAGTGGGCGCTTGTACGGCTCAACAAAATTGGGCTCTGCTGGCGGCAAGCCGTAGAAGCTTGTGACGTTGGGAGCGGCGAAATCGTCCATTTCATTGTTCAACACGATTCCAGAATCAGTCATGATAAGCGCACCAAAGTAGGTGTTGATGGTACTGGTGACAGAGACGGCACTGTCAGCGCGTACAACAGAGACGTGCGTTGTCCCCGACGATGCCCGCACATCATACTCTCCCCCGTAGTAGGATACATTGTGTGTGTGCGAATCGGTGATCATCCTACGCACCTCATCAGCAAAGGTGCGATTGGCCAGTTTCCTTTCAATCAGATCTTTCACACCCGAGCTGTAGTTGAAATGCGGGTCAGCCAGGTATGAGCGCTGCGCATAGGCAAACTTGAAAGCCTCGACCATGCGGTGGTAGGACAGGGCATCATCAGACAAACCGCCATAGCCTGTGAGTATGCTAGCGATGAATGAGGCAATGATACCGCTGGCAGGTGGTGGGGCACTATACATAGTCCAGCCCTTAGTCAAGTTGGTCACCGTGGGCGAATCCACGCTCACGTTATACTGCTTCAAATCATCCAGTACCATAATGCCTCTAGCTTTTTTCACCGCGTCCACAATAGTCTCTGCAATATGGCCAGTGTACAGAGCAGCACTTCCATGCAGTGCAATTTCCTCCAAAGTATCAGCTAGAGAATGCCTTGTCAAGTTGGTTCCCACAGCTGGCACCACGCCATCAGGCATCAACATATCACGGAATGGCTTGAACATGGCCCGGCCTTCGGCAGAGCCATTCGTGACCTGCAACATCGACTCCAGCGCACGTTTTACGCTGCTTTCAAACGGAAACCCATGCCTGGCAAGATTAATAGCTGGCTGAACCACATCTGGCCACTTAAGCGTACCATACAGCCTGTGAGCATGCTCCATTCCTTTGACCTCACCCGGTACTGCAACAGCCAAACCACCCAATTCCATCAGTATCTCATTTCCATCATACATGTCGAAGCGTGCCTGAGAGGGAGCGGTCTCTCTGAAGTTGAACACTGTTGTGTTGGAGCCATTGCGCACTAACATGAATCCACCACCACCGATACCACTGGAGTGTGGATGAACAACACCCAAGCAGAACAAGATTGCAACGGCTGAGTCCACTGCGCTGCCACCCTTCTTCATGATATCATTGCCAACTCTAGCACATGTTGCAGAGTCTGAAGACACAGCATATTGGTCCTTCTTCGGCGATTTGCCAACCAAAATAGTGATGACCAACGACACGAGAATGGCTATTGAAAACACGGTCATTGCCAAAACGATCATCCGAAAGCCCTTGATGTTAGAAAAACGACCTTTGGTTGCCAACCTAGTACGTAGAGAATCGTCGTCATCATCGCTTTCCACTAGCGGATCTTCTTGGTGATCGTTGACACCCGGCATGGTGAATGGACTGACTTTCGTCCGGACTTCTCCTGGCTATGGTTATTGGTAACGTCCGGAGAAAGAAAGTGTTTTCTGCAACTACATGAGATGATGAGGGACTTTGCCTTCCACAACTACATGAAGGACGGCCAGTCTTTCATTCCACTCACTTGAACCAGGTCCAGGACATTGTTCTCATGCTCAACACAGTTTGAAAATAATTAATTTTTCATCAAAGCTTTCTCTGTTTCTACCATGTACCATTGTACCATGATTACATCATGACGTCGACGTAGATCTACGTGATTTGTAACAAAGCATGCACTCTTGGCGTGGCCGTGGATGACGCATTTCTACTATACCATTGTACCATGATTACATCATGACGTCGACGTAGATCTACGTGATTTGTAACAAAGCATGCACTCTTGGCGTGGCCGTGGATGACGCATAATGATATGTGACGTCGACGGTAGAAAAGCTGCATGCATGATCTTGTCTTTTGAAGTTTTGCCAACAAGTCTCGAAATGTGCAAAACCATGAAGACGGCGATTGTCCTGGCAACGCCTTTTGTTGTCTTCACACTCGACTCTCGATCTCGAGTACTCGACTCGATCGTATTCATGCTCATGATGTACCATGTGTACGTGATGTAGTCAATACGGCAATAGTCACAGAGCTACGCAAATAATACACAGGCACAGTGCATTAGTGTGTCCCACAAGCCGCGCGCAGAGCTTGTGTTGATGGTACGACCATACCAGTTTGTAGTCGTCGGTGTCCTCGACTCGACATTCACCCAGACATTGCCAGTGTCACTCACTGAGTCAGCCAAGGCAGCCCATCACCGTGCCTTTTTCTTTCGGATTGTCGACTGTAGTGTTGAAAAAGGACACTAGCAGCCAGCTGCTGCTACTCTAGCGACTCTGCACTTTGTAGTGCATTTTGTTACGGCCAGCTGTCAGTGTTACCTTTAGTATACATCAAGTACACGAGTGAAATACTAGTGCACATGCTTTAATGCTGCCTGATCAGCGAGACGACGGGGACTGATGCTGCCACGACATGTACCGTTCAGTTGGTGCGTCGCCTACGTGTAGGGAGTAAGGGCATGCTATGATCCTGTACATCGCACTGAGTGGATAACAAGACTTCCACTTCCAGGTACCCCAGTAGCAATACTGTTGACTGTTGCTGATCAGCCGCAACAGTTATAGTTATACAGTCTTGACCTGCTTGCTCGACATCAGTCCGCTGTACCATTACCGGCATTGGCGGTACAACGGCCGGATACTATAGTGATCGGGGTACATAGTCATACCAGCAGAGGTAGCTGATGTACAGTCTGGCCTTCTCCCCCATTCTCCCGCAGGTTGGCCATTCCAATATTAATACCTCTCCGTTGACCTGATCAGGCTATTCGAGTTGCCGCCGGCGGAGGTGGCTGTTCCGCAGAGCCAGTTCATTATTCACGCTCATATCTGAGGCGGCTCTCAGTAAGCGAATCAGCTCTGCCCGGCTGTGACCATAGTAGCAAGTATGGATTCCACAGCACAAGTGAAGCTGCCCAAGGTCGCCAATGGCCGATCAAGGTATGAGCAAGTCGCTCTGTGCGGCAATGAATAAAATCGGCTAAATATGTTTGGCTGCTGGTGCATGTGTTTTTCGCACCTTAATGTAGTACATGCAGGCAGGTAATGACGTTGGCCAGACTGTGCAATGTGCGTGAGAACAATATACGCCATTGTACAATGTCAATGTCATGTGTTCAAACTATATATAACCACATACATGGTAATGTTTTCAGACTGTCCATAACCGCGCATACATGCGTGTTGTGACTGTTCAATGATGCAGGGGTAGCTCCTCGCCAGCTACCATGACACTGCATTCCGGATTGCCCCATGATGCCAGCAATCATGGCATCGGTGAGGAAGGAGATCGTGATTGCACCGCGCCAGGCTCAGTACTCGCCACAACAAATGTCGGCGGACATTCTACTGCTTACGCGGCAGCATTGCTCCTGCAGCCGTTGCCCCGCGATGCGCCGCCTATTGACTTGTGGCCGAGTGTGACACGGCAGAATATTTCAGCCACCGTGATAAAGAGTGATAAGCACAATCCGCTGACGGGCAGAGTGCAACCCAAAGCCAAACTGCACATGGATGTCCTGGACCTGACAACACCAGAACCACACCTCTTGTCCCTGCTGAACCGGAGAATTGCACATGGAATGCAAGAATTGGAGCAGGCCAGGATATTCAGCACCGCAGAGGAAGCAGTTCTCAAGGCTAAGGTACAAAAGTGAGACTGACGCATGCATTACCGAGCAATGAAAAAAAGTATTTAAGCGGTTACCGGTATGGTACAAACTTGCAGCTGGGGTTTGTGCAGCCGCAGTACCGGGATACATCAGCTATAGGCAAAGGTGGTGTTTGTGCAGATACTGGGATACATACGGGCAGGTCTGTATGGCCATGGCCTGTGGGGATTATGTACGTGCCACAATCTGTCCCTACCGTGGAAATCTGCTCTACCTGTACCAGTACAGTAAGCCTGTAATGGCGACCACTCGGATATGGCAACCACTCGACCATGGCGACCACTTGTCCTTGTCACGGACACATTCACATTCAAAACACCTCGGATAAGGCGACCACTCGCTCAACGCGACCGACGACCACCCATCCGCGACCGCGTTGCACAGTGCTAGTCATGTAAATGTACGCATCGCATGGTGCACCATGCATGGTAGATCTACACATGAGTCATCAGTGCAGGACGTGTCGATGTACATGTACCTGGTGCATGCACAACATTTGACAGGTCTGAGGACCCCAGGCACATGAGCCGTGCTAGAGTAGCATAGGTGTGTGCACTGACAGTCTGTGATGCACTGATCAAAATGATGATGTATCACATGTGGATATGGTCACGTGACCCACTGAACCTGGATAAGAAGACCACCTGGCCACGGCGACCACTTTTTCTCGTCCCTTGAGTGGTCGCCTTTAATAGACTGGTTTCACTGTATGTCCACGGTATGTATGAGCTAAAATCTGACACCATGGCTTCATCCTTGGACCCGGTCATGGACATGTGTTGGATCAGTCTCGTCATGGAAGAGAAAGAGAAGATCTAGCTGAGGCAAGGCCAGAGCAAAAGGCAGAAGTAAAGAGGTTGAAGGCCAGTGCACAAACGCACACTCTAACTAGAGGCCAGCCTGTGTGCCGCGGTGAAAGCTTGGTTGAAAATAACTAAAAACGTTACTCTATGGTGTGACATGGCTAACCATACCCAGGTCATTGCACCCAGTATGTGGACCATGCAGCTTGTAATACAGCATGGGGAACTTCAATCATGGATTACGGTGTTATAGTATGCGTTTGACCATGTGTGCACCCATGAAGGAATGCTAATAAGCAAAACGGCAAAGTTCTTCTGCTCGCAGCTGGATGTGTACTAGAGGTACTTTCAACAAAAAATGCTGGCATTGGTTCATATATAATTATATTTCACTGTCTACTTCATGTCTTGCCAAGGTCCACCGTGATGCATTTGAAGTGCTCATCAATGAATTCAGAAGTTACCGACCATTGCTGTGTCGGATCATGGCTGCGTATGACAATGCGTTAGAAGTGCAGGCCGAAGAAATCCGGAGTCTAAAACCACTCAAGGTTAGTTCATAGCAGTATTCATGTGAAGGTTATTAATTTTGGACGTAATCCGGTTTGTGAGCATGGATGGCATAAAGATGATGATGATGATGAGGAGGAGGAGGAGGAGGAGAGAGATAGCACTGTGTAACAAACAGAATCCAGCGGGTAGTCCAGCCACAATTGTCTCAGCATAATTGCATGCTACAGTCGGTCACATACTGCTCATTGATCAGGCATGCGCTTGACCCATAGTTATAGCCTATGCAGCCCATCTGGCTCTCACACAACCGTATGATATGGCTGCATACCATACTACAATTATGCATTCAGCGGTTTTTTTCTACAATAATGTGTGTCTTATTCGCACTATTATGCTATTTCTTAGCATGCAGCAACGACTTACAAAGCTGAATTTGAACAACGTTGGCTGGAGAAGAAGAGTATTGAAGACCAGAGTGAGTTGGTGTACGCATTCCTTTTTGTTCTTTTGTCCGCTGTGCATGCTGCATGTGATGCATAGTGCATAGTTGAAATGAAACACGGACCATCGCAGATTTACTAGCTTTACAGGTGTTGTGGATTGTAACGCAATGTCAGTGCCGACCCAATGGAATGGCACAAGTATGGGCATCGCATGCATGTACACCAGGGAGTGAGTGTCTTTCGAGAGGATGCAAAATCATACTGAACGAAACGATGTGTAATCGACCCCGAATTCGGAAGCTCACAATGATACGTGGTCCATGGTCTATGCAATTCACAATCGCGATAGCAGCCTTGACCTGCTGGCCCCAAGTGCGGCCCAGGCCAGCGATGCTATACAAAAGCATTTACATGCATCAATCGGTCCTCAGTATCACAAGAGTGACCGGAACAGGCAACTGTGACCCACGAGCGAAACCCGGCCACATTGTGCCATACTGTACAGTCGCCCATGTGGTCTCCGTTGATGGCACGAGTCACTGATGCACAGAAACTGGCTGCTATGAGCACGAATGAAATGGCATTCTGCCTGTTGTGGCGTGGCACGCTTACTCGGTTTTGTTGTTGCTTTGAAAGCTCTGTGTCTGTACCAGCACAAATGTACCCTATACGGGTCATCATGTGACATTAGTCTGACTATGTACATGAATCTCTGTTTTGTGCTTTACATGTACTTGGTCGGCAGCTATCCAGATACTGAGGAGGCAAATCAAGGACCTGAAGCATGAGATCTACAGGCTGCAGTAAGTAGTGGCATGCTGTCCTGCTGTCAAATCAGTGTTGAAATGGAGTTGTAGTGGCCACGGTATACCAGTGAATAGGCTAGTGTCTTCATCTACTGCTCTCTGGTGTTCCTGTTGTCGATCCGGACACAGCAATGATCGGAACAATGTTGTGACAGATTCATAAACATTGTCATTTCTTTATTTTTACTGTGGTTGTCCGTCGTGTTCCTGGTATGTAGTGAGCGAGAGAAAGACTGGCAAGCACAGCTAGATAAGGTAGGTAAATGACCATTCTCGGTACATAGTCACAGTCCTTGTTGCTGGCTTCATCGTCATTTCCAAAGTTCGCAGTAAACTTTAGCTCTATTTTCTAAGCTGGCCCACTGTGTGACCGACCCCATTGTCACTGAGCACTATGGTTTAATGCGAGCCGCAGTTACCTACAATTGTAGATGTCAGGCTATGCCGGGGCAATTTGTTTGACTCTTGAGCCAAACAGGTTTACAGTAGTACTGTAGGGAGCCAACATTCAAACCAGTGTAGTATTAAAGGGGAAGTTAAGGCAAAAATCAAAATTTCACCAGTTGTAGTCTTCGGGGTGCTGAGTCGAATGGTCTTGGTCCGAGGAAGCTGAGACGCTTCCTTCCTACTTGAATCCCAATGGAACTCGCGCACTTCCACCGAAACTGGGTGACTGCGCCCTACTAGATGGGGATTTGTATGCAAAATGTCACTAAAAGCGCCATTGCGTTCTTATAAAAGCACGGATGACCGCGATTGGCCCATATGTTGTAGTCTTTTGGACGCTGAGTCGACTGGTTTTGGTCCGAAAAGGCTGCGAAGCAGCGTTCCTTCTTTATTCCCAATCGAACATGGTCGAACAAGTGGTCACGTGCTGCTGCGTACACCAGTCACCTGGTCACCGTGCCTGCAGGGTACAACTTACTAGCCTGTTTGACCTTTTTTGGGTGCAGTCCTGTCACTCGAGTTGAACTCGAGTTGAACCTTGGTGTGAAAGTTGTCGCCTGCTGGCGTGGTGACCAGGTGATTTGGGCACCCAGGAGCACGTGACCGCTTCTTCAACCATGTTCGATTGGGAATAAAGGAGGAACGCTGCATCGCAGCCTTTTCGGACCAAAACCAGTCGACTCAGCGTCCAAAAGACTACAACATATGGGCCAATCGCGGTCATCCGTGCTTTTATAAGAACGCAATGGCGCTTTTAGTGAAATTTTGCATACAAATCCCCATCTAGTAGGGCGCAGTCACCCAGTTTCGGTGGAAGTGCGCGAGTTCGATTGGGATTCAAGTAGGAAGGAAGCGTCTCAGCTTCCTCGGACCAAGACCATTCGACTCAGCACCCCGAAGACTACAACTGGTGAAATTTTAATTTTTGCCTTAACTTCCCCTTTAAACTACAGCAGTGCCTCTTCTACACATGTGATGTCTGTATCAGTGTGTTACCATGGTTACTTTTAGGATAGCGGTGCTGATCATGAAAGTGACGGGCAACCCGTTAACCTGATGTGTACTGTGTCGGCTATCCTGTCGTTCTGTCTCCGGGCAATATCGTCATGACAACGAGCAGCTGAGCATGGAGGCAGGCAAGTCGTACAAGCGATATCGGGAAGAGGCTGATCAGAGGTAAGAACGGTACCAGGTATACCGTTAGCATGATGGTATCTGACATGTTTGTTAAAAACTAGGTGGCATGAGCACTGACAGGACTCCCGGGACTCTTTCCATTCATGTGCTTCAGAGATGTCATCATGGTATGAATGCTTGTTTCCTTACGTCTACATTTATATCGTCCAGGTCAATGCTGATCACTGAATTGAACGAAATTCACTACAAGGAGCAGGATATGGCTAAAGCAGCGCAGGCCAAAGGGAAGCCAAGGGACGACCCGGCAGTACTGAACATTCTCATCAAGTATGTAACAAGTCACATGTGTACTAGTAGGACTGCTATCGTGGAGAGCACCCGTCTGTGATGCTATGCTACAGATGTTACACTGATAACACAGAGGCATAGGTCGACTGGCTCATGCAATGCCATCGGCGTCCGGGGCAGCCCAGGCCTCAGGCGACTCAGCCAGTTTTGTCACAATTTGTAAACGATGTTTTACAAGTATAGGCTGATACCTGGAAACATACAGGAAAGTGTACTGTGTATCCTAGATACATCTTAGCTGATCATATTGCAATATGGAGGAATACAACAGCCACCCGGACAATATCCATTCTAAGCGGCAAGTGTATGTCTGAGCAGAGTATGTACTAAGTGAGTTCTACTGTATGTAGTGTGCATTGAGCAGTGCACTGCTGACACACATCTACACAGTGCCGATCTCAGTACAGCCTACAGGGCCAGTTTCTACTTTGAAGTAGATCTATCTTGCAAATTAGAAGCAGTTTGTGTGCTTGTGTGGGTTTGACATCAACAGGTCGATGCTGATAAAAGTTCCATTTTGATACTATCAAGTTCCATTTGGCATCAGCAAAGTTTTTTGTTTGTTTGTCAGACTAGGTGTGACATGGCGGGACATGTGATAGCCGCACCATGTACATGGGTGTGGGGCTAATGTTCTTCATGTATTCGCGTCTTTGTTCTCTTGGCTAGCCGGTTGAAAACAGACTTGGCGGAGGCTCAACGCAAATTGGTGGAAACCATTGCTGACTATGGTGATGTCGTTCCAAGGAAGGAGTTTGACAAGGTCTCAAAAGCCAAAAAGGTATCAAATGTCAATAAGAACAGCCTGTTCAAGTCAATATTGGATACTGGATAGATTTATGGATAGTTACAGGTACAGTTCCATTTCAGGGCTTACAAGTCATTTAGAGTTTAGAGCCTAGTAGTGATAGAGGTGTTTGCTAAGCTCCACGTGGATGTTTGTTCGCATTTTCCTGTAGAAATTGTCCAAGGAGCTGAAGTCACTCCAAGACAGTCACAATGCCCTGAAGGCAAAACACAGGTAACTTGCAGAATATTATGTTCTTTGTTGACAAACCAAGAAGCACATGCTACCTAGGAGTTTATTATTCGACCCTTCATCAGGTCTGTAATTATCTGTCTTGACCATATTTCCGATTAGGATCGGTGATCCTTAGCATAGGTGTGCAGTTTCAGTAAATGTGTCAAAGTTTGGATAGATAAGCACTCGGAATTCAACCAGTGCTTGCGAGACTGAGGCTGAACAGCACCCTGGGAGCCATGCACCATTACTCATGCCCTAGAACATCGAAGACCTGCACTGATCATTGTGTCAATTTCAATTCTCAACAAGAATTCCATTTGAAAAGTACAACTGCACTGCACAATCCCCGTGCTGCTTGTTTGTGCAATGCTTCAGTGCACTTCAAACAAAGTGTGATGCGACACTCGTGCAGCGTGACACAATCTGCTCGGAGCTCGTGGAGGTTCAGAGATCGTGCACACCAAGGTAAGTGAGTGGTCCAATGCCAGTACACATAATTTGAACATACACCGGGACTGCCAGTACGCATACTAGTACTCATTGGGTTATAAGCATTCTGCTTACAGTGCTACCAGCATACAATGATACATTCTGGGTGTGCTTCAAACACAGCGATAACAGGGCTCGGAACAGTGAATTCCCCCGTGGTGTTTAGCGTGTGTAAGATACCTTGCTTGTTTCTTTTTTGTTTGTTTGCATTCGGCAGGCCAGATTGGAATGCTTTCGAAGAAGACCTTGTTCCTGAAGATGGTGACTGGAGTGAGATTCGGGATATACGTACGAGTAAGCAAATGGCAGAGGCAGTTCATGCCCACCTGCGCAACGAACCTCTGCCGGAACTTGTTGACGGCAAGTACGGTCCTCAGGTTTTGAAAGGCAGGGTAAGTGCTTCTAGCAAAGGATGTACATGCATGCCACATGTCTTGCATGTATTATCCGCCCAGTGCTGGCCTGCTGGGGTAGGGGCCTGGTCAGGGCCTGGAAACATGATGTGTAACCTGGGTAGGGCCTGGGTAGGGCCTGGGTAAGGTTGCATCCATCCGGGCATGCATCTCAACATCTGCATGCTTTAAAGAGCCTCCAAGGCCGGTGTATCAGACGTGCGAATGTTCGCTGAATGCAAGACTGGTCTGGCACATGAAATGAATCATGTCTTTTCGCATACTGGTACTCACTTGCAGGGCTGGCCGCATATGGGGTCCATTGCACCTAATTTTTGTGAATATCTGCCGAACAACTATATAATGAGAGGGTTCTCTTCATTTTCATGAACATTTCTGAGAACTCTCGTTTAGCAAAAACCTCTCCGTTTAAAAAAATTCGTACATTGTACTACTGTACTTCAAAGTATCACATTGTCAGGGCCGTCCCCGTTCACCCAGTAAGTGGTTCAATGGGGCACACATAACTGTGTAACATCTACTTTGAAGTACATATACAATGCATTATGCGTATGCTCTTGCACAACGCTACAGGGTACTGCTCCTGCCGTTCCACCACATCTTCGTGCAGAAGGCGTCATCCGCAACCGTCACATTCGACAAAAAGAAGCACTGGGACTGATTCAGGAAGTCTGGTCCACTCGCCAGCCACCGCGTGAAGATGAAAAGGTGCAGTCATCTCACTGGCCCCTATTTACGACTTCAGCAAAGCAAGTTCCTGGGTTTGCGAGCCAATTGCTTACCAGGCTTTGCAACAGAACTCCATGAATGCATGGCAAGAGGATTATTATATTATGCGTACACTGTTAAACCGGAAAGGAAAGGGTTTGCACCAGTTTTAGTACCACAACCTGCGTGCACAGACCAATTTCGCAACTGGAAATGTTTGCGATTTCATCAGTTTTATTACTACAGTTCTACATTTCACGCCGGCTTACACACATCAAAAAAATCGCGAACGATTCCAGATCGCAAAGGTTTCTCGATTTATAGCATATAACCACGCACTTCATTTATTTTACAAGCAGGACAATTGCGCCACTTAGCCTGGTTCTTCCTGAAGAACATCAGAATATACTGGTACACACACGGAAAGTTGGGTGTGGTCCTCGAAAGAGTGCTCAATGCACCGGGGTGCAGAGCTTCATACAAAAGGAATAGAATGCGGAGCTTGGGTTGGCGTGAAACTCGGAGTCACAGCCAACCACAGCCAACCCAAGCTCCGCATTCTATTCCTTTTGTTTTGATTATACTGGTATCATTTTATGCTTTGAAGCACTGAACTGGGATCGATTTTATCGACATTGAATGCAGAAGTCCGTTTCACCCCAGCAGGTATGTGATGGTGTGAGCTGTGACTTCCCAAGCCAATGCATGTAGTTTTGGTTCCTCATCTTATCAGATCAGTTGTCTGAAGATTACCATCTGGCATGAAACTATTACTTGTAGTTACAACCAGATGTGTGGTACTCTGTGACTCGTGTGTTCCTCATCTTATGCGTTTCAGATAGCAAAGAGAACCAACTTATCAGACCACCTTATGAACTTGCTGGAGAAACGCTACGTCATACCATCGTTGTGCTCAGAGTGGGCGTACAGTCTAGATGATGCTTGCCGACGCTACGCACCCCAGGATGCACACATTGCTCTCTTCCACGCTATCATCAACAAGCAGGTATGTGCACGTTACAGCAGACCCAAGATGGAATTGCCCATTGCTGGTGCCTCAATGCGGTGACCTTCCAGCTAGCTAGGCACACTTGACTCATACACCGGGTACACTGAGACCATACACTGAGACCTGTAGAGAAAGACTACAAGGTGCATGTGCCTTTCGCAAAGGACCAGCCTTCTGTTCAGCAAGGACGGTCACTAGATACAGGGATATCTGCATAGTCAGTGTCATTAGACTCATTACGTGCAGTACTAAGTAGTTTGATGGCTCACCGCCTTTTTGTCGGTGTCCACTTTCGACAGGTGGACGAGAGTGCATACCACACACAACAGAAGATGCTCACGTCGCTCAAGGACACTCTTATGGCTTCTACACTGCCAACAGAAGAGGCTGATGAGGAGAAAACAGAACCAGATGCTGATCAGGTAATGTCCTTTGTGTTGAACAAATGCATCGAAGGTGAAATCACTCAGCACTGAATTCTCTGAAGTGGCAGTTTCTGAAAGTGCATTTACGGTGGACCCCGCTGGACATTCACACCTGTATACCTACCTATATACATGGACATGCATGGTCTATTTGAGCTTTTCCTACTTTGCTCTTGTGTCATCAGGAGGCAGGAGTCATGTCGGGATCATCACTGGCTGATAATCTGCGCAAGGTGTTTCCCTTCAAGAGCGAAGTGAGCATAGATGAGCTGTGTGACTGTGCAGTGGAGGAGGCAAGCGTTAAGGCCAGCAGTGAACTATCAACTGGAGCAGCGCCAACAGGCAGTGTCGAGCAGGTAGACACAGCTGCAGACGAGGAGCAAGCTGCGGCACCTGGCGAATCAACAGCGGAGAAATCAGATGAAGAAGCTGACGGAGAGTCTAAAGTCATGATCAAGAAATTGTTTGAAGTGGTGAGGATATGTTCACAATGTTCAGTCTCAGTGATTCATGCAGTTGGATGCAGAGATGATAGACCACTGGTGCTTTAGAGTTGTGTGCTCGCTGGGTGACTGAGTGGTACTGTGGGACTCACCTGGTACTTACTATGATATCAAGCATGGACATTCTCTGGAGTATGGCCCTACTATGGGTACATTGCCCAATAGTGAAGAATAAGTACACGTACATCGGATACTGTACATGTATATCCTATCAGAGTTCCACTGTATGTTGCATAGCCCAAGTGTGTGCTGTGTACTGCTTGCTCTGCACACATGGCTTATTATAATATGCTTCGTTTATGTACATGTACTGGTACATGCATTTGTGTGCACAATTACTTTCGTATTCAGGGTGAGACAGGCTATGCTTCGGAGTTTGTTCACGTACTGCGCGAGCAGGAGCGACAAGAAAAACTGGATTACCTGTCTGACATCAACGCAGCGCTGGAACTGGATGCGGAAAGGTGAGAGCAGTTGAATTGAACTTCAGCCTCATACTGGATATCAACACGCAGTGTTCCTCAGTGTCTAGTATATCAAACACGACTACATGCGTGTTATTTTTCAGCTATTGATTGTCAATAGTTTCATTCCATTCAATCGAAATATTCAACATAAAGAAAGGGGTTGGCACAGGCCAGGCAATAACTTCGGAGCAGACAGTAGATGATTGCAACTGAGGAACTAGCAAGATACATGTGTACCTGCACTGCCCTTTGCCAGCAACGGCGTACCATAACCAGTCGCAATGTACAATGTACTGGATGGAGAAGCTCATCAATACCTTGATAGAACTTCAACTCTTCAACTCTTGTCCCACCTGTACCCTTTTTTCTAAACAACTGGAGGATAAGTGTAGTAGAGTTGTGACTCCTCTGTTCTGTACTGTTTATTTGTTACTTTGTTCACTGTTGTTAGCGACGAAGTCAATGTAGACCAACTGAGAAGCGCTATTCAGAAAGCTGATCCAGAGAAGAGCGAGAAGGACGTGACACAAATCCTAGCCTATGCCTATGCAACAAGCACCGCTGCTGTGCAGCCTGGAAAGACGGCCGCAGCACAACTCCCCTCCATCATGGAGCGCTTGCAGGCCAGGGGATTGCAGAGGTCTGGTCCTCGGCCACAAGCAGCAATGACCTGATCTCGTCAAACTACAATCTTGGAGTGCCATTATCAGGCCATATCTCTCTAGAGGTGGAGATGTGGTCCTCAAAGTATTGCCCGCACAATGATAAAGTACCGTATATGACTTGAGTCACCACCGAGGTTGCCCTCATCAATTCATACCAGTCGCTGTTCTGCCAAACACATCAGTAGTCTCGCACACTATGGGTATTGGTTATTTCAACAAGTTTCAAAGAATGACTGTATTAGCCGTCAAGAATTGCGCAATCACTTTATGCGCTTTGCATTGTGAGCAGGAGTTCTATATCTTCGTACTACGATGTGGCGAGATTATCATTATTATTATAGGTTTGCGTGTTAAAGATCAAATCTTTTGTGTAGCAAGAATGATACCTCATTCCGCTTCTGTGTTTCTGATTGCCGAGTAGTCTACCGTATTGAGCTGGCGGTATAAGGGAGGTTTCGCTCTATGTAAGTTGCGTATGAAAATCTGCTATGTCGTACATGCCGGGGAGCGAGGGCAACTTTCACACGTAAATCTCTCTCTCTAAATATCTCGACGGATTTCCGTAGGAAAGCGCTTTCCTACGTTTCCTCCTCCGTAGGACTTTTTTTCAGAAATATTTTCCTCATTTCCCCGATTTATCCATGGTAACGTTCAAGCCGTGCGAAGCACAAGGTCCACAACACTTGGTAAACTAATAGAGAACGTGGTTTAGGTTCGTGATGCAGCCGACGCGTCTCCAACGCAACATGGCATGCTCATCAGCCGTCGAGGAATCACGTAGAGCGAACCCAACAGTGCTGATTTCTACGTAGGAAAATCACGTGCAATTCCTACGTTATTTTCATACATAATTACGTAGAGCGAAACCTCCGTATTACTAGTGAAAAAATCTGAAACATGAACTTTTTAAAACACAGCGGGTTTGATCGTGAAGCGGGTTTAAAAAGATATTGTTTGACGGTCGAACACAGTTGGATAGGAGTGGAGTTCTGCAAACTCATGAGTGATGATACACAGATATGAGTAGGTACATGTAGTTTGTAAATGTGTAGTTCTGAGCTGGCTAGCATTCACTGAATTGTGTCTTCAGATTTCAGAAACTTACTTCATGTAGGCCGCGAATCCGGCTAACTTCATTTTTTTATTACTTCAAGTATAATAATGTACGTTGAGCATCACGGTCCAGCAGTGACAATGGAAGCAAATTGCTAGAGCTACAGCTTCAGTGCGCTGTTGCGTTGTGTTTCAAATTCAACCTGTCCTTTGTACTCACCAGGCCCACAGCAACGGTGAATGGATGCAATCACCAGGTAGTCGTAACGTATTTTACGACTCCCTGGTGATCATTGATCAACGAAGGGACTATGGACTGTGGGATCTTTCACTCCGCATACATTTCTTGTAAGGGGCCGTCCGTAAATATCGATGTTTTTTTAGAGACGATATTGGTGCTTCTCTCCCTTGACCCCCCTCCCTCCCCCCAGAAGACGCACATGTACATCTAGATCATGGAATCAATATTTTTGGATGCTCATGAAGTGCCCAGGATATGATGTTGAGGGTCCGGTGTAGGCGTGAAAATCCCGCCGCACTCACGCAATAGCTGCATCGCCTGGGGGGGAGCGAACCGGGTTGGCGCTGCAGTGCTCACAGCCATCGTGTACTGGTGTAGCCAAAGCGGCTACGCTCGGGCTTGAATTTTTTCAAATCCTTGTTCAGACAGTGAAGACTGGAAACTCTTGTGGAGTTCGTCCGTGTTTGTTCGCACTGCCTCTACGTCTTGAAAAAGGTCTCCTGCAGGCATCGTTCGGCCGATTTCCACAATCAATAGCTCATTCTTTTGCTCTTGAAATTCGCCATGGGCGTACAGCTTCCAATTTTTGATTTTGTTCTTGTGTCGCGAGTTTTAGCTCCGCGAAAGGAAGCTGGTTTCACATTTCTTGTATAGCCATTTAGACGTCCGCGTGCAGGGATCGGCGAAACTTCAGATATTTACATCGATATTTTTCTGATGCTCGAAAAGACGCACATGGCTCAAACCCCCTCCCCCCCAGACGCACCAATATCGTCTCTAAAAAAACATCGATATTTACGGACGGCCCCTAACAAGACTACTGTCCATGCATAGCACCAAGAGTACATAGTTTATGTACTCTTGGTAGTACATGTACTGGAGCTGTAGTTCACATTCGACAGGGGGCGGACAGGACGCGACGTAAGGAGCAACGAGAACCGACGGGACGGTCATGCCACCGGGCAATATGGCAGGGTATGCATGAATGGCTTTGTCTTACAGGTTCAACCATTCTTATTTTTACAGTGAAGACGTACATGTACGTAAATAAAACCGTGCAGTACACTCATAATAGGACATGGAACTACAATTTTTTGTAGTACTTGGGGCAGGCCTGATATGTCACATCAACCGGTTTATGTACTCTTCTAGTCTTGAGCCTTGCATGGTGCATGGTGGCATGGATGAGAAAAGAATATACGACTTACGTCACAATCCGTCAGCCTTCGCCATAAATGGCATAATAATATTCATAGACCACCCACTATCACTCAGCAGCAAAGATCAGCAGTAGACAGCAACATAACTCCAATACAAGCCTTGCAATAATACAAGCCATGCTGCTGGAACAAGGGGCTGAAGAACGAAAGCGAATCAGCAGCTGACTCTCTAGCTCTGTCTGTGTGTGTTGTGTGTGTGTGTCGTTGTTTGCAATGCGGCATAGTAATGCCTAGTATGCGGCTACCGGCTTTGGGCCGTTTGGCGGCACTGCCAGCACGTCTTTGGCACTTGCCAGGGTAGGATTTGGATAAAAACACTTACTTCAGTTACAAAGGTCAGCAAATGCGTCGCTGGTGTAATGGTCAGCATAGTTGCCTTCCAAGCAGTTGATCCGGGTTCGATTCCCGGGCGACGCACGTTCCTTTTTACTTTTTTTGATATTTAAATGACTTGGGCCAAGTTGGGGGAATCCCCTAGTTTCTATGACTCACGAAACATGATTCATGAACGTTCAAAACAAAAGTGCTGGTCTGTGCATGTGCCTGTGGTGTATTCTCTTTCTGCTCCCCTGTGTTCAGAATTGTTTCTATTTTTTTGGGTATACATTGTGTGTTTTCCTCTTACTTGAGTGATACCTGTGTATGATAGAGGCAGATGGTGGACAACACAACGTTGAAATGTTGCCGTTCAAACTAAGTTGTCAGCTTCAGGACCACCAAGCCGATGTTCGTGCTGTGTGCAACTTGCCTGGTGCAAATGGACAGCCCGACAAAATTGTAACAACTTCTCGAGATTGCTCTGCTAAGCTATGGCGTCTGGACGACAACTCATCCAGTAAATACTGCCTGGAAAGGACGTTTAGAGGGCACAGTAAATATGTCACTGCTGTATGTGCACTTCCTGCGTCGGACGACCACCCCAATGGTGAGTTCTTATTGCTTGTTTGGGTGTATATCTCCCTTTATTAATACCATCAAGAGAGTCTGAGTATATATCATCCAGAGGTTATATACTCTTCAGATCTGAAAGTATTTTCTCCAGAATTACTCTCTGTAGAACTTTTATTTTTTTAATTTTATCATGAAAAGTCAAAAGAGGAGCTATTAATAGTATTATTGATGTAGAGAAGATGGACAATTTGGTTTGAGCTATAACCACGGAGTTGTATACCCGGGAGAGGACGTGGCAGGCAAAAGCTCGTTTGCTGCTGGTGTAACTAGCTGGGTTCTACTGGTGTGACTCGCTGTGCACCACATGTGTAACTCACTGCATCTTACTACATGTGCTCCCAGCCCCGTGCCATCTCCACACTCTGACGATTGACGACAAAACTACATCCAGAAGGACTTTATTTACAAAGAGACGACGGAACACAACTGGACAAGAGAGACTCAAGCAAAACCACGTAACTTCCACCCCGGAAGTAAAATGTCCCCGATTTGAATCATGGAACACAGAAGAAAAGTGGTAATGTTCACACCAACCACTTGATCATACCACACCAGTCGTAATCAGAAATAAAACATTGGAGCACAGGGTTCTAGCCAGGGGTGTCATCGATTGGCGAATCTGGATTGAGTGCGAGCAGGTGGTGTGGTCCGAGCAACGCTGGCCCAATCGAACAAAGCAAGGGCGTAGTACACAAAATGTACGCATAATTCGCATACTGTACAAAGATTCTGTTAAAGCTGTCAAAACGTTAAAGTACATTTCCACTCCAGCCACACCCGGTGTGGGGCGGATGTGGTCGGATTCCACTCCAAGCACACCTACTCCGGATTCGGCCAAACGATCACGCTCATTCGAAGCGCACTTGCTCGGGATTCGCCCAATCGATCATGCCCCAGGTCAAAATAGTAGGAGGGAGGGGGGGGGGGGCAGGGAAAACAGTTACCCCGTAACCCATTTTTCCATTTTCAAAGTAACTGTCTTGCAATGCGAAATGCAACGTATGGGGCGAACACCTGACTTCACCCCACACAAATATGCCTTTATGAACCCTCTATAGTACTGACTATCAACTGCATTTCGTTGAATGGCATGAAAAAACACAAAAATCGGAAAATGAGTAGGGGGCGCAAACCGAGTAGGGGGCGGGGAGGGGGGGGACCATTGGGGGCACTGCTCCCCCCACCCCCTGTGGCTAGAACCCTGGAGCATTTTGATAACCCCTACACTGGAGGGTGCACTCAGCGTGATGAGATTGGTCAATACCCCTGCGGAGGCAGAGTGCACAGTACAACAGTGGAACAAGGCTAGTTCATTGCACCTGAGTTGCAATGAACTAGCCTTACTCCACTGTTATACTGTGTGATAAGTTGATAATCCATACACACATTATTCTTTATTCACGAAAGATACACCTATGGGCGTGTGTGCTCAGGTGCTCAATTACAGAAATAGCTGGATATTTAATTTTGAATTCTATTGATTTGATTCTGTTGCAGGTCTTATTGCAACTGGATGCAATGACAGCCAGATCAGAATTTATGACCCAGACCAAGATGGTATGTTCTATGTCTGTTCAGAGTGTGTGCGTGTGTGTGCATGTGTCTGTGCATACGTCCGTACATTCCTCCGTGTTTGCGTACATGCATGGGTAGTGGCACTGAGGGATTGGCAAGATATCCTGGTCTATGCTGCGTTTGTGATCAGCAGGTCCTAGCCGCGATCACTATCGCAGCTGACCAAAATCCACGTACAGTTTCCAATCCAAAGTCAGAGCACCCTATTCGGGTACATGTACATGATTGTACTCTAATATTGATTGCTTGTGGATCTGTGCAATACAGGGCAGCACTGTACATGTGACAGTGGCAGTGTATCAACAAGCAGATCCCTGTCTTGTCATCATCACCCCTGGTGTTATGCATTCAGATTGTTCTGCTGCTTTTTCCCCCCACTCTCTACAGACCCTGTCAATGTACTGAAGGGCCACACTGGCAATGTCTGCTCTCTGGTGTGTGGGAAGTTTGGCACGCTAATGTCAGGTTCATGGGACTGGTATGTAGACAATGTGCATGTACTTCGGTAGTTTTGCAACAGATGCAATAGATTTATGCATGTCTCTGTACTATTATCCTGAGTTCATGATGTGATGTGTGTACACACAGGCTCATTCGGCGACATTCGCATTGTGTTAAGATGTCAGAGCAACTTCTTGGAATTCTTTCTTGCGAATGGGTGGATGACTATACATGTATTGTCCTTGTGATCTACGCTTCAACTAGCCTTATCCACACTGATCTATTCTGGATTGTTTCACAGCTGTATCCAGACAATCTCTGTGTCATGTGCCGTGTACTCTATTGAACTGTACTACCGGTATGCGTGTTCCCGGGTTGAAAAATGCTTGAAGACTATACCCACATGAGTTACGTGTACTTGCGAGGATTTGTGGACAATTCCTAGTTATGGATGTGGTCTGGTCCTGCGCAGGCCAGACATGATTAGTTTGAGTGTAATCCAACCACCAAACATACCACTATTATCATGTTGTAATGGGAGCATATTCCCCTGTGTGCACCTCGGTAGTCTGCTGGGTGTAGTTGCTCCTCAGCAAGACAGATTGCCAGTAAACCTACTTCTCTTTGAATTACTGTACGTGTCCTGTAGTATAGAGACATGACAAGTTGCCTGTTCCAACACTTTGTTGTGGTTGCTGGTGTTGGCCGGGGGATGTTGGCGCGTCATTGTCGTCATTGTTATTATTGTCATTGTGCAGTACTGCTCGGGTGTGGTCGTCATTTCAGAGTGTGATGGAGCTAAAAGGTCACACAGCAGCGATTTGGTCCGTTGCGATCATGCCTGGGTCTGGAAAGCACCTGACTGGTAAGCACTGAGTAGTGTAGTTGCCCGAGTGTAGGCTAGAGAATAGTGCGCATCTCCCCCGTGTGGCATTTTGACTGTGGGAATCCCACTGTGAATACGCGCCCAAGTACTTTGCAGACTGAATATGGGGATTGGCAATGTCATTGCTGGAAATGTGGACATCTTGCTACTGCTTCTGCCCAGAATGTACAAGCAGTACGTGTATCTGCAACTTGCTGGTGTACAGGATGCCCGGTGGTTGTACCTGCATGTACACCATCATGCTTGTGGCTGTGTGATGTTAATGCATGTATGGCGTGTTGCTTTCTGCTACCAGCCTCGGCTGACTCAACCATCAAGATCTGGTACATTGGCAAGTGTGAGCGCACACTGTCTCAACACACTGATTGTGTACGCTCTCTAGCCGTCCTCAATGGAAATGAATTCCTCTCAGCCAGCAATGATGGGTGAGGGCATCTGTACAATTGGCATGTGTGTATGCTTGCATGTGTGCATTCGCTTGATGACAGTCCATGGACAAAAAATACGTATTGCTAACATAGCCTTTATTGCTGAACCGACAAATAAGGTTATTGTACCATGCCAGCCAGCTATTATTGATGAGTCATGTACGAATTGTAGTACCGTAAAGTACCGTTGTAGTACCGTAAAGTACCGTTGATCCCCCCCCCCCCCCACACACCATGTCGCTTCCCAGCTGGGTTCGGCAGGGGGCGGGAATTAGATCAAGGCTGTCAAGTGCAGTACGATGTACAACAACGTAGAGGATCAGACTCGATGTGCTGGATTGTGCACATTTTCATCCTGGATTGGCAAGTATTGTGTACAGCAGTGCATGCGTCGGTTCAACATCGTATTTCGTTGTATACGCCGAAGTGGGCTGAGATGGGCTGAGCTCAGGACGCAAAGCAACCTGAGCCTCCCTAGCCGCAGTAGCCATTCTCCAACTCTCGGCATTTCGTAACGCCTTTACCTCCGCCTGCAAATCAGCCGGAGCAACGTCAGCATCAGGGCGACGAAGCAAATCAATCACCGCCTGTACCGAGGCCATACTGGAAGTCCACTGATGCACTGCATGAGGCCCAATGCCAGGGATTGAGAGGCCACCGGACTTAACAGGCAAACCGATGATTGATTTTGATTGATTTTATTTCACGGATCCTCCAGAGGCAAATTGATGCCTATCGAAGGGAGTCTCCTAAGTAAATATGGAAAATGAGAAAGTATGTTCGTAAGGGAGAAGAGGTAGAAGATACATTAGAATATAGAGTACAAAAAGAAGTAAATTCAGTACTTCGGGTAGTACATTGCATGTTAATCATAAGGCCATCATTTTTTTATAGCTACCGTATTTTTCCGGTTGTAAGTCGACCTTTTACGACTTAAAATAGAAGGAGAAAGGGTAGGGGTCGACTTACAACCGGGATTCGACTTATAACCGGGAACTATCAGTATCTTACAAAAAATGACCTGCACTGCATGCACGAGTGCACCATGTTTATACATTTTTGCCAGTTTATTGGCCTTTTTCAAGGATTGGGACGTTATATCCTCCAATAAGGAATATTTACATGATTTGTTGATGTGTTAGTAGCAGGAGGTGGTTAGTAGTGCTTCTTTGGGTGAAAACTTTAAAACGCAGAATTGAGACCTCCAGATAGGGGGGTCGACTTATAACCGGGGTCGACTTACAACCGGTAAAATACGGTATGTTTCGCGTCGTCCGCACGCATACGTTTTGATTTTTTTCGGAAAAAAATAAAAAAATCGAACATGCACAGTGAGTGTACGATCGTGCGAGTCATCAGTGTGGACTGGTTGAATACGGCGAAGCTGGGATTCAGAAATGGCCTCTAGTCTAGGCCAGCGTTGGTAAATCGTTTGTTCGGCATCTGGGAGCAATATTCTATGAGCTTACACCAGACCGCATTGATCGTCTCAAGCTGAGAGGATGCGTCGTTCCGGAGCTCTTTGCACCGCTGCTGAAGCCTGAGTACAATAATCCAGCGAAGCATAGGCACCAACGGTTGCCTCCTCTGTCCAAGATGAATATTTACTCATGCTGATTATGTTGTGCTTCGATGTACGATTTTTCTTTCAAATGTACACCATGCACGAGCCATTGTGCTATGTACAGTGCATACACCTCTGATGAGCCTTTTATTATTATTTTGCAATTTTTTATTTTTTCCACCTCTCGCATAAGATTCTGGAAGTTGAACTGACGCGAAACATAGATATAAAAAATGATGGCCTAATGAGAATTAGAAAAGCAGCATTGCGGACTACTATAACTGACATATACACAAACTATTGAAACTATCATACATGTGGTTAGCCTAGACACAAAAGTCAGGAATACCTTTCAAAGAAAACATAGATTGCGAATGATACCGACGAACAGCAATACTAAATTTCGCTGTTGTAGAGAGTGAACGAATATCTTCAGGAAGTTTATTCCAAGCAACGCTCAAAGAAAAAAGGGTTGATTTACGAAAGTAACAAGTTAGGCGCCCGCTTTAGGAAAAATTATGGATGAGGGGTGACGACTGCTTTGGGAAGAGGGTAGCTGGAAGTGAGACAACAAGGAAGGATATTGGGAGAATACCGTATTTCCACAAATAGTAGGCCGGTCTACTATTTTTTCAACCTCGCCCTAACCCGGCCTTATAATCGAGGACGGTCTTGTATTCGAGGACGGTCTTTTATTCTTTCAACCCAGTTTGACCCTGGTCTTCTATTTCTCGCCACACAGTTTTACCCGCGTTCTTCCATTTTCTTCTACACAGTTTGAGCACGGTCTTCTATTTTTCCCACAGTTTGAGCACGGTCTTCCATTTTTAACACAAGAACAAAGCCTCATTTAGTAGGCCCGGTCTTCTAATCGGAGACGGTCTTTTATTTTTTCAATCGCCCCCTGCCCCGGCCTTGTATACGAGGAAGGCGTTGTATACGAGGACGGCCTTTTATTTGCGGAAATACGGTACATGGTGGAAATAGACAAGGCCAAGAATCTGCCGTCGCCATGCTAAAGATTCCCAAGAGGACAGAACATTGAGGTCTTCTTTGGAAGTCGTCCAGTCAGGCCGACGCTTGAATTTACTATTTTTAAAGTATGCTCTAGCAGCAGTAGCCTGCAGTTTATCAAGGGTTGTGGACATGGTGGCTGTAATGTGTTGAATATGGGGGGACAGATTGAGTGAAGGAGTGAGGATGATGCCCAGATGGTGGTGGGAAGAGGGCTGGGTCAGTAACGTACCGGCCATGGTGACGGTCCTGGGATCAGGTGGGTTTGATTTGGGTCTGGAAAAGGGAACATGGACACATTTGTTAGCATTGAAAACTGCTTCAGTTTTATGGGACCAGTTCACACATCTATCAATGTCTAGTTGCAGGGAGGCAGTGTGCGCAGCGGGTACGACAGTAGGCGGAGAAACGCAGACCATGTTAGAATCATCCGCAAACAGAGTCAGGTCGCTGGATTGGGGAATGCTGGGAAGGGAGTTGATAGAAAGGTTGAATAATAGAGGGCCTAGATGGGAGCCTTGTGGCACACCAGCGGTGAGCGACATATGGGTTGATAATGCAGTGCCGACCCGCACAGACATTGATCGGCCTTCCAGGAAGTCCATCAGCCACGGGAATGAGTCAGGTGCACACCAACCGGACAGACATGAGGCTAGGAGGCGATGGCTGGTACGATCAAATGCCTTCGAGAAATCGAGAAAGACGGCATCACACTGGGCCCGGTTATCAAATGCGGAGCTGACAGTTGATGTGACATACACAAGTTGGTCAACCGTGCTTCGGTGGTGGCGAAACCCGAACTGTTTCGGCGACAGCAGTTTGTGTTTCGCAACAAACGCGTACACCTGGCGGCTGATTAACGCTTCGTAGCATTTTGCCACACCATTCAGCAGAGATATCGGCCGGTAGTTAGCAGGGTCATTGCGACTTCCCTTACCCTTGTAAATTGGGGTAACGATTGCAACTTTCCACTCAAGGGGTTGGGATCGGTAAGTGGTGCAGCGGTTAAAGAGAGCAGTGAGAGATTGGGCGAGCACTTCTGCTGTCTCTCGTAGGATCCTGTTAGGAAGACTGCCAGCTGTAGACTTTCGTACACTTAGGGTCGACAGTGCCTTGAATACTTCTACGATAGACAGAGGGCGGATGGCAAATGTTTCCGAAGAAGAAGGCATGGCAGGATCACGATAATCTGCATCCGACGACGGTGTAGCTTGACTATTCTTGGCGAACTGTTTACAGAAGATATTCACTTTCTCAGGGTCGGTAACCGCTAAGGTATCGACTCCTTGGATATCAGGTATAGGGGTGTGAGGACAATTGACGTGGCACATTTTCTTGACTCTCTTCCACCAGTCATAAGATCCTCGATCTCCATGAAGGCCTTCTGATATCTGGTCGTAGAAGTGACGTTTGGCTTTACAGATCGCAGCGACGAGGCAGTTCCTTGAAATGCGATAAGCAGCCCAGCACTCAGGGGTATTGACGCGTTTTGCTGCAGCAAATAATCGATCTCGACGTTGACGGAGGCGATGGTGCACAGAGGTAAACCAAGGCTTTCCATAACGATTTGTTCGTTTTCTAACCTTCGGAACAAAGGATGATATGGCTGTGTCAACTAGTGTTCACCAGGAGACCCATGCTTCATCTGTACTACTGGCTTCTTGTACAGCATGCGAGATCAAATACCACAGGACAGTGATCAGAGACAGGGGGAAGTGTGGTGAGGTTGTGGATGAGGAATGGTTGGTTACAGAGAACAAGATCCAGGAGAGAAGAGCTGTGACCTGCGGCGGAGAAACGTGTTGGGCGGTCGCGTACAAGTTGTGTAAAACCGGTATCATCCAGCAGGTCGACAAGGCATCTTCCAGCAGCAGTGTTCGGGTCCTGCCTATACCATTCGTTGTGCCAAGCATTAACGTCACCAAGGATGATAATGGAAGCCGTAGTGTCCGTAATGGAAGAGATGGACTCACGCAAGCCAGAGAGGAAGGTTAAATGATCCTGCCTTGCGATGAGACTCCGCTCCACGGTGGACATGTTCTTCTGACCAGTGATTGCCGGTATCACATTATTATCAATCACAGTATCGAGCCTGCCGAAAGCATCCGGCTCCGGCAAGCCATGTGAGCACAGATGGTAACGCCAACGCGACCTCAGGCCACGGGAGAAGACAGAATAAGCAGCATGTGGCTGGGTTTCCGCCAGAGTGGAGAGAGTACCGACCTCCCTGCACCATATGGAAACTTGACGACACAGGCTCTCCTGTACGCAATCCTTCTCACCAATGGCCCCACCAAGATAGCGAACACCATTGGTCAGCACACGTATACCTGTAGGCTGGAACAGCTCTTGGCCTTCAGACTCCAGGGTTGGTTTCATGAGCAGAAATGTCTTGGCTGCATTCGGATAATAGCCATATTTGGGGCCAATCTCCTCGATGGATTTCCAAACCGAATGCACGGCCGCCAATCTACCACCAGACTCGCCATCATCCGCGTACCAGCATTGGTTTACATCAGGATGCTGCTCACAGAGTTTGCAAATCATGGGAGCCACCACTAGGGCAAACATAGCCATGGCCAGAGAGTCTCCCTGATAAGTTCCCTTGCGCGAGTACAATACTACACCACCAGGAAGAAATAGTGGAATATCCGCACCATATGTATTTCGACAAATTTTTGCTGGGGTCACCAGCGCGAGTACTGGATACCAAATTATTGTAAATGGCCTGTCTTAGGATGGTCAATGTAGGCAAAGGGACTGAAGTGGGGAACTCTTCCCACAGCATCCGAAATGAAGTTGATATGGGATGGGTTTACCACGGTGGTAAATGAAGCGGATGAGTATTGTATTCTGTCATGCCTGTGCTGTATGTGTGTATGTCTTGCAGGACTTGCCGTCGGTGGTTAATGTCGGGTGACTGTGCGCAGACCTATCACTCGCACACTGCATTCGTATACAGGTGTGGTCGAGTTGCTGTATTGCTGTGTCTGCATTGTTGTGTCAGTATGTTCTGCATCTGAACTCTGTGCTAAGTTGTTAGGCTCTGGGCTGTGTGCAGTGAACAGTCATGCTGCATGTTCAACCTGATTTATTCGGCATTTTTGTCATACTAGGACAATATTCCCTCGCCTTTGAATCCCTAGATACACACTGGTGATTTACATAGGGTTTGTGTAGGTGAAAGTGATGACCTCAAACACCATGCCGTTTTCATCATGTGGTCAGAGTAGATTGCATTGCAGTTCCACGAAATGAAGTGGGACATACTAGTTGTAGGCCGCGCTCCTTTTTTGATAGTGTATACCATTAACTACATCCCCAACCCGTCACCACCATGTGTTCTTAGCAATGCACCAAGCAAAACACACCAGCACAGCAAGGACACGTCCGTTGACAGATAATTGTTATGCCTCTAGACAGCTGTTTCACTCCTTCGAGCTCATCAGTAGAGGATGATGATGATGATAATGGGGTGTAAAGGAATGATCATTCTTATACAGCAGAAATGTAGAACATTGGCGTATGCAAGCTGCTAATAAAATGTGAAAATAGTGTGAAGAGCTATTGTACGCGCCCATTGGTGGAGGTACACACCATGCAGGCGACGTAATCATTACGCAGAATTGACACATACTCAATACTGTCTTGTTGCGCATACTGTTGTGATTGCAGCTTGGCTAGGCTGCCTGAAGGATTTGTATCCTCAGGTGAAGACAGAACGGCGCGTGTCTGGCAAGGTATGCGAATACTGTAGTATTCTTTAATTTACTTTTTCCATCCGGACTTCTCTTTGATTTTCTATTTTCTCTCTAGCTATTCTGTTGTGCCTTCTTGCCATTAGTCACTGATGTGGGGAGTACTGTAGTATTAATTTCTCAACAACAGTGCCAAGCTCATGTTTACGCAGCTACTATAGTGTTCTTTGTAAAGCCAGGTTGAGGCCTTTTTGAGCATAATTTTCTATGGGTTTCACCCACAACTGCTTTGGCTCATCAGCAATCACCTCTAGGTCATAATCTATACAGCCACATTACCTGTGTGTGTTCATGCATGCGTGCACGTGTATGTATGTGCACGTGTGCGTGCATGCCCCGTGTGTGCGTTCTTGTGTGTACCCATTTATAATATTTTATACGCATGTGTGAGTTTGTGTTTGTATGTGTGTTTGTGTCTGTGTGTTTGTATGTGTGTGTGTGTGTGTGTGTGTGTGTGTGTGTGTGTGTGTGTGTGTGTGTGTGTGTGTGTGTGTGTGTGTGTGTGTGTGTGTGTGTGTGTGTGTGTGTGTGTGTGTGTGTGTGTGTGTGTGTGTGTGTGTGTGTGTGTGTGTGTGTGTGTGTGTGTGTGTGTGTGTGTGTGTGTGTGTGTGTGTGTGTGTGTGTGTGTGTGTGTGTGTGTGATGTTCAGATGCTGATGTTGCACAGACGATACCTTTCCCTACCCAGTCGGTGTGGAGTGTAGCAAGTCTAAGCAATGGTGATATTGTGGCTGGGTCCAGTGACGGCATTGCACGTGTCTTTACACAGGCTATCGAACGTATGGCCAATGCTGATGAATTGCAGGTGAGAAAGAGAGACAGAGAGAGCCCCCCCCCCCCACACACACACATACACACTCGTTCAACATACATGCACATACAATAGAGTATTGGTCCAAGTATTACCCAAGTGTCCATTTTCTCTTGGAACTATCAGTATACGTGTTGTCATTTGCTACTGGCAGAGGTATGGTATGTACAGCAATGCCTTTAGACCAAGGAGCACGTAATAAAGTGGCACGAGTATTCTATTTACTTGTTGGTCCCAGTCTAGTTTTATCACCAGAGCAGCGCAAGTCCGTACAAGGTATTGCACTTTCGGAAGCACGCTGATACGTCCGCGAATTATTTGTCATGCGGGGTTTTTTATTACTACAAGGTGGTGTACTTTGTTTCCTGTTTTCCTTTATACTGTCAGGCATTCGATGACCAAATACAAGCTATGGAAGTTGCATCAAAAAGGTAAAGCAATGTGCTCTGTTGCCTTTATTTAATCAAGATGTGCAGCATCACCTGTCCTTCGATGGGTTTGTCTAACTTGGTGTTCAAAGCAATCTATATGTATGTCACTCGTTGCCGTACTCTCATCTTTCATTCAGCATTATACCACAATGTTATAGAGGTGGAATCCTGATAATTCGAATATGGCTTAATTCGAACATACCGCTTTTAAATTAGAAGTTTTTCCAGGACCGATTTCTACCAATACGATTCCCACATAAAAAATTCTGATAATTCGAACCTCGAACTGGACATGTCCGGTTAATTAGAAGTCCCACAGATTCCACTTACATAGAAAATGTGTGGGATTTGTGCTGTTAATTCGAAGTTAGCAAAGTGTAATTTGAAGTTCACTGTACACTGTACTGGTCAGTTCAGTTTGCACGAACAGGCTGTGCCAGTCAGTTCAGTGTCCATAAAATTTGTGTTTGTGTAAGGTCCATAGCGCAACTCTGCGTGACCATGAGAGCATTTTGACATACATATTGTGCTGTGGGTTCATGTTTGGATAATTAGAATGTCCGGATAATTAGAAGTTTTTTCCTGGCAGTTTGAGGTTCGAATTATCAGGATTTCACCTGTACCACAATGTAGTTCAACGTGATTTGTTCCTTTGGTTCATTCCTAATCATATCAGCCACCTCACAATAATTTTTTTGTTTTTTTGCATCTTTCTCAACGCCTCCCATGGTTCACAGCAATCAATCATCAATTGGCGATCTTCAGCTGAAGGATGTTCAAGGCATGGAATGCCTTGGAATCCCAGGTAAAACTTGCACTTCAAAGTACTTGTACAGCGATGTTCTTAGGTGTGACTCCTGTTATCCATCATTTGCCTGAGTGTTTGGGACCCCGCTATTGGTATGCATGATGCCAATGTGCGATGGTAGTGAATAACACTGGTTCTATGGTGTAATGGTTAGCACTCTGGACTCTGAATCCAGCGATCCGAGTTCAAATCTCGGTAGAACCTGATTTTTTCCCCCCTTTTCGGTGGTGTTTCCACTTCATCACTACTGTCTACATCTGGCTACTGGGCTGTGTACATTTAATAGTGTATGTCATAATCCGATCATGCTTTTTGTCTTTTGTCTTGTTTGTTGTGTCAGGTCGTACGCCCGGTGAGTCACGCTTGGTACGCGAACCAGATGGTGTGTACGCATATCAGGTAAGCTGAGTCTGCAGGCTAAGACACTTGCCCACTGCGGTGACTGTTTACAATCAGTTTTAGTTTTTGCAATGGCCAACGTCCAAAGCAGTTTAAATATACCAGTATTGTTGAATAAAAAATCCAAGTACTAGTAGATCATCCCTTATCTGGGAGTCTCGGGATCAAAGGGTACCCGTATCTCAGAACTTTCCGTTACTCAGAAATACACAAGCGTAATGGCTATGACACGCTGTTCTCTTCATTTGGACTCAAATTCATATCACTCATGCTCACATGCACACGTATGAGTTAATGCGGTGGAGTATTTCAGCTGACCGCCGCCACTAACATGACGAATTTCTCAGGATTCGACTGCACACACCTGCCTGCAAGGTGCCTGGATAAGAGATGTTCCACTGTCCTGTAGTAGTCCATCTCGAGTCTGTGTGTGAGAGTAGCTAGAGCAAGGCACAAAGTTAGCTGGAGAAAGATAAGACTGTATGTGTCATGCGGTGTGTCAATTGGCTGTCTTCTCTACATAATCATTCTTTAAAATTATACTTTTTGGAACCTATCCTAAAGGGCACCTTCTACAGGTACCTGAGAATTGAGGGTCTGCACGTTTCAACCTCCGAAATAAGGACAGTCCCTTGCTTGAATGTCTGCATTTCTCTGGTGTGGAAACTCCAAAAAAATGAGAAAAATCAGGTTCTACCGAGATTTGAACTCGGATCGCTGGATTCAGAGTCCAGAGTGCTAACCATTACACCATAGAACCAGTGTTATTCATAACTTCATGTAATGCACATTGGTATCTCATGTAGGCTCAAGACATTATGAGCATCAACTGTGTACATGTACGAGTACATGTGTAATTTATTTCGTGTCGTCATAGTGCCATCATGAGCCAGAAATCATGTTAGTATAGTCATTGCGTATTGTAGCTGTTGACCATGTCCACGCATGGCAAGGAGCATACTGTCAGCGGATGTGTACAGACTACAGAGTTATCAATGATTGTCGGTAGTTGTAGTGTCCATTTGCCACCAATGTCACTGCCCAGTGGCGGCATGCTTGTACACACGTACGCACACACGTACACACACGCGCTGTATTCTGGACATGCTGTGGTACTGCGATATCAGTTTCCCAAGTGCAGGCAGTTTCCATTGATGTTACTCTCTTGCACTGAGCTGATCTAATGTTGGAGATCTACTGTAGTTGTGTGGGTCCTACTGAACCTGTTCAGTGGCAGAGACTCGTACCTCACAAAATCCTTGTGAGAACTGACTGCATGTTACGGGATGGATCATGACTTAATCTTGCAGGTCTTGTTGATCTTGACCTCCGCTACCGAGCCTGAGAATTCTCTCTCAGGGCGCAGAGCACTTTTTAAAATGCACTTAGTCTTCAGGACATCTTGCTGGCTATTGGAGTGAGTTGTGTTGGTACGGTGCAGATCGGATATAACGACCTTACATAAAACAACGCGTTGAGGTTTACAACTTATTTCTGTTGCCCAAGAAAAAAAATCACGGTTCGCGTGAGACTCGGCTGGAGGCCGAGTTTTTCCGCATTCGCAGGAACGCCACCACCCTCTATGATCAAGGCAGGAACACCACCACCCTCTGGGATCAAGGCAGGAACGCCACCACCCTCTATGATCAAGGCAGGAACACCACCACCCTCTGGGATCAAGGCAGGAACACCACCACCCTCTGGGATCAAGGTGCAGATGCAGCTCCTAAGCGGTGGGAAGTGAGTAGAGCAGACCCACTACAAAGTGGTCAAAGACCGAAAAATCCCGTTCACTGCATCCAAACAAATTGCCCAAACCCCATAGCAAATCTTTACGACAGATCTGGTATCTGGTTTTGTAACAGACGGAATAAAGGGACTATCTTTATCTCCCAAGGAGTGTCGTTATATCCATTCCCACTGTATTTCGTTCATGTATGAATGTCGTGTTTTGGTTTTCATTTTACTTTTGTTCTTTCCTCAGTGGGATGCAGCTAAGCACGAGTGGATGAAGGTAAGTGAGTGTATGTGCATGCGTGTGTGTGTGTGTGGGGGGGGGGGGGGGGGAGTGTTCCGACTCTCTTTGTCTGACCTATCGGTGTACGCCATATTCCACAGCCAATATTACCATATCACTTCGATGGCTTTGTTATCCATGATGGTGGTGGTCTTTTCCTGGCGTTTGTGTGTGGTGTGTTTATGCTAGGTCGGGTCAGTTGAGAATGCAGTGGACACCAAGACACGTGGCCAGTCTCTGGACGGCAAGGTTGGTAGTGATGCCATGTACACACACACACACACACACACACACACACACACACACACACACACACACACACACACACACACACACACACACACACACACACACACTGTACTTGTACTTGTTGCTCACTGCCAAAACTGGTCACGTGAGTCCCCCCGGGAGAGGGGAGAGAGACTCAAAAGGAATCTTAGAAAGATGACTCAATTGGTTATTGAACCGCCCAACGGCCGACACCCCCTGAAATCCCCAAAACTCTGGGTGGACTTGAAAATGATCCCACTTATGGGCTCACCACACCTCAGTAAGTGGGTGAGGACAAGGTGCAGAAAAAGGATTGACGGCATCAGGTATCCGTCCCGGGATCCAACTGCAGTTACCCCTGCCCCCAGTGAAGGTAATATTTGCTACTAGTGTGAGTGGCTAAATCAGAGTGGATCTGATAAAAGCTTCACTAGCACCATTGATTACACAAGAGTTAATCTAGCCAGAAGCAGTCCATGGTTAACAGGTATGTATACTTCAAATAGAAAGTATATGAACCCTGGAACCAACAAAGGTGGCAGGTACAACATTACACCTTCAAACAGCCGAGCCTGTTGGCAACAGACCCAACACAATCAGGCATAAGTGCACCTACCAGCCGAACTAGCTGGCACACACACACACACACACACACACCTGGTCCTGGTAAACGCTGCCATTACGGTCCCGTGTCCCCTTGCGGGGCTGACAATATGGAACGACGAGCGACGGCACACACACACGCACGCACACCGTAGAAATGTGCTGTTTGACAACATCTAGCATTTTCAAAAATCCCAACCATCTTTTCAATTAGCTATGATACCCGTGGCCACCGAGGTCCCGCTAGAAGAAAGTAATGCCTCAGTCTTGCAAGAATGAGTACATGGGTGGATTAGCTGAAATCTAGAACATGCTGAGTGTTTTTTAGCAAATGTAAATTATGCACGCCCTGCAGTCTCGTTTTCGAATCTCGTCCTAGGGACTTTCCCTTTGCTCGCACTTCACTCTCTGCGCAACTGACACTGCAACAGAAGCAGCTAGTGAAACCATTTTCTAAGGTTGGGCAAGGAGGGAACTTCCATTGTTTTAAAAGTCTTGTGCAGGGCGTGTTAAATACTTGGTAGATATGTTTCACCACAACAACTGAGGCAGAACAAGCCCGTAGCTTTTTTCAGTACTGAACCAGACAAACTTGCAGCAAATTCAGGCCTGTCCTGTTTGGCTGTAGCAAGATTGGTGACGTTGAGTTGAGGTGGCAGCAAGCTGTACATGTACAGCCTTTGAGGTAGCCAGCCCCAAGTGTTGCGCCTCCCTGTCAGGATGATAGCATTAGCATGCTGTCACCCTGACATCCTGCTTTGTGCGGTATTGGTGTGTGCTTTGTCTATCAGGAATACGACTACGTCTTCTCGATTGATGTTGAGGATGGAAAGCCGGCACTAAAACTAGGTTATAATCGTGGAGGTACGTCATTGTGAACTGTAAAGCATATGGCGGTATGATGCCATGCGTTGCCCTTAGACAAGCATGCATGAACTGAAGTGTTGTTGATAGCTCATGTGCTTTGAATGTGCATGTGTGATCAAGTAGGCATTTTCTTTTCGTAAACTGTCCACCTTCGTTTACTATCTTAAGTGACTGGAAAAGGATATGCTAAGAGGATACGCAGCATCCTCAAAGAAAGTACATGTACTGATCCAAAGTTTCACCAGGGTACTTATTACTGAAGATTCGCTGTTACAGAAATATTTACTGCGCAACCTTCTCCAGTTTTTGCCTACACTAGTTCCAAAAAATCTTCCCAATTTTCACCCATGAGTGCATCACTGTATAATGCATGTAATGCATTCGCTGCGTACAGAATATACGGTAATAGTGTGTGTGTGTGTGTGTGTGTGTGTGTGTGTGTGTGCGTGCGTGCGTGCGTGCATGCATGTGTGAACAAAGGAGAGTGAGACCACGGTGCATTGCAGCAGAATGGCTGGTGCGATTTGACAGACACCATGTCCTAGAATATGCTGTTCTGTTGATGTACCTGTTACAGAGGACCCATGGCTTGTAGCACAGAAGTTTCTGGACAGTAATTTCTTGCCCGCAGCGTATCTGGAACAGGTAAGCAGTCACAGCTATGCTATTAGGCATGCATACAGATGTTGTCAAATGTGGATTACTGTTTAGTAGTGCTTACTCAGTCGACAGGTGGCCTGATTTTATTTGTTATGGAGGCTTCGGCAGCATCTGTCCTTGAAAGGGCTGTACCAGTATACTTTACCTGCATGCAGTTCAAGAGATTCCATAATGTAGTTGGCTGTTATTCCGACATCCTCATCTAACTTATGATTGCGTTCTATTGGTCCTAGACTTGAAACTGTTGAATGCACAACTTTCTAACCTGGTCACAATGGTCTCGAAATACATTTATATCAGCAGTGTGGCTACACTTTCAGAACATTTGCTTTTCCGCAAATTCCAGTACCGTCTACCAGTTCAGGTATCTTGTGTTCTGATCTGCTGCCAATATCACTGTTGTCTTCTAACTGCTGTTCATCAAAGGTAGCAAACTTTATCACAACCAATTCTGGAGGGCAGCCAGGTGGACAGCCGGCTGCTGCATCTGGTCAACAGTATGCTGATCCTTTCACAGGTAAATGCTCTTCTCTGCCAGTTTGTATCAATATACTTGGTTGTGTGCACCTGCACATTTGTGTGTGTGTGTGCGTGTGTGTGTGTGTGTGTGTGTGTGTGTGTGTGTGTGTGTGTGTGTGCGTGTGTGGGTGGGTGGGTGCGTGTGTGTGTGTGTGTGTGTGTGTGTGTGTGTGTGTGTGCACTTATGCTAGATATTGTTGGGTCTGTTGCCAACAGGCTCAGCTGCTTGAAGGCGTATTGTTGTACCTGCCACCTTTGTTGGTCTCAGGGTTCCTAGTAGGAAGTATTACCTTTACTGGGGGCAGGGGCAACTGCAGTTGGATCCAGGGACGGATACCCTTATGCCGTCAATCCTTTTTTCTGCACATTGTCCTCACCCACTTACTGAGGTGTGGTGAGCCCATAAGTGGGATCATTTCCAAGTCCAACCAGAGTTTGGGGATTTCAGGGGGTGTCGGCAGTTGTGCGGTTCAATAGCCAATTGAGTCATCTCACTAAGATTCCTTTTGAGTCTCTCCCTTCTCCCGAGGAGACCCACGTGACCAATTTTGGCAGTGAGCAAGTACAAGTACAAATGTGTGTGTGTGTGTGTATGTGTGTGTTTGTGCCTTTGTCTCTCCGTGTGTGCATGCGTATGTGTCCGTGGGGATATGTATACAGATGTACAGGTGGGTGGATGTGTGTGGTTTTGCTTGCATCCTCTGTCAGCTGAGTAAAACTTCTAAAATTCTAAAAAATGCTTTTAAAACGTTGTTCTTATCCTACTACAAGTGCCTAGTTGTTGCTTTGCTTCTGACTATTTTGTTGCTCTTTGTGTTTACACCTTAGGTGCTGGACGTTACGTCCCTGGTTCAGGCGCAGGTGGTCCTACGTCGGTCGCACCAGGAGCAGACCCCTTCACCGGTATGACTGTGGTGCTATGTTGGCATAAATTGATACTCTAGCGTCTATTGTAAATGGAAATGTCACGAGTCCAGGGTAAACTGCAAACTGTTTTCTCAGAGACTTGCGGAATCTAGCACCATCAACTACAGCTTCACGCCACGAATTCTGCTCCCTGTGAACGGTTGAGAATATTGGTGTTTGCACAGTTTTCTCCCCATTTTAAAAGTGTTCGTCCCTTTATGGTCAGGGGTGTAGTAGCCGGTCCAGCCGGTCCGGCTTTGGCCGGACCACTTATTGCGCGGACCGCGTTTTTTTTGCACCCTAATTTCAAAATCTTCCCGGGGACACCCCCCCCCCTCCCTCCGGCCGGACCAACCCCAACGGCGGCGCTACGCGCCTGATGGTACACAATGATTGTGTGTGTGTGTGGGGGGGGGGGGGGGGCAGGCCTGTGTACGTACACTATTCTACTTCTGGTTGTGTTCATTGCTGTCATATACAAGATCCTCCTTTGGACCTTTGGTGTTAGTGAATGTGGAGTACGTTGTGGCTACCTGTATTGATGCGTAGCCAGAACTAAACTGGTGAACCTGTGCGAGTGCTGACGTGGTGAGTTTATGTGCTGGTTTTTACGTGTGCAGACAAAACTAAGAGCGATCACATTGAATTGACACACACACAATATGTATGTACATTTTTACTGTGTGGGCTTTGTTCAGGTGCTGGTCGTTACGTTCCAGGATCGGCAGGCAATGCTGGAGGTGCAGGCGGCTCGTTTGGCAGTGGTGGTGCTGCAGACCCGTTCACAGGTACATATAGATCTATACTTACTGTGATGTTGTCTGAACTGCAGCCTTCGTAGTTGTAGTAGTTTTAGTAGTAGTTATGTGTGACAGTGTGACAGTATGATGTGTTCAATGTCATCCCTGTGTTTCATGTGCAATGCCATCCCTGTTTCCATGTGTAGTATCGGTACTCTGCTTAGGTCCCCAGTGCTTCATTGGCTGAATTGAATGTGTGCTTGTGTTTTGTGTTGCAGGTACTGGTCGCTATGTGCCTGGATCTGGAGCTGCTCCACAGGCACCCACAGCAAGCACTAGTATGTTACTATTGTGTGTGTGTGGGGGGGGGGGGGGGCATTACTAGCCCAACAGACTGTGTACAAAACTACAAACACCATACTGAGGACTACTGCGTATACCCAAGTTCCCCAAGTTCCTACCTTCAGGATGTAGTACTAGTAGCTGGTGGTCCGTCTGACTTGTCAGGGTTTGTCAGGACTTGTTTCCAGTCAACCAGCCCTGGTTTGAGGCTAAAAAAAGGTATACAAGAATGTAAACCACTATCTAAACACCAATGGCAGAGATGAATTTATCCGGTATCGCATCGCAGTTTGCTAAGCAAAATCGATCTACTGCTACTCAAATCACAGTGACATGCAGAAAACTGTGATGCATACATGTACAGGCTATTCATGCTTTTTGTAGCTTACGCCACAATTGAGATTTTGCATAGCAAAAACTGCTATGCAAAAGCATGCCAGTAAATTCATCCCTGAATGGTATGTCTATGTACTACCTACTGAACTAGCTGGTGCATCATTTACTTGGCCAGACTTCTTCAGGTAGTGCAACACGCGTGCAACGACATGCGTTCTTTTGCTGGTCGTCGAAAAAAAATTCATTTCGCATTGCTAAATACTTCGAGTAGCGATCAAATATCACGCGAAACGAAAGCAGAACGGTAGCCAAAAGAATAATACAACGATTGCATCAATTCGATTCTTTCAGCCCACGTTTTCAGTCAATCCTCGGTAGTATAGTGGTAAGTATCTCCGCCTGTCACGCGGAAGACCCGGGTTCGATTCCCGGCCGGGGAGGACATTTCTTTTCCTCAATTCTTCTTGACATATCCTTTTTTCACATTTGTTCGCCCTTGAGCATTTGATTTTTTGAACGTATACGGCCTCTTGTATGGGCAAAAGTAACACAATAGGGAGGTTCCGGAGTACGATTTTTCGTGCCAAAATCCGTGGAGGCTCTACGGATTTTTTATACGTCGTTTTCGAGCAGTGAAAAGTTCCGGGGTACGGAACTTATGTGTTTGCCGTCATTGCCTAGGCTACGATCGCAAACACGTCACATTCCCGCGCTATGCCTTTTTATTTTGAAAATTTGTACCGAAATCAAAACTTCCCGCGAAAAATCGATGTTTCTCGTACCAAATTTGTACGCGAAAAATCTTTCTGCACCCGATGACGCAAAATCTCCATACGAAGCATGGTTCGTATGAAAGCCAGTCCACACGGATTCTCGTGCCGAAAAATCGTATGGAGCACGCCTGGAAAAAATCCGTAGCGCCCATACGGATTTTGGCACGGAAAATCGTACCCCGGAACCTCTCTAATGATACAATAAAGCATGGTCCATACCAGAAAAGCAATGATGACGAGGCATAAACAAGAGAGCACAAAGGTAATGTCTAGTGCTGTATTGCAGCTTCCGCGACAGCGAGTCGAGCAGTTGACTCGGCCACCTCCGGTTGAGAATGCAGCCATCGTGCACCACGTAGGCAATACAAACCTAGCAGGCTGGAAGGAGGCCGAAGCTGAACCTGCAATGGATCCACGCCATCACTGCAGAGTATGGCTCACCAGACGTGTCAGACACCATTGCAGCTATTCTCTTGAGGAGAGCCGGGAGGCAGCTCGGCCTGTACCACCCGTTACTGCGAAATCCATAGGGACGAAGGTTCCGCGTTCGACTTCCTTGACGTGCTGTTCATACCGCCTTCGCTTTTCCCGTTCATGACGCTGGTAGCAAGAGGTGATGGAAGAGGATCGCCGGATTGGAGGGAGCAAAGGGGTTGAAAACTTGGCCGAATATCGGCGAGAAAGACTCTCTCGAATCGACCTTCCCAAACACCACTTGCTGCAACATCGAGTCGAGCCTGGTCCTCTGTGGAGGCAGTCTTGTAGTGGAGCTGCTCACCGGATAGCGGTTGCAAGTGTGGGTCGATGGCAACAATATTCGCGACGCGTTTCAATAGGGAGGCAGTGATGTCCCGCACCTCATTGTGGCGAAGTGACGGGAAACCTCCGGTGCTACATGTCAGGGCATGGACTGCTGTGAAGCTGGCTCCACAGATACAGGATGAGGGTAAAGAAGCCGGCTGCCAGCCATAGTGCAATGCCAAACCATCACGTAACTCGCTTTTGGATAGCACAAATCCTTGACGGGATAGAGGACGACATGTAAGCCAGCTGGAGGTGCCAGGTTCACTTGCCAACTGGATAGTGTGCTGTAAAACGAGCATTGCATCGGCTGTGAAGCCACAGATGTCGGCCTAGGCTTTCTGGCGGTGATCTACACACTGTGACGCTTTGCCTGAGGCAACACGGGCAAGGGCTCCCGTCACACTGAAGTCTTGATTGAGGATGTTGCTTGTGAGCGCCGCTGTGATCGCACGGGAGGAGGCGTATTGGGTTGCCAGAGATGTTGGATTGACGACACGGCCCAGACCGCCATCCCGCCAAGGGAAGGCAAACAGTCATCACAGCTCCAGACTGACCTCTTCTCCAGTCAGGGCTGGCAGCAGCTTGGTTGTACACTTGATAATTTTTTTGTAAATCGGAAATTTAACTCGGAATAAACAACCCCCCAGCTGGCTTCATTAAAACCAGTACGCAGTGCTTTCCCATGGGGAACGTTTGATCCCGTTTTAGACATTCCCCACACATGTCCTCCACAAGTGGAGGATGCGTATCTCTACACTATTGAAGCAGGCTGAGTATTGATGCCTTTTTTCTTGGTGCAAAACCTCTGTAGTGTATTCTTTTCAGAAACCGTGTAATAGAAAATAACACAGTTTTTTCAGAACTTTGAAGCTCCATTGTAGCCTTGTCATCTTTTCAGTATCCTGACAAAGCCCTCCTGGGTGAAAATTTGGAAATAATAGTTGTACGTGGTGTAGCCGAGGACTTTGTGTGTTTGTGTGTTGCAAGTTGCGAGTTGGAGGTGTACTGAGAACACAGGGCTTGTGAAAGAAATACTGATGGGTCGCCTGCTGGCCAGTAGTTGGTTGGCCCAGCCACTTTTCAGTCAAACAGCCTCGTGCTTTTCTTGGTAGTGAAGGAGGCATGAAATAATGCCAATAGCAGCTGCCAATGCTGTGGCTATATTCTGTATTGGTCACAGCGGTTCCGAGTACAGGATGTTCTATGCTTCTGGCCTTGATCTCTGTACACTAGTATTTCAATCAGAATAGCAGTTTTGTATGTACATGCACAGCTATTCCAGTGCAATGAAATAGCATGAATGTGTGTTTTAGTGTATGCTGCCAATGTGTGTAACACGACACCCGCTCGCACTGTGTTCTACTGTTGTTCCTGTTTGCATGTTCATCTAGTATTGAGTCTACTGTACTAATGTTTGATTTTGTGCATTAGGTACGCCGCACCAATCCACAGCTGCTGCTGCTTCGTCAATGGTATGTGGGTGTGTGTGTGTGTGTTCTTATACTTGTGTACGACTTTCATTGGGTTTCTTTATTGCTGAAAAGAATGAGTATGGACATTTCCTCGAGTGATGGGTAAAAGCATTTTCTTGTTGCTAAACATATTGTGCAGATCTCCGTCAGCGTTTCTGGTACTCCATTGTGCGACACTCGCTTGTGGCAGTCAGCGACGATCAACTCGGTGACATGGTGCCCGGGTATCAGCAATACTGGGTGTTTCTGGCCTGCTGACAGATCCGCCGCCTGCAATCTGCCACCGCACCTCAGCAGACCTGACTCATCCGCAAGGATGCCAAGCTGCTTCTTGGCCTTGGCGATGTGGTTGCTTGCATCTGGTGTTGACTGCTGCACGTCAGCAATCCATAGCCGTTGCGCTTCATCTAGCAGTACCGTCTCTGCGGCTGCTTCGTCACGTTGGCCTTGCACGAGCTTCACAAACTTCAGCACGTACGCCGTAACTCTCCGCAACTTTTGATAGGAGCTGTACTGTGTACAGTCTATAATGGCGCTGATGCTGCTGCTAGTTGTGTCGGTAGTCACCAGACTTGTGACCTGAGCTGACTTCTTCAACTCTTGCCGACACTCCTCAGGGACTTGCTCTCCCTCCGTGAAGCTCGCACCTGGTCACCGATCACTCTCTCTCAGTGTGCTAAGTGCTCTGGCGTGTCGGTCACCATGATCCCGTGCTTTGTCCTCTGCTGGGAAGTCCATTATCCTGTCCAGCATGCTGCAGAACGTCTGCAGCTTCAGGGTCCAGTCATCAGCATCCATCACTTCGTCCTCAACGTCTTCATCACAGACGTCACACACTAAATCCAAAATCTCTGCGTCCAGAGCAGCCAGCAGCTCCCTCTTGCACGCCAGCAAATTGCGTGCATGTCTCACAGACGCACGGACGTCGTCAGCCAACACATTCATGTATCGAGCTTCATCAACAACGTGCTGAAACTCGCTCATGCATCTCGTATACGATCCGCGATGGCCCCCACGCACCTTGCGTTTCTTGACAAGCTAATCCGGTGTCTTTGCCGACGCTTCCACTGATGGTTGTTTTGTCTCAGAGCTAGTGGTCTCACTCGAATCTCTAGATTCCTCCTGCTCCTCCATG